TGAAGGGCTACCCTCCTTAAACATTTGAAATGAAAAAAAAATGAAATGAAGAAAGACTCTGTACGGTTTTAAGAACTGAAACTAGAAACGGATGGGTGAACATGGATTGCCTAGTTTAAAGGTTTACCATCAACGACTCAGGTATGAACGATTGGGTTTCTGCGAGCGGCGCAGGGGAGACAAGATAGAGAACTTAACAGCATTTGACACAATCCAAAATATGACAGCAAGAATGAGAATTTGGTCATTCTTTGGCATTAACAATATTACTGAACCTAACGTCCTCAGTCATAACATTCCTGGCAGGGGAGGTGGGCTTCTAGTTAACTTTTGCGACTGAAAATAGCCAGGTTTATTGTGGAAAATTCTATGTAACCCAAGTTGGTCCCGATACTGCACTCTGCAGCATAAAATGGCCCTTTTGATAGGCCTATTCAGCTTCAGGAAAACTCTTGTCTGTTTTTATCAGGGCCTAATTCAGAAATGGGACTGATACTTGAGCACCAATAGCACTCAACTTTATCCGCTCCTGCGTATGTTATGAGAGCCACTGCAAGTGCTTTGGTAATAAGGCTGTTTCACGCATTCTATATCATGAATAAACCTGAAGGTTATTCTTACCACCAGAAAGGGCAGTTCCCCCTTTTCCATCCTCTATTGTATGGCTCTTTCCATATTTCGTTTAATTTTATAAACCCTCAGCACGCAGTTATTTTAAAAATATTGCTTAATCAAATTAAATTTGAAGCTGATTTCCGAAACATCCCATGGTCGTTCAACAGTTTGAGAAACTGGGTGGATGCAAAATTTCAAAACAAAGTCATTAATTGTTGGAATAGAGGTAACGATTTGGGGTCTGGTAATGAGATTGGGTAATAGGCTGCAGTAAAAGGAAGACTTGCAGTAAAAGTATCTTACGAGTATCATATTGGCCCACATTAGCTTCAAGGCATTATGTTTAGATGTATGGGGTAGGCGATTTTCCTTGCATCTGATTGATGATTACAGTATCTATTTCCATTAGTCGTAGTTCGATATACACACTGAATGGTAATACGTGTTTACCTGCAGAAAAACGTTTACACTCTTTTTTTATAAGAACAATTTTATAAGAACACGAGCCTCAAAATTGGTTAAAAGTTAAGAACAAATTAAGAACAAGCTGAGGCAGCTACTGTAAAATGAAATTTGAACAACGTTTTATCTCAAAATGTGAGTGATTTTTAGCCATATGTGAGTGCTTTTTCGGTGAATATTCAAACTATTCGAACATGGCGGCAAATGAAGGTTGTCTCACGCACTTTGTTGGAAAAAGAGGCCTGAACACCTCCCCAGAACGAAAAGCTAGAAATCGGCCTTGGCCCCCCCCCCACTTTTTTGCAAAACAATAGAGTTTTTTTCAAAATCTTTTGTTATGGGTGTTAAATTTTCCCTTATCCCCCCACTTTTCAACCTTTGTCGGAGCCCATGTATACCCTATAAGTTTAAAGAACAAATTAAGAACAATCCAGCCTCAGATTTTCGAAAAAATTAAGAACAATCAGCCTGAACTCAAATTCACTAGTTCTTATAAAAAAGAGGGTAAAATGTAGAAATAAATTTTTCACTTGGATCACTAAGCTGGTGACTTCACCTTTGAATGACAGAACGAGAAGCTACATTTGATTAAAAAATGAGTGGGGGATTCTCACCTTCCCACTTTCTGTTTGATTCAGCTTAGCAACATCTTAATTTTATTGGTTAAGTTTTCTGAATAGAGCTGAAATCGGGACAGCATTTGCCTCCTTTTTTTGAAACATAAAACGAGGTGCAAGGATGGTTCAGCGACAAGGTTCGCGGACTGCAGATCCAAAGAGCCGGGGCTTGATACCCTGTTTACCAGAGTCCTTATTATTTAGTTTCAGAAAAATAGTAAGAAACTAGTCACAGAAAATTTTTCGAGCAACCACAGCTGTCTGCAATACTTTATCCCCGGATTTACGTTGCTCTGGTACCCAGGGTAGTATTAGACTACGCCTCTAAGTCTAACAGTTTGTGAGTCAACGAAAAACTTCATATCCAATCAGTCTCAAAAGTTCAATATAAAGAATATAGAAACGCTAAGAATAACAATGATAGCAAAGCACTCACGACCTTTAGCTTGCTTACTTCTGAATTAAACACTTCGAATGGCAACAGGACAACAGCGATGTCTTTCAAGCGACACACGCTTTGACTTTCTATCATCGGGAAACGGCGGCCACGATTCTTTTGGCAAGGCGGGAACGCCCACAGTGAAAAGCCTCCTACTCTCTTTTATACCCTTTCTAAAATACAGCTAGCCAATAAGAAACAGAACATGATAACAGCCAATTAAATAGTTAGTTAAAACAATAGTTAAAAAAGCCTAAAAGTTAATAAAACGATGTTGACGCTGATACCCACGTGAACCAGCACGTCAAACAAGTTCGACATTCGTACCGTAACAGTAGGGAAGGGTTCGAGTCCTTGACATGACCAAACTTTCACCCAGAGTGAGGGGAGTGGCCAGCTCTCTGCATGCCAGAAATCGGAATCACGAAGTGTGGCTACATCGAGAAGAAGGACAAGAGACTGCTTGATAAGTTAACCTTTCAGTGTCCTAAAAACTACCTTCGGATGCTACAATCACGGAAAAAATTGTTGACACAAAATGCAAATTTTCCAATTTATATTTGCGTTGCCCATGTAAAATCGAATCCCCTCCTTTGCCCACGAATCAATGTTGGATTTGTAGTTCTATCATTTCTCCTTCAAAATCATGCACTCAAGATTGAATTTGGGGAGGGGGAAAAGTTCTTTTTCAAATCAAAGGGATAATATCAACTTTCCTTGAAAAGTCTCAACTATTTTTGTCCGGGATTCAGGCACCGCGCAGACCTTGGGCTAGCAGGGGCTATAGCCCCACTTTTTGCAATAAAAGATTATAAAATGTTTAGAAAATTTTCTCTAACGCAACTCTGGAAAGTTTATCCTAACGGATCCTTAGTTGTAGCAATTTGTCTTGGCTGGGAACCCATTTTTGTTCATTCTCTTGGTGGCTTATCTTGTTAAATCTATTTTTATAGTAATTGATATCTTCTCTGAATTGGACTGTTTATGAAAATTAAGTGGAGAGAAGCAAGCATTTTTCGATATTCTAAAGGGCGTGTTCTCAAAAATTCTCGGTCACGCCCTTTTCAGCCCACCTACTTTTAAAGGAGAACTGACACGCAAAAATAACTTTGGCTTATTCGATGCAAAATTTGTCGCTGACTTCAAATCTGCAAAAAGTTTTCTTCTAAGATTCGCCGTTTTTCTGATATTTGCACTTTTATCCGTCAATTACGTCACAGCCAGGACTCGGGAATTTCCCGAAGCGGAAACAAGATTATCGCCAGGAGTTGTTAAAATTCTCGGTTGACGTCACAAGTGACATGTTAACAATGCCGTTGTAAAGGCTTTCACCGCAACGGTAGAAGTACAAATGAAGTTTCGTGTTTTATTTAAAATAGTTTGCGATAAAAAGACAAAAAATTGTTAGGCATTTAATTTATAAGTATAAAGAAGCTAGAAAATCCTAGCTACATATCTGATAAGACGCTAATATCCACATAAAATTTATTTTTATGCCATGATATCTTCGAAGCAGCATGCTCCGAAACATTCAAAGAACCTCAAAGCTTGTGAGAAAAGGAGTCGACTTTGTTTGAAAACTGATACCGTTTCTTCAAAGTTTTTATTTTTACAATTACAAATAAAACCGCAATATGGGGGTGGGGGGGGGTTGGGTTGAAGCAATAGCCAAAAGACAAACGAAATCTAGTGGAGACAGCGGTAAAAGTGATCCTGCAGCCTGCTTAGGGTGCAGAAATATGAATTCAAGAAAAAACCTTGTTTGATGGGAGCTGCGAATGTGACTAAATAATAATTTCACTGATCTTGATTATTGTATTTTAACAGAGGTTGAGATACTAGAGAATAATCTAGTCTAGAAAAAGACCGTCCCCCACCCAAGTCAAAATTGTTTGCAAAAGAAGATAATGCGCCAGTTGATATTCCTATGACAACTAAACAGCATTTTTTCGACTAAGAAATCAAGTTCTTTGGCTAATAGCTAAGAGCCTATTTCGTAAATCCAGATCTTTCGACTGCCAGGTAACTTATCAGTTCCCGAAACCCTTCACGCCGGGTGAAAATGGCATAAAATCCGCACAAGTCGACTTTTAACCCGCCTTTACTATTCAATATCACTATACAGTTAACGCGTTTAAAACATTGAAAAACAATCATAGAATGTTATATTAACAATTAATAACTTGCAGTTCCGTTTAGGGCATCATGGGCATTTTAGCCAATTTAGGCCATACAGACAAAGCAGTCTAGACAAAAACGCCTCAATCTGAAATAAAATTCTAGTTTCACGATACCTGATCTCATTTAGATTGTAGTTATAGCATTGTTTTTAATAGAAATTCCATATCAGTTTGTACTTCCAGTCTGTTCTTTGTCCATAACATCGTTACTGTTGAGCCATGGGACGACTCACGACTGTCTGCCCAAGCGGCAGCGCTGGTTGGCAGCAAAAACTCAGACGGCTGAAACTCTCCATTTGTTTCGAAATCAGTGTAATAAAACTCCGATTCAGAGTCCCAAACCATGGAAAAAGTCAATTATGTGTCAAAATTGCAAAGTTAGCTTCTTTCACATGCACAAAATAAACATTTGCCCGCAGCATTTTTTTAAAGGTTTCTATAGAGAAACACAATACGTGCTGAGAACATGTCACTTGTGACGTCAAAGATGATCGCCCACTCGTGACGATTTTCGCCTCGAGTCTCAAGTTGTCGGAACAATTGTCGTTTCTCAACTTAAAACGCTTGTATTTCAAAAACGGTAACTGTGATTTAAAAAATTATTTCTGTCCCGGAATTTGCTTGTCACAAACTACCGTTTTAGCCAAACTTATTTTTACGTGTCAGTTCTCCTTTAAAATGGTGCGCGGTGCCTGCCGGGATTGTAGGAGTAATCAAACCCATGATAAAAAACATAAATACTGAAAACCCTGGCCATAAAGATCTAGTCGAGTCAAAGTATGCTACGTACCAGGAAACAAGGAGATCGATTTCTTTAACAGTAACTTATTAGTCAGAATATCATCTTGCTACTATTTCTGTTTATTTTCGGCGTATCGTTCATTGTCTTCTATCTCCCTCGCTGAAAGTATAATTTAGGAGTCATTCGAGCGGTTTCGCTACCGTGGCCTTTAAACACCACCTTATTCGCATAGACCCTAGCGGAGCCTAGCCTTTCCTTCTTTCCAACTCACCACTCGTCCTATCATGTTGCCCACGCGTTACTGTTTATAACACTGACCACACTGGTGTCATATGCATTTTCTCCTCTTTTTTACATATTTATGGCATTAAAAAATTGATCTTTATGTTCCTTTATCTTTATGTTGCAAACTCTGAACACATTTCAAGTAATGAAAGTTAAGCTCACTTCTTTCAGCGAGAAAATCTTATTCGTTTGTCTTTTAAGGCCGACTTTCTTATAAAATCAGTTGAGGAATTTCACGACCATGGCTCAATTTCGTGTCAGAGAAGTTTGTGAAAGTTTATATAGCACGCTGTTGTTCTGTCAGTAAGGTTTTGTTTTTGTTGTGGTGACTGACCAGTTTCTTGGGGAGAAATCACAGACGCATCACGCCCATACCTGAGGTATTTATCAATTATCACTATCCAGTGGCGAGGGAGGTTCTTGTACTTGATTGGTTAGTCTTGTGTTTTCACGTCGGGATTCAAATCCGCACATCAAGTCTGTTCACAGGTTTGAAAATCGCCCGTTGAAGGTGTCGCTACGTCTAGTTCCGGTGATACAGCAACCAAGTAAAGAAGGATACAGGAATATTTGGCTCTACAAACAAATTCCCATTGATAATCGACGCGTTATTCAAATGAAATAGGGCATAATTACACGTCAAACAGTTGGAATTGATCTCTGTTTGCCAATGCTGTCACTTTGGATAGCTAAGTGGTTTCCCTCCGGCCTACCTGTCAAGAACAGAAAATTTAGACAGACAAACACGAGCTTGAAGGCATCATACGGAAGGCTACAGATGCAGCCTCTTTCTTTAAAGAACTGAACATTCACCGAGGTGGATTCTAAATTACTGCTCCTGGAAATTTTATTGTTGTTGGTGTCAGTTAACCCACATTTCTCTTACTTGAGTATTTATCGCTCTGCCATGGAAGAGGCAGCTGGTTTAGAGAGACAGTCACGAATTTTTAAGCCAACAATCCTTTTTTACAACCATTCAGACGATCGAATGTCAAAACATAAAACCATTGAGGGGCCTACACAGTTACCAGTTTTGAAAAAGTTTCCACTGAACAGCCAACAACTAAATCCATGGCTTCAAGCATCAGCATCCCATCCGGTTATTCCAGAGATGATTACCTCCACGAAGAGAGTCCCGTGCCCTCTGGGGTGCACTCAGGTGAACTATTCTAATCAAGGGGTCGCTGTGTCACAACAGGATTTTATGGAAACTGACGCAGGTAGCAAAGGAATACTCCCAAGCCTTAGTTCTCCTCAGGACGGATTGTCATCTCGAATTTTATCAGGGCTAGATAAGGAAAGAATGTCACAAAGCATCAATAAATTGTTCTCTAACGTTGACTCTAGGGGGGCGTTTGATAGAAGCAGTTGTGCCCAGTCTCAAATGTTTGTTGATTCAAAAAATGGAACAAATATAAGGAAAAACGTTTTCTTGTCCTCAGATAACTCTGAATGCATTACTCAAAAACATTTTGTTGAGGAAAGCAGAAAACATACGGGTAAAAAAAGATACAACTGTCCATTTTGTGCTGTAACTTGTAGTAACATGGGTCAGCTTAGGGGACACCTTCGCTGCCATACTGGAGAGCGACCATTCATCTGCAGTTTTAAAGGATGTTCCAGGAAATTTGCACGAAACGAGGAGCTGACACGTCACAAAAGGATCCACTCTGGGGTCCGACCATTTACCTGCGGGTCTTGCAAGAAATCGTTTGGAAGGAAGGACCATTTGCAGAAGCACGAAAAGACTCATTTGAACCCAAATGAGAAGAAAGTCTATGCTTGTCCTGTTTGTAAACAAGGTTACAGTAGGTCTGATGCACTTGCAAGACATAAAGTGACCGCTCATTCGAACCAAAATTGCAGGACGCAAAAGTAATATTTATAGGACGTCTTCTAAACTACGATGGGATAGGTGTTTAAAGGCTTTTTCAGTAATTTATTTTGGTAATGGATGATGCTTGGATAAAGCTATAGTGAATCCTTGAGCAGGGGAGACACAAAATGTGCCGTAAAAGAGCAAAACATAAGTTAAGATGTCGTGGACACCACCCTGTTTATTGGCTTGTGCCCTTATTTTTCCCCTACCCCGAATGGTGGTGCCAGGACTAATTACCCCCCATATTAGTCAAGACATGGTCAGCATAATTTCTCTGAAAACTGATAAAAATGTATAAGGTAGGAGTAGGAGATATTTTCACAAAATTCCTCTAAGTGAAATACACCAGGTATAAGTAAAATAAAACACTAAGATAAGGCAATAAGGGTAACGGGTGTGGTCTCATGGCTCACACCCATTATCACTCTGCAGTCGCTGCCATCCCACTCCCCTTGATCTGAACGCATCAGAAATTTGATCTTGGAGATTAATGGGGGTCGTTTTTACTTTGCTCGCTGGTGGCAGGGGCATGCCTTGAGAATTGTGCGCAAGCTATTGCTTTGTTACCCCCCTCCCCTTTGGCTGCCCAATTTAGTCGCTTAAAACGTAATCTGGTTTTTGTGACAGCCTTAATCACAGATGTTTAGCCTTGCATGCTTCAACAGGTTGAGCAGAAAGTTTGTATGTCGAACACTTCATGATTCACGTCTTTAGAAAAGAAGTTTTTCTTTTCACTTTATCCAAAAACCCTTACAACACAACCTGTTTATAGAATAAAAATTAGAGGAAAATACTTGACTCGTTTTGTTTGGTGTGTTACAGTTGAAATTAATGCTTTTAAGAATGAAGGTATAACATTGAAAAAACCACAACATCCCTTTCTGTAACGGGTTGGTGAGCAAGTGAATGAATGTTTTTACATCTCTTTATCACCCCTGGCTGAAATGAGAAATTCTACCCTGGCTGAGTAAGAAAAGGGTCATCACGTCTCTCTCGCCATGACGACTATGGAATCCCTTGCAGAATTTTCAGGCAGCCTTTCCACTAGCCCGGACTAAAACAAGACCGGGTTAAAAGTTGTCCTTTTTTAAAATGAGTCAATGGAAACGGCATTTTTCTTCGACCTGTTTTTAATCCATTTTTGATCGTTACCACTAAACTGGGTTAAAATGTATTCAGGGTGAAAGGTTGTAAGAGAAATCAGTATTTGCATCAATAATCCTTCAATTTCCATCGTTGTGCGCCATCTCAATTCTTAACGTTGCTGTTGTTGCAAGTGGGTCAGAAGTTTTCCAGGTTTTGGCGTTTCCGTTAACTCGCAGGTGGGTCAAAAGATACACGGGTTAAAACTGACCCACTCTGAGACCCGTTTTCAAACTTATCCGTTTTTTAAGTGGGTTAGGGGAAACGCGACGTAGAAACAGATAACTTTTAATCCGTTTTTGTTTTAACCCGGGCTAGTGGAAAGGCTGCCTCAGTTGAATGCTTCTCGAACGTTTACCAACACTGGCTATTTATAGCTACCTTTCCCAGCGCACAATTGGTAATTACATTTACTGTTGAAAAATGTATCACCTGATTATGACATGTAAACACAGTAGATTTTTGTCGTTTTTAGCTTGCATTGGAAAAGCATTGAAATATAAGCCTCGCTGTCATTCTTAATTAATTCTTAGATTTCACCGATACAAAGCCCTAAAATCCATATTTTTATGAAATGCATTCTTATAAAAAGTGATTACTGCCTCCAACTGCCTCTCGTCAAACTTCTGAACCTTTATCAAGAAAATAGTTGAATCCAGGGTTCTCCTTTAATCATTGAATTTACATACAACATCGCTCTGAAACTTTTACCTATATACATGAATATAACTTGACGGCAATCGGCAGATACAAAAGTGGCATATGTCATCTCTCAATCAATATTGGCCAATTAATGAACGTGTGAGTAGAATCACACACACTGATTGGTCAATTTTTTTATTGAAAGCCCCTTTCATATATGTCGACTGCCTTATGAGATTACCGTTTACGAGTCTTAATAGTGCTTGATGTCATATACACAGAACTGTACACGCTTAAAGCTGCAACTCAGAACCAGGGTTGCCAGATTCGCCTTTTTATTGCCTGAAAAATTTCTTTTTGGCCTACTACTTAAATCTGGCCTTTAAACATTATGAGGTCATCATTTTGTTTAATATAAACTTTAATAGTCTAAGTAAAAAAATAAATTATGAATTGAAAGAACAATACTGCTCGGTGTAAACTCGAATGTCAAATATTATCAGCTAACCTAACGATTATCAGCAAAGGATTTTTTTGAAGGAGAAAGTTTTTCAGTTTCTTGCTTGAGCCTGGAAATTACCTATAAGGCTCACGCATGGAAATATATACTGCACTTTGTGGTGTGTATTTTTGGGGAATTTTTTAATGTGGCCTTTTTCTTTGCATTTTGACCTGAATTTGTCCTTCTTTAGTAAATTTCATCTGGCAACCCTGCTCAGAATCGTCGTTTTTCGATAACGGGAGAAGAAAAGTGTGCCTCAAGCTGGGTTCCTTCTATTTCTTACGACAAGAAGGCAAATGATAGGTCGATTTTTTAATAAAGTAAACACAGTTCCTTGACGATCGTTTGGAAAAAATGATGATCCAAACTCTGTTATCAAGAAAAAGAAACCAATTAATGAGATGACCATGCACTGCGCGGTTTAATAATATCAATTGAAAATATTATATTTCAACGCAATTTATGATACAATTCTTATTCAACACTTCAATCGTATCGTTTCTATGTTTTATCAAATAAATATATTGAAATTCGGGATCTAAGGTATTACATAGAAACAACTGTTTTACTTCCTCTATGTACCTAGATAGCAGCAATGCTAGTGTTCAGGGATTTTAGGACCTGGAACGAGGGTCAAATTACTCGACAGAAATCTCGTACACTCATTGTTGAAATACTACTTTTTTACCTGAAAATCCTAAGAAATTCTCTTATTTTCGCAGAAATCTTGCACGAGTCAATTGTTCCTCAGCCTGAGATTTACCATTGTCACTTTTTTAGGTTTATCGCTAGAGCAATTCAAGTTGCACTACAGAATTCTGGAATAGTAAAAAGTATCAAATTTACGCCAAATGGCCAATAATAATCACTTCTAATATCTCCCGGGATATAGAAGCATCGTAATAAGTACCTAATCAAAGCTAGGGTCAACCCTGACAAAAACTATATCTTGCTCTTTGCTATACAATGCTTCTTAAGTCCAAACATGTTTATCCAATGGCCTTCCCATGACCATCTATTTCCGGTTGTTCTCTTCTTTAATTGGCTTTCTTTTATCACTGGATGTTTCCTACAAAAAGGATAAAAAAGGCTGACGAAGATACTGAAATTTAGGACGATGGGGAGAATTGAACTCGACGGGTGAAAGTAAATAAAATAATGACGGACGGTGAAGACAATGATGACAAAGCATCACCATCAGCAATGACAGCAGTGATGACAATGTTGATGTTGACGATTGATGCTTATGATAATAATGTATTTATAAGCTTTAGCTAGATATGATATAAACAGAACAAGGTAAGGCCCTGGTAAATAATTGTCAAAAAGAATAACAAGAAATAAAAAGGACATAAACAAGGGATGCAGCTTCCAAGCCTCCTGGCTCTTCACCTCTGTAGTTGGCCCCTGCACTCTAAAGATTTTTTAGGCAGATTCAATGTAGATAGGAGCAATTCTAGATCTAATGATAATTAATGGTCATATCTAGCTTCTGTTTTATAGAATAATAATAATAATAAAGTATTGGCAGGTTTATATTTATACCTTCTGTGCATTATACTCATTAAGTAAATCCATGCTTTCTTGTTCCAGTTTGGTAGCTACTTCTTTCACCTTCTTGTTCCAGAAAAGTTGTAAGGAAGAAATACAGTCTATTCCAAATGCTTTCAATGTATGCTCCAATGCCTGCAGGATTGAAGGAGGTACTTGATGAATTTCTTTGTCATGCAAACCAACATTTGACTGACAACCAAAAATAGTAAGCACCAAAAAGTAAGTGCCCCTTGAAATAACTTAATAATTTGCAAACATAAAACCAACAAACATATGTGGAGGCAAACTAATAGAAGAAAGATGAGGTGTGATGGTTAATTGATAGATGCCTTTATTTTGCAATCTTTTCGAAATAAAATCAGGTATTATGCTCTCTCCAAAACAACTTTGTTTTTTAATGATTTATAACTCTTGCTACCACAATTAATGTATACTTCTGAACAAGGAGCTCTTCACAAACAAAACAATGTATCTTAAACCATCAAAGTATGTGTGTGATTGTGCAAGTTTGTCATTTTATTCTAGTAAGATGGCTTTATTGTAGTCCCTATTGCTATCACAACTAAACAAACATATGGACAATGTAAGATAAATCAGTTAGGAGTAAATTTAGTAGTTCAAACTTACGTATAGATAGTCATTATTGAATTCCCCTCCTTCTTGATTCTCAATATTAGTCTTCAATACCTTGCAAAATCTGCTGAAATGTTCAGCAAACACATCAGTCAATGTATTGATGGCAATATCTGAGCCAACTGAAAAAAGAATCAAAGCAACAATATTCAGGAAACATCTGTACTGCTTATAAACATTGGCACCTATAATCTCCTTTTTGGTACTTTGTTCCTATTTATGACTTGACAGCAGCGAATGAACTGCAACATTGTGAAAGAGAGCATTGAAAACAGGAGATATTATAGCAAATTCATTATGTAAATTAGCAATCAGGTCCATTGAAGATCTTCTTAAAGAAAATGAATGAGCAGGCAATGTTGCAACTTGTATTGAAACCCAGGAAGCACCAGGACTGAGTAACTTGGTGGAAACCTGAGTTGCATAAAAATAAACAAAAAATGTGCATCAAAACAAAAGTATCAAATACATACATTCAAAACCTGTATGGGCACAGACAGCTGACACAGATTTAAGCAACAGCTGCCTTGTAGATACGGTGTCCAATTCTATAGGGCACTCCATTAGTCTTAGCTCATTCAACTGATGAACAGGTTCTTTCGTAGCATCAAACTCTTTTGAGAGAAAACTTCTTTGATTGCTATTTTTCAAGAGGCCTTCATTTGAGCAATATCGTTTTGGAGGAGGTGGAGGTGAAGGTAATGGCGTGACTTCTGATGATCCACTTTTCTGAAAAAGGGTAGTTGCATGAATTCAGATCAGTTGCGTGTATTACTTCAACTCTATCATCCGCTCAGTTTCAGTTCAATTTATTATCCTTTCATGTTGTGATGAACTGCTCTTCCCCTTTTCTAGGAAATCCACCACCAACAACACATCAAGCAACAAGCAACAGGTCATGTTAAGCAAATTTTTACAAGTAAAACCAACATACCATAACATCAATTTGATGCGAAGCAGCCAAGGAGAACATGTATCTCATTTTCTTCTTATAATACTGAAGTTCAATGCTGTGCAAAAGATGATTTTGTCCAAAACTGTCTACAGGCATCCTAAGCCAAGGCACAGTTTTCTTTGCAAGCCTACCAAAGAAAAAATTATTGACAAAGTCAGAAACATTGTCAACTAAACATAAAAACATTTGAGATCTATGTAAATTAGAAATATGGTAAATCATTATATAAAAAATGGAGGCATTAGGTCAGTATGAGGGCAATATTGTAACAAGGTTGAGGCAGAGGGGAGCAACTGCCTCCCTTCCTCAATAATTCCATTATGGCCTGACAGGGAGGTCCAGTCCGTTTGAGGGCCTTACCAAATGTCCCATTTTTGATAACAACTGAACTTCTCAGTTTAGCTTGTGATTTGTTATAGATAATGAACAAGATTTACCTTTCCGAAACAACAACAGTTAATTATGAAGAAACTTGTCAAAAAAGGACCAAGGGAGCATATAGAAATGGATGCTACCAAAAAAATAACTACGGTTTTCATGCTACTGTTTGAGGGTTTTTGTCAAAAAATACTACCATTTGAGGGTAATTTTTTAAAATTTTAGCATTGGCCCTCTTTGACCCTGACCAGACCCCTCCTCCCCTGGGCACAGCATACAAGCATATGTTAATTCTACTGTTTCCAGGGAGGTTAATGAGTTTTCTTTTCAAGAGTTGATGTTTGGTGAGTTACTTCTAGATCAATTATTCTGTGCTGCTGATTAGATTTGCAAAATTGTAAAAGAAAGAGGAAAACAATAATAATTATTTATATAGTTGTAACAGATTCATAGTAAGCTTAGATCAATGATATACATCAATAATATACTAAAATACTTAAGACATACTCTTTTCTTGGACCTTTGTGAGCAGAAGATGGCTGATGAAGCGGTGGCAAGTCAAAATTACTGAAGCCATTCCTAAATTTTCCTTGGATTGAAGACAAAATAGATTTTGCTGGGTCATCATCTACAACTTCCGGATCCTGAACGTCACCCCAGTGGCTTGCCATGGGAATAAATCAGAAATGCACGGCCTACAAAATATTATTAGAAAAAATATTGAGAAACAACTTAATAACAAAGAAACAATAAAAATAGTAGCCAGCTACAAGCTTAAGGTACCTAACCGAAAATAAATGTTGCTTGTTTCCCATTGTCAGTTTGCAACTAACAGCAATAACGAAAATTCTCTGATAGCCTAGAATTAGGAAGAGAGAATATCCAGGTACTTTAGAATGGGACAGCATCGGCCATAAATTTACGTCTATGATGCGGCTTGATACATTTTACATGATCTCTAAATACATTTTTAACGTCCGCACAAAGCGGGTTTCATAAACGTTTTCCCTCTAAAACAAGGAAATATCAATGCAGATTTTTTTAAATAAATCAAAAAACTTAAATATAAAATATTACCATAGAGAACAGTTGCAATACAAATGTTTTAATCTGGTTTGCTGTTTATCTCCAATAATAAATACTATCAAGATATTTCACAAATTTTATTTCACTTGGATTTGTCTCTTCCTCAGATAGAGGCAGTTCCAAAATGATTTCGCACATGTGGAAAAATTCGGTGATATCTGCAGCAAGTAATGATAACAAGAAATAAAGATGAAATCTAAAGCATCTAAAGTTGAGCAAAGAAGAAGAAAGAAGCAAAACGATGCTTCAAATATTCGTGCAAATCCGTTTGAGCTTAGGATAAATCGTCAAAAGTTCAAAGTGATTGGACGAAAGTCAAAACATGATCGTGGCCTGCCTGGTGTCTCAAGAACAAAAGCAATTAAAAAGGTATACAAAAACTAGAAATTCAAGGGCAGATTGAAATCCTTCTTGCTCGATTAATGATAACCAGCAATTTCATAATCAAATAGTCACCCGAAAGACTAAACCCTCGCACCTATCGGACTGGCTCCGAATTTAGGGCCCGGGCAGCAAATTCGTCGAGAAAGGGCCCCGAAATTCAAATTAAGTTTACGACTATCATCGAAGTCTCTTATGACAAAATCTTCAAGGCTGGCTTAAAAGGCTATTGGAATATTGCTATTAGTTCTCATTAGTTACCACCATAAAACTTAAGAAACTCCAGATTCAACACGCACAGCGGATCCACATTAAAATAATATATGGATTTAATACCGTATCATACAGATGAAGCCAAGTGTGGAAGTCAGTTCCAAGCGAAATAAAATACTCAACAACTTTACAAATAATCAAGAAAAAATCTCGGGAATTTTCATCATTCTATTGTACTTGTGATCTTTGCAAGGAATACGTATACAAGATCGGTTATACTTTATTTATATTTAGCGTTGGTAACTTGAATTTGGGGTTCTACAATCCTTTATTTGGGTCCGCATCATTTTCACTGTATTGCCCAGGGTTTTATTTTGACGTAGGATAAGAGGAAAGACAAAATCTTGCCATTGTGGGGAAAAATTATCGTTTTCTTGCTAAATGACTATTTCTTGCTGTAGTGTTTCTACCACTAAACTTTTGATTGGGGGTTGGCTAAACCCCTCAACCATAGAAATCTGCAATGAAATAGTATCATCCCACAGAGCAAATCACGAACCTAATGGAAAGTCTCAGTTATTCAAGTAAATTTTGATATGTAATTTTCCAGTCAAAGCATAATGGGGGATTGATATTTTCCGATCATTGGTTGAGCAGACAGGTAAACTGATTGGTTGAGCAGCAGTCAAAATGGAAACATCAGCAGCATAGGCAGGGCGGGCTGGAGAAGAGGGCCCATACCAAACAATACAAGTTGCCATTTCATAGTAAAATGGAGAAAAATTGCAATAATTTTGGGAGGGCTCACCGGGCGATCTCCCAGTAGCCAGACCGGCCAGTCCTTCCCTGCCTAAGTTTCAGAGTCTGAACTCGCTGCCTAAACCATATCCTCCCCTCCACTCAGCGCAAACCACAAAGAATTTTCGAAACCAAAATTCTGTGCCATATTGTATGCAGCCTTTTATATCCCACTTGCAGCTTCCACCTCCAAAAGTCAAAGTTTTAATATCTACTATAGCCAAAACTATACATTTGTTTTCCAACCTGATGGTTGTTGAAGGGGATTTAAATTAGAAAAAACTGGACAATTATTACATGTTGCAATCAAAAGTGAAAGTATAAAAACTTTGGCTCTCCTCTTATCTGTCAGCTTTGATGGACAACTACCAATTAGATTAAAGGAATTTGGATGCTTGATAATGTTTGCTCATTTTCAAGGATAATATTTTCAAAAATGTGGATTTAAATTTTCTGGCTCCCTTTTAGTGTTTAAGGGAACCATTCTGGGAAATTTCAAACCTGTTAAGCACAGCTGATTTGGCAGTGTGTAAATTTTAGACGAAAACATGGAAGCCTCTGCAAGACCTATGGGATATCTTGCTTATCTTGCTTCAGGCCTCTCAGGTTGCGGCAAGTGATTGCACACCAGTGCCTGTTTTGTCACACACAAGCTTCTCAAAAAGCAATGATATCGCACACCTCAGCCATTTGCATTTTGTAAATGTAAAGATTACTATCTTGTTGCCCTGGTAACAGGCCTTTCCCAGAGATGCAGGCTATAGCCATGCCTGTGCAAACCCCATGCAAAATAAATTTGCGTGGGCTTTTTTCCACCCACACAGTTTCTCAAACTAACATTCTCAACGCAGTTTAGCTTCCCAATGTTTGTACTACTTACTGCTAAATATCAGGGTGTTTGTAAATAAAGGGAAATAGGTCTTACACGTCTATATGTTTATCACATGTTAACAAACTATTGTATTATCTGCTAAAACTTGCTTTTGTGTTTGCATGAAAGGAATGATATATAGAGTGATTAATGCTACGAATAATTGAAACGAGAAATGTTACACCATGCTGTCAAATACAAAACAATTTCTTTTCATGTAAGTCAAGTCAAGTCAAGTCAAGGCATTCCCAAAAAGCCACATTTGACTGGCAAAATTTAACAAAACTTTGCTATATTCCAAAAAAGTTATGTTCCTCTTTGGTCTCATTTTAAGGAGTGATAGTACAAAATTTAAAGGTAATAATACACGCAAAAATTCCTTCTTAAGGTGAATAATGTTTAAAGAATTGGCAATGTAATGTGTTTTTGCTTTTGTAAATACTCAAATATTAAAAAATTAACAACAGTTCAGCAAGTGCAAAATAGCCCATGCTGTCAAACTGGCAAGGGCTTTTTATAGCCCATGTTGTATTTTTTTCGGGAGAGGCCTGCCGGTAATCATTTTTAAATTACAGCATTCACCATTTGGGAGATTGCATAGCACAATATGCTTGTTAAACAGTTAAAAACTGTATGTGCTGGTTTAGTATGATTAAAGAACCACTCTAAATCTGCGTCGCCACTATTATAATTACAAGATGTAATTTTTAGATTAAAAGTGTTTAAATGGTTTAGCTACTACATTACTGTTATGAAGGCCCTGGGCACACTGGTTTCTGAGATAAAACTTCCACATGTTAAAGTGGAAAGTTGAAAATACTTTTGCTTGAAATTTGAGGCACACTGCATTAAAAGCAAAGAACACCATTGACTTTGGGCACTGTGTGGAGCAAAAAATGCGTTAATTGCTGATCATTTCCGTTTTCCAAAGTATGTTCTGCTCTTAGGCAGGACAACAGAACGTTTGAGGGATTAGTGAAAAAGTCACAATTTGGTTCAGTGACAATTTTGGTGGGCGCACTGGAAAATAAGCATTTGTTTGCTAACAAGCTTAATCCCTACTGTCTAGGAACAATAGGATTACCTTTGTCAGAAGTTTTTCCTAAAATTTTGTTCAGTGCACCCAGGGCTGAATTCATGTTGGAGTCAAAATAATAGAAGTTTCTTTTGTGAATGTCTATAACACTGGAAAGATAATAGCTATATAGCCATATTGTACTGCAAAGCTTATATTAGTCAAAATCTTTGTGCTGAAGATTTCATATATGCTAAAAATTATTTTTTTAGAGAAAAGAAACTCTGCTTCAAGAGTTCAAACACAGGAACAAGGTAATTCTTATTCTGATGTGACATTTCAAAATTTACTGAAAAACATTGAGATTTATGTTTGCAATTGAATGGAAAAAACAAATTTCCCTGTTTTTGACAAACCAATTCTCTTTTACTATTCCAAGGCTGGGACTTTTGTTGACAGGAGGTTTGGAGAGTTTGACTCTGAGATGAGCTTGGAGGAGAGAATGCTAAAGAGATTTACACTTGAGAAACAGGTTTGTCTCTAGTTTAAATTGAATATCTTATCACATTATACTCGAGTAACAATGTCTTTTGGATTTTAAAGCACACCATGTCTTTGTTCAGATTCTTTTTGATAATTTTAATCGAATCTTTCATAGAAACACCATGAAAGTAAAAAGCTATATAACTTAGATGATGATGAGGACTTGACGCATTACGGCCAGAGCTTGGGAGAAATGACAACTTTTGATGATGCAGATTTAAAGTTAACAGATGATGAAGAGGACAATGAGGGTAAGTCAACCTTATGGCAGTGATCATATATAGACTTCAAACATGCTTGCTGCTCTTAAGAACTTGTTTAGGATAAATTTCTCTGTGAGAGCTTCTAGCTAAAAATGTATGCAAACGGCCATTGCTTCTTAAAGACCTCTGTTTATTTATACAAACCTAGAACATGTGCCTGATTAAATCTAATTACTGAATGTGCTAAGCTACATTCCTTATTTGCATATAAATCACTACTTTTTCCATTTCTGGTAGGTGAACATTTTTTCAAAAGCTTTACTCCTTTTATCTCACACCTTATCTCATCCAGTTTTTTCTGTGTAATATTCTGCTATTTGTCATTTTAGTTTTATGTATAATTACTGCTGATTCCTAATTAAAATCTCAACTTTTTAGATAAGACTGGAGTGAATAACTTTGGAGGCTTTTTAAAGAAAGTCGAAAGGCCAGATGGAAGAGAGGAGGTGAGAATCAAGAGCTGAAAATTATCTTTACAGAAAGGTTTATATTGCTTCCTGATTATAACCTGGATATGAGACTTCAAATTTATTTGTTGTTTTATGTTTTTAGGTTGAGAAACAGAAGTCAAAGAAAGAGATTATGGAGGAAATTGTTGCTAAATCAAAGCTCAAGAAGGTATTTGATTACAAGTCAATTAAAACATTTTTGATTACCCACTGAAAGAGATGTGATTAACCTAATAATAGACAAAAACTGGGTTAAACTTTTGCTGTTTTCACTTTATGTTTTCATTTCTCCAGTTTAACTGGTTAAGTAAGGGTGCTGCTTGAGTAAGAGAATCATTTAGACCTGTATTGTTTAAAAATGCTGCAACCCCAACAACATTCTCAGGGGTGGATGATTGCGGTAAAAAGTCTCAGTGGGAGACCTCTATCTGTGTCTCAGGTTTGGCTTAGTTTTGAAGCAAAATTAGGAATCTCTGGTTCATGTTAATGTGTGGCAAATTGTCTGAAAATGGTAGTTGCTAGAGAGTTGTTTTTCTGCAACATATACTTTGGCAGTCGTTGATCTTGAATTGTTTTTATGGATCATTGGGCCTAAAATGTGTACCTTGAATGTATGTCTTTTCATTGCCCTTGAAAACATAAAATGTTTTTACTGTTTTATTCAGTTCAATTCTGCTTTATTTATAAGCAGTTGTTGAAAAGATAACAGGATTTCTGTCAAATAAGTGATGTGAATTCTATATCATTCATATGTTATCAAATCATTTATAGAATGTTTATTGATCTGAATAGTTTGAGCGACAAAAAGCCAAAGAAGAAGCATTCCAGCTCACACAAGATCTTGATTCGGATTGGAAATTGATCCAAGGCTTGCTATCAAAAAGGGTAGGTTTTGTTTGTGTACTGGATGACGCAGTGTTTAAAATTGTTACATATACACTTTTTTGCTTTAGTATCTCATCTTGCAAGAGAATTGTTTGGAGAAATAGAACTGTTTGGATTTCTTTCGTTTGTTCTCCTAAATTCCAATGAAAATCTATTTTTTTTCATATAACGTCATCCATTTGTATCGGAACATTATCCTTATATGTACTGAATTGTAGTTTGCGCCCTTATTATGAGAAATTGTATGAAGATAGCTATGAAACGACATTCAATTTTGTTCTTGGGTGTTGGAAATGTAAACAGTAATATTTAAATTGTGTATATGCATCTTGCAGGAGGATGAGAAGTCTGCCAAGGCAGATGACTACGACATTCTTGTGAATGAACTCTTGTATGAAACCAAAGCCAAGGTTTGTTGATCTAGATGTAGCATTGCATTCTGGGAAATATGAATCATGTTATGCAGTTAAAGTTATGAATTTTATGATGTCAGATAGGTTGTCTTTGTTAAATGTGAAAAAATGTACGGAGTCGTTGATCATAAGGTTTTCTTCATTCTTCATGAATGCTTTAGTGATAAGTTTGTGATGAATTTACACTACGAGTACAAACACGAATTTCTGAATTTTCTTCTATGATCTAGAGCTGTCTAAGGTCATTCAATTTGCTTGGCATTAGTATTTTAAGATACAAATTATTTTGCTTTGCAGCCAAAGGAAAGAATGAAAACTGACGAAGAAATTGCCAAAGCAGAGAAAGAAAAGCTTGAAAAACTCGAGGTCTGCACTGTTTTTATTTCCATGTTTATGTATGTACCTCATAAGATAGAAAAACTTGACTATATTATCAGTGGCCAAAGATAAAATATAATAGAAGCAACATCTAGCACTAAACTGTAATGTAGGTCCACCAGTCCATTTCTAGACAAGCTCGACAAAATCGGATCTAGTTTGTGTTGCCTTCCTCGCTTGCTCAGTAGACACATCCAGCATATTAGCAGTCTCAACCATGGATCGCATTTGTGTTTCTTTGTAGCTGTTGCAAATAGCAGCCATTATATTATTGCATTGCTCTCACTTATTCATCCATGTGGGATGTATTTTAGGCAGAATTCAAGTATGTAATTTTTTTCTAAAGAATTTTTTAACTACATTTTTGTGTATTTGTTTAATGCTATTCACTGGATCATTTTAAACCTTGGGGTTAAGTGGCTTGTGAGGCGTGTCTACCACCACCCTGCGTTGCGCTTAAAGCACAATTTGCGTTTCTTTTTAGATTATTATGAATTTCCTTTTGGTCTATTGTTTCAGGCAGAAAGATTGGAGAGAATGCTCTCAAAGAGTGAGAAAAGTCACCATCATCTTTCAGCGGATTATCTTGGTGAAAGGTAACAATTCTGCTTTTTTAGACTTTCTTGTTTGTCTCTTCTTTAATTTCTTGTGTTGCTTTAGAACTTTAACAAACTGTTTAAATGTATTCCATATTAACTTGTTTAGACAATTCAAAAAAGAAGATAAGAGATTTGAACTTACATTTAAAGATGGAAAAGCTGTTCTGCCTGATGGTGAGTGCAAAATGAAATATTTCGTTTTATGAATCATTACTCAAAGTTGGAATTCAATTTAGTGCTCGTTTTTTTGATATTACGTTGACATTTTATCGCTTCCTAATGCGTGACCCTCTAATCTAGAAACATCTCCAAATTTCGTAACCCCTATTTATCGGTGCTTTACAGAAGCCTTCGACACTTCAAATACAAAGAATGATGGTTTAGAGCTGTTAGAACCTGATGTTGAAGATGACGAAGATTTCGATGATGATGCGGAAAGTGGAAGCGAGGAAGAAGGCGAGGACGATGATTTTGACGAAGAAGCTGATGATGACGATGCCGAGGATGATGAAGAAAGCGATATTGGTGAAGAAGAAGCGGACAACGTTGGCAAAACAGAAGGGAAAATGTCAGCAGCAAATGTAATAAAGAAGTTAGATACAGGGATTCTTGATGAAGCTAGCAAAGAGCACAGTATTATGGTATGTTTTCAGCTGTATAATCGTATTCAAATATCAAAATATGACGATAACCATATATTACGCCCGTTGTCAAAATTAAAATACGATCTTATTGTGTTCCCCACGGCATCGCCCCTGATGATTGTTGAATTCCTAATAAGTGAAGCAATATTACGGCATTCTCGTATGATGGATATATATTCTTTACAACAACACTTGCTAGTTCTGCCATCTAGGCTTACTAGGGCTGCCATCTGCTTAATGGTATGTGACACAATATCGATGAATCTGCTTGCGATTTTGATAAACGAATAAATCGCGAAACAGTCTGCAACAAAATGAACGAATCCCATTTGCAGAGACTCTTGATCAATGTATTCTGAAGTAAGAAAAGCATAGCCTTTATTACATTTTGTTTTTTTTAACTGTATTAGGTGCCTAAAACGTATGCATTTAATTATAATATCTTTGGAAAAGCTGTATTATCTTATAAAGCCTGTCTGCGAGTTTTCTAACTTCTTGTGAGATTATAATTCTGCTTTTTGGAATGTAAAGGAATGTTTTCCTTTTTTGAAAAATTGAGTATTTTTATCTAGGACACAGACACTGGCAGAGAATTACCATTTACCTTCAAAGGTTCGTTTTTCTGTGAACTGTGGTTGAAATGTTTGTTTAAGTTGGTTTCATTATTTTAATGATTGCCTTTGCAGGTTTTTATTTTGATTCTTTTCTTACTCTTGATTCATCTCAGCTAATGTCTTAAGTTGAGTAGGACCATTAATTTAAAAAAATCAGAACCATGTTTATATTTGACACCATCGCTATAAATATATGAATACTCAAAGTTAATTTGTCTACTGCAGCCGCAAGAAAATTACGTTATTTTTTACTTTTTGAGAAAATTTTCTTGCATGTAGAAGAATTATGTAGACAAATAGAAGTCCAACAGAATTAAAATAAATTTTCTCTTGGCAAAATCCCAGTTTGATAAAAAGTTTTATTTGTTAAAGATTCTAACTGCTTTCCTAGCTTGCTATTTTCATGATTCTAAACAAAATTTATCGTGGTGACTTTTCAAATTCGAGTTTTGTTCTTTATCCATCGTAGGTTCCCCTCATTTTTAAAAGAAAATCCTTTAATATGAACTCATAATTAACCTTCTTTTGTATTTACAGCTCCAAATGATTTGCAGGAGTTTTTGTCAATAGTTGGAGGATGGTACGTTTTTGAAGGTTTTTATGTCAGAAATTTTTGTTAAAATAAAACATTTATTAAAAAGAAATTTCAAATTTCACGATATTTTAAGAGTGACAATGTCTTTGCAAGGAAAGTACGTTAAAGCTTCAATGAATTCTGCCATTAAAGATATAACAGCAAAAGATGAGATATTTATATATCACTGTGTTTCATTGGATCAATATATAATGTTGCTGCATTTAGTACCCACTGTATATTGAACCATATTTGTTTTGTAATGTGATGATATTTAATTAAGATAAACAATTATCACACATTTTTTCTTTTAGGCCGCACGAACAGCAGTTATGTATTATCGATCGAATACGGAAATGTCATCCTGTGAAAATTGACGAAAAGAATAAAGCTAAAATGGAGGTAATAATTTTCATTCATTATCAAATTTTTACATGTTTTCATAAGCTAATAAAGATGCTTTTTAACCAATTTCCAGTAGTTTTTTTTTCATCCCCAATTGTGTATGGTTTAGCAAAAGTAATTGTCACGAATAAGAACGAAAGAGCTGCAACATTAGATACTTTTTACCGACCCTCGCTAGAGTTGTCTGATAGTGACCAAAAAATAACCGGAAGTCGTGAGATGTAGAATTACGCGTGTGATTGGTTTTTTTGTCTTTGACCAATCACACACGACCAAGGTTTGTTTTAATGTGACAGAACGGACGTATCTTGTATGGCATTATTTTTTCTTCTTGGTTAATTTAGGCTTATGTAGTTTTGTCATACAAAAGTAAGAGGCAAATTTTTTTCTTCGACAGACGCTGTTTGGCATACTTCTAGAGTTCATCGACCATCTGTGTGATCAAAGCCCGATTCCTTTTGCATTCATAAATCAGTTGGCAAGGTATATCTTTGTATATCTGCATGAGTTCTGATTTTGCGTCTTCATTTTATGTAATTTTCTCCTGATTTATATCATTTCCCATCCAGTGTCTACGCCTGTATGCTAATAAGTATCTTTTATACCCCTGGCCATGTTAATGATGCACAGAAAATGGTATATCTTAATAAATATCTTAAAAGGTTCTATCCTATTCAAAGTAAGATCTATTATCGTCATGCTCATTTTTATCTGGTAGGGTTATAGAGCCCCAAGGATTTCATATGCCGATGTTATTTAGCAGGCTATCTTTATACGTCACTAGAAGGCCTAATTTCAAAGTATGTTAACTTTTAGTTAAGCTTTAATCAGCTCCACTTCAATAAGATAAATAATACATTTTCAATAGACCGATATTCGACCTTGTCAAAGACAGTTCTTATCACTGTGCCGCGGAGGTTCAGCGGAAGTTACGTCATATGTTCAAACGATTTTGGATAAAGCATCAGACATACGGTTTGTTATTTGTTGTCACTTGAGATATTTGCATACTTTTACTTTTGTTTTTAGATTTCAAATCTGTAACTTTTTACATATTAAACAAAGGTTTAGAATAAAATTTTTGTTTTTCATTTGCTAATATTTGAACAGTTTTAATCGCTGTTTATTATTCTTTATATGGATTCTAGAATTATGAACTAGAATGTCAATTTCATTAACCTCGTTCAAATGTCTGAATTAAATGACTAACGAAGTGTTTATTAGTATTTTCTTTGCTTTAGGGGGTAGACATGCGATGCCGGATATCAAAGAGGTATTAATGATTCGCCTTAAATTATACTCATTTTGAGATGTTGGTCTTATGCTTGCCTGTCGCCATCTTCAGGTCGAAGACATCGACGCCCTTCATAGGCAAACAGTACAAAATCCCTTTTTGTATCAATATTTTTATTTCGAATTTCGAGCCTCCCCTGAAAAAATTAAAAGCTAGTGCGCCTATGGTCAACTGTAATAATTTCACAACACATGATTATTGCGCCATGATCCCAATCTACTAATCATTATTCTTATGATTATCAAATATAAATCCTAATCTATGGACACCAAACAAACTCCAATTTGAGTTCACCCAGCCTTCTCGTAGCAGTTATGAGCTGGAACAGTCAACCTCTAGTCAGAACATAGGAACCGTGCTATCTTTTAGTCAATATTGTGACACCGAATTCTCAATATACCGAAAGGAAAAAATTCTGATGATATTTCTGAGACCCTACATTACATAAAGTACCATCGTTCAAAATGAAAATTTTCTTTCAATTTTTAGCTGATTCTTCTGGTGATCATATCAAAAGTATTTCCTGTCTCTGACCTGAAACATGGAATTACCACCCCAGCGTTGATTTTCATGGCTGCAGTTCTCTCGAAGGTACCAATCCAATGTTATTTACTTGAATTGTCCAATATTATACAATATGTCCCATCAGTTAGCCGTTCATGATTAAAAATACGCCTGATAGCGCGTTTATAATCTAGAAAACCATGACAATTAATCTTACGTTGCCGAGTGGATACGTTAAAATCGATCTATTGTGTAGTCCAACCAATGGGAATTTAAATGGCCAGCGAAATGCGTCGGGACATAGTGCCTTTAAGATTAATTGCATCTTTTGGTTCTTATTTTAAGTAGATGCCACACTAAATACTTTTGTAGTATTAAGGATACTGATAAAATAATAAATGTTTTTATTTCTTTAGTATAGCAAGCCATTTAATAGTTTAGAAGCAAACTGTGAAAGGTGTGATTCTATATGAAAACGAATGATCATACCTGGCATTGCTGCAAAGGATCGAGAGCGTCAAGGAACGGACGATCTCCTATGATACTATTGAAAGGAGCTGTTATTTTCTGTTTAAAAGATCGTATCTGGAATTGAATAGGACTTAGGCCTTTTGGAGTTTGTGTGTCGGTAGAGGTATTTCTCTTGTCGCAACTAAGGAACACCACAACGCGCTGCAAACAAACAACAATAAACACACGTAAATTAACTGGGACTTGCAGGAATTCTCATAGCTTTTTCGACTTAATTTTATTCCTATGTTATTAGCATTATACTTTATTCGGTTATACTTTATTCAAAATGATGAATTTAATACATTGGGAACACTGTCCACCTAATAGTTATTACAGTCTTCCTATCAAATTTAACATCTTAAACTTGAGTGATTGATTAAATTCTATTGCACATATATGTAAGCATTATTCTTGCATTGCCTAGCTTTTTTCCATCTCCGACCTACAAGTCTTAGACCACGGATGCACACATCACATTTCGCCATGCATCTTGCAACCACTTTTCCCATTCTCCCCTATTTTCGTCTAGCCAACTCATTTGTTTTTCTGCAAGCGCGTCACATCAATGTTATCTGTTTAATTTTCACCACAGAGTCACTTTCAATCAGCGGCTGATTTGCTGTCAGGGCTATTCATATCAAACATACTTCTTGAGGTAAGGTGAAACTTTGAAATAGTTTTGACCAACGTAATCCCCTAAAACCAGGGCTATAGAACAGATAGAACAGTAGAGACCTGCAATGCCTGCCAAAAGTCTTGGAACACTGACGTCACTTTCCAAGGTCAGAAGCAATCATCCCCCTCTCTAGCGCTTCTTTCATGATATTTTCCCAAATCATCAACATTGTTTTAGGGGAAAGGGGGCAGAAGTAGTAATTTTTCACGAAAGGAATGAAAGATATCAAATGCAGCGTAAATTGCTAGGTGTTCCAAGTACTTTTGGCAGGCATTGTGGGAACTCTGTGAAATACACTAGTGAGCAGAATATGTATATTTGGTTTCTAAATATATGTTTGCATGTTTTTTAATTTTCATTGTAACTTCATTTCTTTTCTTGAAGTTTAAGAGTCTCCTTGCACAGAATATTTTGATTATTTACTAATTTAATAACAGGGCCTCAAATGAGGACCATGCCCTCTACTTTTCTCTAAACAACAGAGCTTTGTGCAAAATCTTTTTTGTGATTCTTTGTTTTGTCCTTGGTCCCCACTTTCAAGCTTGAATCGGAGCCCCCCTGCGATAATGGTATTGATGCTCGCGAAGAGGTTTTTTATGAATATGTTTGAAACCGTCTTCGTTTAGCTCGTTACTAAATTATTCATTTTCAATCTATATCAAAGTCTTTTCTTCTTCTAGTTCCAATTGTTGTCAAAACGTTTTGTGCCAGAAGTTATCAATTTTCTTTGTGCGGTTCTTTCTATGGCAACTAAACCTAAAAGCACACTGAAATGTAAGTTTTACCAAGGCAACTTTTGGTTTATGCATAGATTTTCACAGTTTCATCCTCTTTTAGCATTGCTCATCTTTAATTAGACTATTTGGTTTGCATTGATTAGAACGTCGTGGTTTTTACTTATCAGAAAAATTGCCCCTGCAATAAAGAGCTGAACTTTTTCAAAACAGTCCAAAAGGAAATGTTCAATCCATAATGGTGACATGTTTCAGATAATTGGCAGAGCCCGGTCATCGTTCCATCAAGCTGTTTTAGGGCCTGTTTATATGGAGGCGAGTTTCCCGGCATGTAAAGGAAATCAACAGTTTCTCACTTCACCGTTTACATGGACAGCCGGGAAACTCGCCTCCATGTAAACAGGCCCTTAGTATCCATTTGCATGAAAATTAAAAACTGCTTTTGTGTTGACAGAAGTAGTTTATTTTAACTTTGGTCTTGACCGGGCTCTTACCCTTGGTAATTTTTCCATTAGGCATGGAAATTTTCATTTCCTATATCAACATTTTCGATCATGATTCTGACGCTTTATTTTCGAAAGAATGTAGATTCTTCAAATGTTTTGTTTTTTAAAGCTATTTTAAAACTTTTTACTGCCAGGGAATTGTTCTGATGTTTTGCTATTTAAGTTTACCTTTCGGTTTTAAGATTCACCGTCGCTGCAAATACATAACAAAAACAAGAACTGCCTTTACCTGGAAGACAAAACGTAAGTTCTAACCTCAAAACGTAATTCAGTTCATCATTATCAGTTGATGACTGTGACTCGAAGGAACCTGCATAATTCAAGAAGTGTTTGTCTCTCATTTCATGCAATGAGATTAAAACTTTCTGGTACGTCAAGGATATATCATTTTTGACAAAATTAAGCAGAATAAATCATTCCCTATCTCAGGCTTCTTCCTGAAATTTATCTACATATTTTTCTTCTAGTTTTACCTGTTTGCAACACTCCCTAATTTTTTATTTGAAAACATTTTTATGGAGAAATATGTATGCAAGAAAGTATGCAAAAAGTAATGTGTTTAATGTGTTTTAAAGAAATGTAAAAATGTAATTGTTGTTTTTTGTGCATAAGTCAATGGTAAGATTTCTGCAGCACTTTCGTATGTTTTGACCACTGATTGTTGTGAGATTTGTGTGCTAAGCCTAAATTTTTCGTGGATATTTTCTTAAACGTTTGTCAATATCTAGAAAAAAGTGCGTCACATTACTTAGAATATTTCCTTGTTCATTTGCAACCTCATCATCTCTTTGACGTTATTTACCTACAATTTCTACAATTTTCAAAATATGAGCTAGACAAAGAAAAACAGACCCCATCTGGTCAAAAGTGTACAAATTTTCCAAAGTTTGAGTAATTTTGCAACTGTAATTTTTTACGAAATCAAAATCACTATTTTTGCAATGATTGCTAGAAAATTATTCATCTGCTAGACAATATATCTTATTCTAAAACTTCGGGTTGATGTTCTTGTTTTCAAGTTTTGATTTATTTATTTGATTTTACAGCAATAAAAATGGAAGGAAATTGAAGCTGTCGGATTTAAAAGACAGTAATGAGAAACTGCGAAATCTCGAAGTAGAAACAAGGTACTAACCAGTACTAATAAAAGATTTTTCCACATTCTGCTTTCCCTTTGGTCATTTTATAAGATTTTTTCGATTGCTACTTCTGTTGTTTTTATTCTCTATACTTTCGTACTCGAAATTGTTGGTAACTTGCTATGCACTTGTGCACTGTGGATTTCTGTGAAAATGTTTTTTGGACTATTCTTGATGTCGTAAGAGTTTGTTTTGGAACCTCTAGGTAGCTGTTGTGAATTTAATAAATGTAGATCAACCACAGTGCACAACCACGAATTTGTTTAACATTGATGAACCTATACTTTTTTTCCAGGGTATCTGTTCTCAGACTTGGGGTTAATTTGACAAAAAGATTTGCTGGATTATACAAAGATCTTTCCTCATACTCAGAAGTGTTTGCTCCTGCAATAGAGGCAATCAAGCTGTATGTATCATTTGCTACCAGCATCACAGTATTGCACATGCTTCATTACACAGAATATCTAATAATCGTAATTGGCACAATAAATCTTAGATGTTTAGCATATAAGTAAATATATTAGTAATTGAAACTCTCCCCTTTTAATTTTTCAATTCGAGCTTCCTATTAGGACTTTATACGCCCCCTCGATATATTTTGAACCATCCAAAAAATGGGTTTACCATGGCATTACTGCTGCTGCTTTTACTGACTGTTGCCATAATGTGATAATGCATAAGTGGAAGTTTGACCCAGTAGTTTTTTGCTTCATGAAAACCTGTATACTTTCTAGGTATTTTAAATCATCAGTTGTAATTTGGATTTCCCTTTTTTAGTATTCCACTGGATCGATATCCTCAACAGATACAGGTAGCTTTTATCTTTAACATATACCTGTCACGTGGCTTTATGTGTTACCTCTTTGTAACTTCTGTTTTACTTCAAAAAACGCCATGAATTGCTTTTGTTTAAGAGAGTCTGTTCCTGACGGCAGTCATCATTGTAGGTGGATACCGTAAGTCCGTAAGGGGATGTTTTTAAGTTTAGGTTGCACGTTAATGATTGGAAATGAACTAGAGTCAACTAATTATTTTCCAGGGGTTATAGATACTTTGATATGTCATGAATTGTCTCATAGGTATTGAGATCTTATTGTGAATTGTTAAACTGTATTCCTGACGAACTGTAAAAAAATTGCCGTATCTATTATATCTTATATTTGCCGACAGTGGAAGAGTGTAGAAATCAGGAAAGAACCTCCTGTATAACTGAATATAGCATTAACCCTCACTCCGGCTAGTCCGGTATACAATTATATGAAAAACAGAACAATAATACCCATAGAGAGTCCATAACAACACCTAATTTGGAGTAAAAATAGCGTCATAAAGAACGTACCAGTAATCGGAGAAAAACATTAGAATGTTTCAGGTAACAATGATTCACTTTTGCTTACTTTGAATGCATATCTTTTACAATGATTGAGCATTGATATCTTTGATTGAGGATATCATTATTTATCTTGGTGTACTTTGTAGGAAGAAATTTCACAACTTCGTGGGTTACTGGAGAACAGTTCAGAACGCCAGCCATTGACTCTTCTTCATAGGAAACCGATACCATTGCCGTTGCTTGAACCCAAATTCGATGAGAGGTCAGCTTTTAATGTAATTTGTAATGTAAATAGGTTTACAATGCTCTAATTTCTTTGTGCTAAAAGACTCTTTTTTTAAAAGCTAAACTGTGATGAAAATTGATCATGAAATTTTGCATTTATACACAGATAACAGATGGAGGGGACCAGGGGGGTGATGCCCTCAATAATTCGAGGCCCCCGAGTTCTCGGCAGGAACATTTTTTTATTTTGTCTAAATTCGATGAGAAAATGTTGGCAATGTACTTGAAATGTATGCAAGAATGTATGGAAAAAGTAAAGTGTTTCTTTAAAACGATTTTTTGCATCAAATTGATCTTGTTGTTATTTTCTTTTTTGTGCATCAGTCAATGGTAAGATTTCTGCAGCACCTTCGTATGTTTTGACCATTGATTGTTGAGATTTTGTGTGCTAAGCCTAATTTTTTTTTATGTTGTCTAAATTCGATGAGAAAATGTTGGCAATGTACTTTTTGTGATATAATGCTTTGTTTTTAAAAATGGCTTTACGTAACCCAAAGTTAGTCGTGGGCCTTCCTTTCAGGTAAAATTGATGTTCCATTTTGGCAAAAGGGCGTTTTCTGGTATAAGAAGGACGTGGCCTTAAATTTTTAATTTTGTCATCTCCCTCCCCCCAGAGCCTAATGGGTGGTGCTACCATTGGATCCACGTGTCTATGGTTCGAGTCCCTGACCAAACTTTCAGTTGACCAAACGTTATGTGAGGGGAGTCATTAGCTCTCTGTAATTCCAGGTGTAGGATTTAGGAGGTTTAGTCATATTTAGAGGAAGGACCAGAGCACTGCTCAATAGGCAAAGCTACTTAATGTCATAAAACCTTGAATACTACATAATAACAAGTACAGAAAATATTAATTTTAAAGGACAAGTGACACACTTTTCACCCTATCTTTTCTTTTCATTTACTAATAGATCATCATTTAGAAGTAAGTTTTTCCTGGTTTAGAACAAAAAATTCTAATCAGGGGGCGCAGGGGGCGCGATTTTCCTTTTTATCACGTGACCCTATGACGTACATTGTGATAACTCGGAATTTTCCTGTCATTAATAGAGAGTTTACGAAACACGACGCGACATGTCCAGACGAACTGAATTCGGTTAGAAGCGTGTTGTAAACGTTAATATTGCACTGTATACCAGTAGCAGCAATAACAAATTATCACAATCTACGTCACGGTGTCACGTGATTCATTTCCCGCCATAATTTGAAAAGGGTTTTTAAGTAGGAAAATGAAATCAGAAAGGAAAAATATTTCAACAGCACTCTCATACAGCATTTTACTTTAAGTTAAAAGAAGAAAAAAATTTGGCGCCAAAAGCGTGTCACTTGTCCTTTAAGCCATATTATGAAGCCAGAGGGCATTGATAGTTTTTTGTTACCAAGATGTAACAAATGGGTTCTGATAACTGAAGGTTTTGCTAGCAAACCAAGCAGCAAGATTACTTGCGTATTAAAATAGTTACTTGATATAATATGTCAATATGATCACCATTCATTTTATCATTTAATGTTCTTTCCATTGTAGTTATGAAATTACATCAAAGAAGCGGTCAAAAGACAAAACTGTTAATGAACGAAGCAAATTGAAGTACAAATACAAAAGTGAAATGAAGGTATGCATGGAATATCATTTGTTTACTCTCTTTGAACTTTTTTGGAGTTTTAGTTGGTAGTTATAGTTACGGCCATCAATATTATTGTCACAAAAATATTCTAAACATAGTAGAATTCCTTTGTGCAATTTTATCTTGAATATATTTTATGATAGATATATTTGTTTCTGATATATCTTTAATAATATTGTTCATTGATGATAGGGTGCAATAAGAGAGATCCGAAAAGACAGCCAGTTTTTGGCAAAGGAGAAGTTACACCAAACTATGCAAAGGTTCAAGCATTTATTTCAAATTATTAGCTTTCTCCCTTGTTTTTCTGTTAATTGTGAATTAAATTTTTGTTCTGATTCAACAAAACCTCTCTTGCGCCCAACTTTCAGCTGTGGTTAGTGATTTCTTTGCTGTTTGGTTCCTGCTTTGTAAGTCATGTCTGTCCTGGTTGTTTGCTTAATAGCTAGTGGAGCTGTCTGTAGCGTTTATGGTTCGAAGGCAAGGATCAGAATAATAGCAAATGTTTCCTTTGAAGCTCAGGGATCAACTGAATAAAATATACTGCCTGTGACAATTATACATCAGATTCAAATATAGACGAGTCATATCATGTCTAGTAAAACTTATAGCAATATCAAAAGTCTGCACGTAACATGTCTATTACTCACCTCAAGTTCTAAAGGCAAAGAATTTTTTTTCAAAATACATTGCTTCTAGTAAGGAGAGCTCAAATTCTTGTTGCAAAGTGGATAAAAGGAGGAAAACAAGGAATGCCATAGTTCACCGAGAATAAAAAAAACATTCGAAAATATGTTATAGACAACTGTTTTTTGCCTTAGTCTGCAGGACTTCCTCAAAGCTACCTGATGAAGTAGAAACGAAACATTTTTATAAGAGTTAGAACTTTCACAGGTTTATCTAAGTAAGGGATAATACACTAATTTTTACACCATTTATAGGAAATAGCAGCAAGAAAATAAACAAAATCCAGGAATTTTTATTTAGCATTATTTTTTGAAGAACCGATAGCTCTTCTTGGGCTTTGGGAACACTGGGCTATGGGGGTTTGTGGACTCAACTCAAACAGCCAGACCTTTATAATGTACAATTTGTGTTATAATTTCTTTTTTCTCTTTGTATATTGTGGTGTGTTTCTCATTCCCTATATCATTTTGCCATATATTGACATCAGCTATTTATTTATTTGCTAGGGATGCTGAACGCAGAGGTAGGACAAAGGAAATTGAAAGGCAACTTGCAGAACAGCAAGGAGAACTTAAAGCGCTTGATAAACTTAAGAAGAAAAAGAGATAAAATAATTTTTTTTTCACTAAGTCTTTATGATAAAACAATTCAAACTAAAATTGCCATATAATAGCATTATAATATGGAACTTTGCATTCTCAGGCATTTACTAAAGTATTGATATGCCTTCTTCTCAGGCTATTTCCTTCTTAAGTCTTCATTCAGAAATTGAACAGTGCCTAGAAACAAGTTATAAAAATATCCTTCACTGAATATAACTATGAAAGTGGCCATAAGAAAAATAGGTGATGGAATAAAGAATATAATTGTTTGAAAAGTATCACTCAGTATCATCAGGTTATCTTCAAAAACACTTAAACAGAAAAAAATGAAAAAATTCATTACTTCATTATATCAATGAAAAAAGGAAGTTATCCACTCTGCAGTCTCTCTTCTAACATTATCCTCTTGGCTTTGGTTAAAACTGTGATTGGAAAGTTGATAGCTCAAGGTTGCTAAAATATCTGATCGCTCAAACCTATTTCCAAGTAGTTTTTCTACAAATTTTGAAATGATTATCTCTATCATACTATTATTACAATCTATATCAACTTGTGAGATTAAACCTTTGTTGATAGTCATTTTCAAGTTAACTGTATCAAAAGGAAATTGTTTTTTGGTTTGAAAGCTGAATTTTGGTGTTTTGCCATAGTTCCAATCCCACTCAGAGAAGTCATCTCTCCTTTTTAAAATTTCTTGAGACTGATCTATAAATAAAGGATCAACATCAATCAAACATTCATTGGAGTTAAGTGACTTGTCTGTTGACTGGTATTGTCCAACAAATGCTTTTGCCAATTCTTTAGTTATCTCTTCCCAATCAAAAGATTCTGAGTTGTTGAATAAATTCTTTGTCTTTGATTTCACACTTTGTGTAGCATTTGAATCTATACCTATATAATTAGGATGAAGAACCGAATCTAGTACTGTAGTGTCTATATTGCACAGTAATGTGCAGTGGTGGTATGCTTTGTTCAATCCAAGCTTTGCAGCAGTTCCAGAAATTTTGTATTTGGTTTCTAAGACCAAGTCATCCCTCTCATTGAGAGACACATCAAACTTATAAAAACATTTTAAAAAATTTGCTATAAATTCGAGGTTTCTTTTTCGATTATAATCGTGTCTGTCCGTGAAAAATGTGAAATTGAGATTGCCTGGGTCATGATATACCGTACCCCCACCACTCTTTCTTCTAACCAGATTAATTCCTTTGGATTTTACCAACTCGAGGTTGCATTCTTTCCATGGATTTTGATGTCTACCAATTACAACAGTCGGTTCATTCCTCCATAGAAATAAGATTTTTGTGTTTGCATTATCAACTTGATCATGGATCAAATCCTCGAACGCCAAATTGACGAACGGGTCCAAAGAAGTGGATCTGTAAACAAGAACAGATTTTTGTCTTGTCGTGGCGCAGTTTCTTCCATTCAAGGTTACCAATCTTTTTAGACGTATTTTGCAAGAAAAACGCTGAAAACAACTTCCAAAAAGCATTTTTGATCAAAGAATCTTAGGATTAGTCTGTATCCGGTAAGTGAAGATTGAATTTTAATGGATATATTTTGATATTGCTGCATTTCTTGATAAGCAACGTGCAAAGCTGCCATTATCTGGTAGCCTCGCTTTTATCCTGCAGTTGTTGTTGGTGCTATAACATAAAAACTTCTTCAGAACGACAGAAAAATGGCGTCGACAAAGACAGAAGCCCCTAAAGATGATAAGAATGACAAGAAAATGAGTCGAATGGATTGGAAAAAGCAGAAGGAGCTCGAGGAAGCAAGAAAAGCTGGAACAGCACCACCTGAAGTCGATGAAAGTGGAAGGTATATCTGCTGATTTCATGACATGTGATTCCCTTCATCATTTTGTGATTCGCTTCAACTTTAAAAACAGATATCCCCTATATCTTTCCTAAAATTTCTTGAACATGCTTTTCTCACAACTGATGATTTAGGGGTGTCTTGGATTGCAATCTTATGTACTTTTCATGGCACGTTTTCGCATTTGGAAATGGTGGCTGTTATATAAAGAATGTTGAATAGTGTTAATCGTTACTTTGGGTATTTAATTAACGTACAGTACAATTAGGAACGACTAAGAATGTCTTAATATGTTGAAGCAATGAATGTGGCTATTATGCGTCAAGGAATAATTTAACTAGGAATTACATGATTATCATATCATTTACAAAATTATAAAGAAAATATTCCAGCACAAATTTGCTCTCCCCAGAGAATTAAGTGAGTTGAAGCAAGTGATGAAGTATGAAAATTAATAAGAATGTTAAATGTACAATGTTTTATTGAATTATGGGTTTATTGGAAGCTGTGTATGAAGCTTCTGTAGGGGGTTTGTCAGGTTTTGGAAGGATAACCAGAACCATGATGCAAGGGTTTAATAGTGTATGAAGGAGCCTTCAAATACTTGTGTGAGGCTTGCAAGGCATGTCATGACACAGTGTTGTGTGTGTTGAGTGCTGCATCAGAGCTGTCTTGTGCATGATGCAATATTTTCTTAGCACAGAATGTTGGCAACCTAGCCTAATAGACACCAGGTATTTGTAGGGTATGCTGTAGCACCTGTGTTAGTGAGGAATGGTGTGTTATTTTGGAGAGTGTTTTGTCAGACATTATTAGAAGATAATGTGGCATTTACAAATAGGTAAAAGGGACAGTGTAAAACTTGACAATTGGGCCACATCGTGCTCACGATTTATAGGAATGGTGGGTGATGTTGATACTCCTATATTATACTAGATGTTGTGTGGTATAATTGTTTTTATGTTCTTCTTAAACGTTTTACTAACAGTGTGCACTTTAACAATTCAAATTGTTTTTCTTTTAGGGATATCAATCCTCACATACCACAGTATATAAAATCTGTTCCTTGGTACCTTGGTGAAGATCGGTAAGCAGATTTTGTGATGTCCCTAATACCTCTGAATTAACAATATGGATTATTTATGACATTAACCTTGTATATGTCATCTGACTGCCCTTAAAAGCCATTATATAGTTTTTATAAAAGAAAGACAATTAGATTCTATGAAACTGCATTTTAACATTTTGTTTGCATTTAGTCCAACACTAAAGCATCAGAGGCCTCAAGCTGAGAAGCAGAAGAAATTTGCAGGACTTGATGATGTTTATATCAGAGGCAAAACAGCAGTTAGTGTTTTAATGTGATATATATAATTAACTTAAGATTCTATTTTCAAATGCTGTTTATTTGGGCTCCTTAACAAGTATTAATTTAATTATTTGTCCCATTTACTGCTCAAATTAATATTATCTTTAGTATTGATATGGCTTAATTAGCTTCACATTTCTAAGTCCAGCAATAAATTAACTCCCCATCCTTTCCTGGCCATTGATTGAATCAAAAGCTATCAGTTTATTTTTGAGATGCAACTTTGAGATGATATTAACTTAAGTTGTCATAAATTTAATAGGCTGTTTTTGCTGTTTTAATCAACCAATGAAAGTACCATGTATAATACAAACATTCTATTTCAGGGAAAAGCTGCTACAAAATTCAGAAAAGGTGCTTGTGAAAACTGTGGTGCCATGACACACAAGAAAAAAGATTGTTTGGAGGTAAAAAATTGCAGAATTCTGCCCACCCCTAATATTTTTCATTTGCAATCACAATTTACCAAACATAGCAATACATGTATCTTCTTGTTTCCAAAACTTGTTTGTATTTTTCTATACTATTCAAAACATTGCATCTTTTTTGCTTAAATCTTTCTTACTTTTTTATTCTTTTAGAGGCCAAGAAGGATTGGTGCCAAGTTCACAGGCGAGGACATTAAACCAGATGAAATTCTTCAAGTATGTAGACCTTTCATATTTATGCCAAAAGCAGTGCCACAGGGTGGACTGGGGTGGACATGTCCACCACCACCACCACATTATTGTTTGAAATAATGTAGACCATGCCTAAGGGAGAAAATTTGTCAAATGCGATGCGAGTCCCTATAAAATTTTACAGGGAAGTGGTCTTTAGTTTTTGAAAAATTGTTGACCAAGTAAGATGCAGCCACACTACAGCTTCAATAAATCAAAAAAGGTTTCTTGAGAGTGCTCCAGTAGTAATAAACCGAGAAGTAGGTGAACAAAAAAATTGAGGTTAGAGGGGGAGCGATTTTGTCTGTTTTATTTCACCATGTTTACACCAAGGGACAGTAAAAGACATGAAACTCGACACTGAGCAATGTTTTGCAGCTCAACATTCTTCCAAACAAAAAATAAAGAGTGTCTTACACAAGTCTAAAATAAAAATTCACCTGCGTAAAAGGAAACCATTTTTACAACGATTTATTCCCAAACAAGATTTTCCGTGGTGTCATTCAAGTCCAGATTTTTACATTGTTGAAACTGTTTGGCTTCTGAAACTGTTGAAGCTGTATGAAAAAAATTCCAAACCATGATTTAAAAGGTTTTTCAAAAAACCAAAGAATTGTTAATTGAAACAATTCTTCAGGTTTGGAATGAAATTCTACAATAATACATTGCCCAATTATATGCAACCAATTCAAGAAGGCATAAAGCGGTTTCAAAAGTTCAGAGCTCCCGTCAAAATATTAAAATCTGAAACTGTTAAAAGACGTTTTGAAACTGCTATTTTAAAAAAAGTGCTCTAAAAAGATTGAAGTTTTGACTGGTGGTTGTTTCACTTCCGACACACTCCCATTCGCCACCTAAAACAATCAATATCGCCCAACAATAGCTTTCGATAATTCTTGCACCATTTTCCCTCCTTCAAGGTGGTGTAATACTTTTATGAGGGGAGTGTACCTACATTTTCTTAAATTTTTGGGGGTCTAAGCAAATTTTGAAAAGCCCACGAAAGGCTGTTGATTTCAGTCTTGTGTTTGAATTGAGTAGTAACATCTTTAGATAATAGAAGGGCTTCATATTTCATATATTGATTCAATCAAAAATTTTAGAACATTAAGAAGCCAGATTGCACGTCGGCTAATGTGTTTTGTACCACCCATTAGGTTTTTCCTCTTGCCCTCTTTTGAAGCAAATTGTCAAAAGTAGCTACCAGCAACCAGGGTTGCTGAGAAGGGGAGGAAAGGGGGACTAATTGCACCAGGACCTCAAGATCTAGGAGGCCATAGAAAGTGATGAATTCCATTTTAAGAATGGAATAAATCAAACATAGAAAAAAGATGCCTAAAAATAGAGAAAAGTTTTAAACAATGGCAAGAAATGGCTGCAAGAGATATTCTGAAATGCATTTTAAGCTAGTCTGAAGGGCATGGTCATAAAAAAATGTTTCCTTGCTTTGCTTGCAGAGGGCCTCCTTTTATGCTTTCCCACAGAGCCTCAGAAACCACTCAGTGCCTCATCCAATGACTGTACTCAGATTGTTGCCTCTTATGAAAGAAGTTACTCTGTGCAAAAAAAATTAAAGAAAAAGAGTGAACGAAAGTCCATCATGTCACAAGACCATGTTGTTGCCTTATGCCTACAGAGTAAATTTTGATGCATTGAGAGTTTTAGACCCCAATAGAATCATCCTGATTTATGTAGCACATTATTTGCCCAAATAGCTTAAATTTAATACCAAAAAATTAATTTTACTGGTTTGATTATATTTATAATCACAGAAATGTCTTGATTTTTAATCCTGATTACGTTGTTGACATTGAATTCAATAAAAACACTCAGATTAGTCTGTATAGCCTTGTGTAATAGAAAATGGATTGTATTTGGTCTTTATTCATTATTTAAAGCTATTTCATCTACGATCTCAAATCAGATCATTTTTTATGGTAAACTGAAAACTGTGGTATTGTTTTACCTTTTGATATGCCAGATTAAGAATTTTAGTGGGATTGGAAAGAGCTGAAAGCTTTGAAAACATCTGGAAATTTGAAAAAGCCTTAATATCTTTGACATATTTGAGATCAGATAGAGAATTAACTCTTGCATGTTAGTGATGGAATGAGTTGCAGAGCCTAGTGTGGCAAACCTGGGACTATTTTCAATGTAACTGCTGATTGTTTTATTAGCCTAGGCTGTTTTATTAACTCGGTAGTTATATGAGTATCTCACTATAGGCAGTACAAATATGTTCCAGATCTTTCTCAACTCCTTGGTTTGACCAAACCAGGGGTGGATCAAGAACAAATTTGAAGGAGGGGCAGTTGGTATTGGGGGTGCTGAAAAATTTTCAGAAATTGGTGATGAGAGTACGCTATACAAAACAATTTCAGACCTTAACTACTGACAGAAGGCTCCCTTTTCACCTTCTAAAGGAAATTTTCACAATAATTGTGCCAAACCATTTCCAAAAGGGCATCAGACCTGGTTCAACTCAGTGAGGGAGGTGCAACTGCCCCTAGTTTCCCCCCTTAAATCTGCCACTGGACCAAACGGCTGAAAATGAAGAGAGATGCAAGTAGTTTCTTAACATGGTAGCAAGATTCTTTTCTTTCTTAATAATATGTTGTTGCAATTGTTGTTAATGCTTTGCATTTTTCCACTTTAGCCTGATTTAAAGTTTGATTATGATGGCAAGAGAGATCGGTAAGTTCATCAAGTTTTTTATCCACTGTTAGTTGATATGCTTTGAAAAGTATTTTATGAAATGTTGAACTGCACAAACACTTTCACTATGTTTTTGTTCAAGCATGTACTGTCTTTAATTAGCAGATTTTCTTATTACCAGCCATGGTTTATTATCAAGTTAATGTCTTAGGCCTGTTACTATTGTTTTAGTGAGTAGTAGAAGGTGATTGACTATCTATATGGTAAAATTGAAGTAGCAGTCAGAATCCATTATTCTTCAAATGATTTATTTTAAGATCTTGTATTTTGCATTTTTTACTACCAAACGTTCGAGAGTAGTTTTAAGAACACTTGCTTTTCAAGCAGTGCCTTGGTTCTTCTTCTCGTTGTGACCATACCTTGTGATTCCTATCCTGGAATTTAAAGAAAACTGTAACTTTAAATTTATACTAAAACTGTAGACACTTGTGAAAGTAAGATCATCTTAGTAATCCATATCACAGACCCTTTGACCCTGACTCTAATCCACTGGACCATCCTCAGACCTAAATATCTGTCAACTGTTCCTCAGACCTAAATTACTTTGGTTGCCAGACTGCAATTTTTATGTAGATAATTATTTGTTTGATAAAAAGTATGCATATATTTGAGTAAAAGGGTTACCATAAAAGATGTTAGTTTTATTTCCCAGGAACTTTGTTTTGGGTGGAAATTTAAGTTTACATGCAATTATACTGTCCCTAGCATGGGCCAATATGTCTATGCTCTTTGCATGTAAAACACACAGATTTGAAAATAAAGGAATTTGTAGAATGGTGGTAATGAAGCAATCTGACTTGGTGTAAAATTAGCAATTATCTTGTTTTCCAGATGGGCTGGTTATGATGTTGAACAGCACACCAAAATCTATGAGGAATATGCTCAAATTGATGAGGTAATTTTCAGAGGAAATTGTTTGTTAATTTAGATTTCTGTTAACAATGTTAATGTTCTTTGCGGTTATTTATCTGTGATTTTGATAAGTATTTTGGAATTTTTAGATCTAGTGGAAAATACCTATGATGCAATGTAAATAATGCTTTAGTTGATATTTTGTAATTATTTTCAAGGCCAAAAGACATTTAAAAGCTGCTCAACTTGAGGAAGATCTCGCAGAAGGTAAAACTGAAGCTGTGAAAGAAAAATTGGTAAGTACTTTTTTGTTGTTCATAAATGACTAGCAATTAAAGAAAAATGATTAACTTAGTGGTCAAGAGAATGACATTAATTTTGATAAAGTTGGATTGGTGTGTTAAATTGGATACCACTAAGTAGATACCAAACTTATATGAGTATGGTACTATGTGCAGGAGATTTTTACCAGATGAAAAATGCTTTGGTTATTCAAAGCGTAATTATTGTTTTGCTAGGCAAATGATGACGACGAAGACGAAGAAAAATATGCAGAAGAAATGTATATGCCAGGACAAAAGTTCGATTCAAAATTGTGAGTTAGGATTTTTGAGACAGTTGGAAACTGTTGGAAATCATAATATTTTCCAGTGGTTACTTTGATTTAAATGGAGTAGGATGGCAGTGAATTGTCTTCCAAGTCTTGTACATAGATTTATATTTAAGAAAGTGACAACCAATGTAGATAAATGATGTAGAGTAAGATGATGGAGATCTCGATCTCCACATATAAAATGCATATACAAAATTGTTACACTGTCAACGGAAGCCCTGTACCATTTGACTACAAACAGTCAAGCAAAAAATGTCATATCTACCAGAGCGCTAGTTTGCTTACCATTCTCAAGATTTGGCATAGATCTTGCTATTTTTTTCACTCGCCAACGTCGCATTTGTCGGTGGCTTTATATACGATGAAAGCATTTCTCCTTGTGTATTGCTGAAGGTTTGCACTGCATCGTTATTTATTTGTATTGTCCCACGTTTTAGCTTTATATGTTAAAATTGAACTTGGGAAAACCTTTATAATTGGGTTTCTCAAAACAATAGTTAGGAAGCCGGCAAGTAGTTACTTCACATCTTACTGAAACATCCTCAAGTTGCAATATTGAATATATACAATTGAACTGACCAATGTCTTCGTAAAGAAGGTGAATTAAGGACTACACGAATTCTCCAAGAACAAATTTTCACTGCTAAAATGAATCTTTCAGGCGAACTACCATACGGAATTTAAGGATTCGAGAAGATACAGCCAAAGTAAGTACTCAAGATTTTTCATTGAATGCCAATAAAGACCATCGCCGCAGTTAATAATATGAGTTTCTTTCAACAATACAATTTCAGTATTATTTTGCAGATTTGAATATTTTTGCTTATAAGAATATTTACATGCCTGCGCTCTTTGTGAAAAGTATACCCTATTAAAAAACTGATTTAGCTTTGGTAACGTGTCCAACTTTATTGCATTAAAGGGTTATTAATTCTAAAGCATATTCAAAAGACTCCTTCCAATATCAGAATTCTGTTTTAGTATCTGTACAACTTGGATTTGAATTCAGCGTATTATGACCCTAAAACACGATCGATGAGAGCGAACCCACTGTCAAACAACGACAAAGGAAAAGGGTATGCTAGCATTGTTTGATTACGTCATCAAAATGTTGTCTGTAAGGTATCATTTTTGTATTTCTATTTGCTACCTAGCATCCAAAGTTAGTGTTTAGGACACCGAGGCCGCGCTTAACGAGCAGTGTCCTTGTCCTTTCTTTCGATGTGACCATAACTCGTGATTTCTACGCCTGGGAATACAGAGAGCAGGCGGCTCTCCTCACTCAGAATGAAATTCTGACCATGTCAGGGGCTCGAACGACAGACCCTTTGATTTGTAGTCAGTGCCTCTAGCCATCCTCGCCATCTTTGCACTCATCAGTCTAGTTAGTCGTCTTTGAGTTATTAAGTCGAGTTAATGCATCTTCAATATTTTCAATTGATTCCATGTTTATGTCTTTGTACGGAAGATTGGTTGTGAGATATCTTTAAAGACTTCTACTTCCTATGTTTTCAAGTAAATCCCATCTGGTGTTTCTCAGTTTTCTGGTGCGAGACATCTCCAAGCCAAGCACAGTAATTATGATTCTTTTGTCCCACATGACGTAAATAGGATCTGTACTGAAGAAAAAAGAGCTTCTGTTAATTCTCCTTCGAGGTTATGAACAGCGCTTCAGCTGCATAATGTTTTTTCTTCATATTTCAATTGCGAATTTTAAAAATTGCTTCACATGATAACAACGTTTGGCGTCACTTCTCCATCATTTTTTTGATTTTCTAGGATTAATTTTTATGGAGATAATTGGGTGCGTTCTCAAGGCGATGTCTCTGACATGGCGCGTTCTCAACGTAAGCTGTTTTCATTTAAATTTATCTGCCATTTCATTGGTTTTCTTTGCTATAATCAGCTGTTTAAGCGTTCTTAAAGTATTGAACTTCCCATACTTTTCTCCTATAAACTAGACATTCAAAAAGTACCATCATTTTTTAATCATTTCGGCTTATGATGCACAGAAAAAGCATTCAGATGAGATGCTTTACATTTCAATTCGTTTAGGCTCCATTGCATGTAGTTATAACTAAGTAAAGAAATGGGTGGAGGGGGGGGGGTGGCATCATTTGTCCCTTAATGAAGGCTGGTCAGTCCTTGAGTCGCTGAAAGCACTTCCTTAAATTAATTGCCTCATAAGAATCGTATACTGCCAGTCGACCTCTTATTGCACACAATTCTTTGTAAGAAATCATTGAAAAACCATAGTCAAAATTATTGCTATAGCAATAGAACACTCTTGTAAATTCAGAAATCTCTAAATTCACCGAAATAGCTTTGTCCCTTTAGTCATCCCCATCATTAATCGAATCCTTGAACCCTATCTATTTCACGGTCTAGCACCCACAGCGTCTTTTGCACCATTCCTTTTGAAAATTTATCATACCTGTTCTCCGCAACACATTCAAAGATGTGTAGTGTTTTTCATGCACAGTCGACAATAGTATGTTTAACAAGAACAAAGTTACAAAGACGATGCCAATGGGAGCATGATATGCATGGCTACCCATTGCATTTTACAAAAAAAACAATACAGTAGCACTAAAGGCTATACAAAAAGTCTTGTTTACGTCACTCATTAAATATATAGTCAGTTTGATCGAATGATGTAGAGGCTACATAGCTGAAGCTGCATTACCCGTACCCTATTACCCCGCTTTAAGCGCATGCGCTTATAAACAGAAATTCACGATTTACTCTTTTTCCAGGGTACCAAAAAACGTTTCAGATACAGGCGCATGCGCCTATAAATTAACAGAAATATTTTACCACAAAATTGCACGAGTAATGTTTCAACAATAGAATCTTGATATTCTAACCAGTTATTCAATGTCAGATTTCTCAGGATCCGAATCATTATCAATGAGCATTAGTTCTTCATTCAGCTGTTCTTCAGCAAGATTGTCTTCGTTATCACGTCAGTTCATACTCGAGGGATAATTTAAAGAAATTGATAGTGCAAGAAAAGTAATCTAGGAAGCATGGAAACGTTGTCAGAGAGAAAATAGATAGCCATATCGCTGTTTTTTTTGTTTTTTCATCTTTCTCGCAAAATCGGTAAGATTAAAACCTTCTTATAAGCTCTCTGCGCCTATACCCGGGTATAAGCGCATACGCCTTTAAATGAGGTGCGCCTATAAGCGGGGTAATAGCGTAAGTTGGTCTCCAGGTTTTTAATGATCTCTTCTAGACAAAAGTTCATTTTTATAATCCAATAGAATGTATAAGGCCTCAAATTAAACAGTACTGCTGAATTACCACGAAATGCCAAGTGTTGCCAAAAAACATGAAATAAAACCCATACTTTACTGAAAACAATCTCCTTTAGACGGGAGCTACTATCGTCATTAACAATTCACATGTTTTGTTTCACAGTTTTTGCCTGGCAAGCATACGAACGAGGTGCGGATGTTCACTTGGAGGCTGACCCGACAAAACTAGCTTTACTTAGTAAAGAGTTTAAAGTGAAAAAAGAAGAGCACGAAAAAGGACAAAAGGAAAGCATTGTAGAAAAGGTTAGGCATTGCTTTCGTTTTTGTGGTATAGTCTGTTTCTTCCGAAACAACATCATCAACCAGAAATCTTTCTTTTCACGAGAGTTACAGATGTTATAATAGTAGTTGAAACTTTTGTAATGTTTCATGAATATTATAAAAATGAAATAAATTTCAAAAAAAGCAAGCAACATTTCCATGCCTATTATTTTTCGATTATAGTTTTGAAAGATACAAAATGAGGAAAAAGTTTTCAATAATTCATTTTTAAGTGTTTTTCTTTTAAGCTTGATTATTTGAAAAATGTGCATAGTTCTTGATATGATGTATATAAAGATTTTGTTATTTTTCAACACTTTCGTTGAGCCAATTATTTCGTTTACTCCTCATTCGTTGTTAATTTATATTCTAGTGCTTTCTTGGACTCGTCGAAGCCTTCTGCTCTTTCTCATTTTGTTTCCTTTTTATTAGTACGGAGGAGAGGAACATCTAAATGCACCGCCGAAAGAACTATTGTTGGCACAAACAGTAAGTTTCATTTTCTTGCATTAAAATATATTAACTCTCTTTGGTCAAGGACGACCTTGCTCAGAGACTGCTTTATTGGAGTCCAATAAAATTTATTTTCTTCATTGTACGAAAATATTTGAAATAATTTAAATTTTACAGGAAGAATACGTGGAATATTCCAGAACAGGAAAAATAGTTAAGGGTAAGTCCATAAGTTGACAGATTTTATTTTTAGTTCCTTTATCAACATGCAAGGCAAGCCTTTAAGAGTGTTGCAAGTAATGCACTCTGTGATGAATTGGCTTTGCTCGATATAACAGAAGATTGTTTCTCGTTGGTTATGCTACTTTTTTGACAAATATATTTTTGATATTGCTACTTTTAAATAAAACGTATTTCCAACAGATGGAATTATGTACGTTGTCACATGAAATGGGGATAAAATAATTTGTTAGATTTGTACGTTGTATCAGGGCATGGTTTGTAAAAGCCGAAAAAGCTCCTAATTCCCTCTGCAAAACTGCAATCTTTGTTAGACACGGGATATTAGTAACCAAGGGCGTCGTGGGTTGTGACTCTTAGGGGAGGGGGGTGGCACAGCTTGTAAATTTTCCGATCAGAGAAAATCCAGCAACCGTGTTCGAACATTGGATAATCATAGTCATCAGTAATCAGTAGCTGTGATGAACAAACTCGCAATAGGACTGGTTATTTAATATCTTCAGAATCTAAAGAAGCAAACTTGACAATTTTCGACGCATGTGAATCTCCTTAGCAATGATGTGTCAGCAAACCTGCCGATTACTTCGTCATAACTGAGTGTCAAATGAGTCATGCTCAACATTTATTTGACCTCTCTTGGCCCATTGTGGATCGCAGCCTGTTTTTCACACACTTCAGCTTCAAAAATATGCACACGCGTTTAGTTATACCGTTTGGCAAGCTTGCCATTTCCAGTAAAAATGTGCAGATTTGGATAGGCAGACTGTAAAATATATGCTGGGTCTGGAATTGTCCACCCCTGCCGTCAGAGTTACCTTTCGGGAGACCACAGATCATATGTTGGAAACCACAGAAATAGCTGTTGGTTGTCCGCTGGGACACTACCATTTTACTGGAATTGTCCACCCCTGTTATTACACGAAGGACAAATTGTACCCTAGTTGTTCAATTATTTTTTTTCCTTTCTGTAACAGAGTAATTCAATTTGCAGGGCAAGAAAAGGCTGTTTCCAAGTCGAAATATGAAGAGGATGTTTTTATCAACAACCACACGGTAATTGTGTATTGTCTTTTTCTCAGAATGAGAAATGAAGCCTCGGTCTTGTGCAGGCGTCTTGTATAGGCAAAAAAGGCCGGTTTGTCTGTTAGAGGGTTCTGATTAGCTAGTAAAACTTGAACCCAGCGCGAGTTCACTTCTATTGGATTAATTTGAACCGCATCTTGATATTCATTTTGTCGTCTTAAGATTTCCTGAAGATTTAAAAGGATTTTTATCTGCTATTTCTTGAAGTTATGGCTATCACTTTATCAGATGCGGACTAGGCTGACAGGCACAATATTATAGCAGTCGTGGTTGTGTTTGATGTCCAGATTATGATTTGATTGTGTTGTTGAATGGTTCGTGATCTGCAATCATAGCTTCACAGCTGTGCTTGTAATCCTCTTTCACACCGCGACTGTAATTAGTCCCTTCTACAGAGAGATCTTGCCCTCTTAAACATTAACAGAAAGACAACCTTATGATTTGGATTTGTGGCCTTGAAACTGACAAGATGGCTTTTCTTTCAATAAGCACGCATTTCGTAATCTTATTTGACTGTGCACAGTCTATCTAGTCTCAAAACGACCTATATGCTTACACTCGTTTTTACAGTTTAAATGCTGTTTTGCTTAGAAAAACTCTGTGCTTAGTTGCCGCAGATTTGCCTAAGTCCTACGTGGTACACCTAGGTGAAACCTTTTCGCTCAATAGAAATAGGAACTCTTTGCAATTCTGTTTCATGTTATGCCATGTAATGTCACGTTTGTGTGTGCTAAACTGAGTACATACTCTAAGATTAGGTTCTTATAAAAAATGAAAATCTTTTTGATTATTTATAATCTATTTCAAGATAAGATTGTGCTTCTCTGAATCCCTATTCTTTCGTATTTCCATAGAGCGTCTGGGGTTCCTATTGGCACGATTTCCAGTGGGGATATGCTTGCTGCCATTCGTTTGTGAAAATGTCCTACTGTACTGGTGAAGCTGGCAAAGAGGCAAACAAAGTGAGTTCCCTTGTAGTGTTTTCCAATTTAGCCTGATAACCAGCCCATTGCTAGTTTCTTTGCAAAGCTATGTCAAGTTTAGCTATGCCAAAGCAACTAGCAATGAGATGCTTATCAAAATTGTTTCCAGTTGATTCTAGTAACCTAGAGATTGTTATATCACAGTAGTTTATTTGGCAATTCAAATCTTAGATAGAAGCAAGGATGCTTTGTTTGTTTTATATGCTTTTCAACGCCCTCCTTTGGGTAATGAGCCCTAATTTCATCAAAGATAACCCTCCATAATTCGGGGTACTCTACGACTTTCTCTACATCTCTTGGGATGCAAGGCCCTTAGTAACAAAGTCCGTAAAGTAGTAAGATATCAGTTATCAACATCATACCATTCTAAAAATTGTGGGGGCAATGGATTCTTTGCCCCACTAAGTCTCTCAAGGCCCTTGATGTGGCTCCTGGTAAATGGTAACTTTGTCAATGCTTTAATTAGTGTTATTATTGACTAGTAACTAATTTTTCTAAATTACTCTCTAATTTCTTTTCGAATACCCCGAATGCCCCCTATTTGATCGAGCGGCTGATGCGGAGACATCTATTTGTCCCTACAGATACCGAGTTTGTGTTCTCTAGAACTTTGAAATTTCGCTTGTGGGGTTTCTACGTCTTGACCTTCAGATGAAAACTTTCGTTTTTCTAGGGAAGTGTGTTTCCTTCTGGAATGACAAAATCCCGAGACGAGGATGGAGAACAGAAATCACTAACCCAGGTTAGTAATCTCAAGTTTCTGACCGAAAAAAAGATTACGTAAGATTTTCTGGTTTCGAAAGTCTATATTACCAACAGATTCGAGGGGTAGAATCCGAATTGCAAGTATCCCAAAACTGTAGTAGGCTTATCTTGGTTCATTTTTCGTGCTTTCCTGTAACAAAATTAGTTCGTCTGGATGCTCGATTGATAGGTTATCTTATTCGATCAATAAGAATTTTAAAGTGAACATTTTTAGAAATGTATCGTCTCTTTTAAATTGTTTCTTTACTTGTGGACGTTAAGTTAGGAAAATTTAAATATATGCGTTATTGCAATAAATTGTTTGTCAATAAGCCTATCCCAAGTTATCCTTTGCTTACTGTAGATTAAGATTACCCTTCGATTAAGATTAAGATTATTCTTGGATGATCGATGCAGGACAACATCATCAGCTGTGTATTAGATCCGCGTTAATCTACTGTTCACTCACATGCTAATTTCGCAATATTTTTATTTGTAATTAGATTCATCGAGAAAAGCTACTTGAAGATAAAAAGAAAAAGAAATCAAAAGAAGTAGAAAATATTGATGAAGATGATGAAGTAGAAAAGAAAAGAAAACTGAAAAAGGTTCGTAATGTCATCTTTTGAAATCCAAAGAATCTTTCCCTGTTTTTGGATTACTTTTTACGCAATTTTGACTTTGGTGTTGGTTCCTGCAGACAGAAGAATACAATCGAATTTTTTTTTAATTAATTTTTTGTCGTTTATGGCTGTGTAGTTTGACCTGCAAATTGGCATATGATGGTGGGTTTTCTTAAAGATGGTCTCATAGAATCCAATTTTATTTGTAGACTGCAATCGTTATATATTCATTTTATATGATCCATCAACAATGATTTGTCTTGCTTATAAACAGGCATTACAGGAAGAAGAAGAACGTTCAAAAAAGATGGAGGAACTTTTAAACAAGGATGAAAGGAAGAGACCATATCCTTTTCAGTTATTGGAAGCTGCCAATTCTCATGAGCGATCTTTGCTCGTAGCCATCTGCTTGTTTTTCCTATGCCTTTTTCACGGCCTTTGCGATTCCAGCTGCCATCGCACCACGAAATTACATGCAAATGGGATTATTTCCTTAAGGTACAGAAAGTTAGCAAGATCCATAAATCTTGAGATTTGCCACATTCCGATACTGTCTGTTTTCTGTTTGAAAATTTGTTTTATCTTTGAACATTGCAGCTTATCTTACCGTCTGCTATATGTTGCTGCTTTGTTTTATTAAAATTTTCCATAAAGTTTCACTCAAATTTCAAATATATTACTCTTCCTTGATTTTCCACACGTATAACTCTTTAAGAACCGATTTCAAAGAACCAACAGAAGAAGAAATGGAAGCTTATAGGATGAAGCGAAAAAGACCGGAGGACCCAATGTCACAGTTCTTATCTTCCTAACAATCATGTCTGTTGTCTCTGTTATCAACGAAGGAGGAAAAGTAAGACCAACTTTGTAGATAAAGAATTTAATTAAAATCTTCCAATACACTTTGAAACTGATATGGGTGTCGAGCGTAAAGCTGTATTTATGCAGAGCTAGCGAAAAGCTGTACTTGTGCAAAGCTGTTTGATAGTTGAGAACCGCCTTGAGAAATACCTTGGTAATCTTCACAATGATTCTATGTTAACTGTACCAGTAAAAACCTCTTGCACTACAACTGTACAGTATACCAATTTGTAAAGTTGTTGTTTTTTCCACAAAGTTTGATGAATTTTTGCGTAATATTTCAAAGTATTTAAAATCTGATATACAGTGTTTTAATAGTTCCTTGAAAGATCCCTTCTGTCCCATGCTCAATACCATCTTCACTTTGTCACTTCCCGTTTTATTTCGTTGAATTTACATTGGCTTCTTCAGGCTCGCTTATAAAATGAATATAAACACTCTTACATTCTTCGCTATCTTCACTCAATAGTAAATGATTTAGACTGCTGATAAGTCTACTGCAATTTATCATCTTTCTGGTCGACTTATTACCAGTCAGAAATAAATTTTGCCTGGCTAGTTGATCGATCATTTTTGACTGGGTTTTGATAATATGAATAATCATTCAGTATGGATATATTGCTGCCACTGATGACCTTGTTGTCTTTCACATATTCTGACTTATTAAAAGACACACTTTTTTACTGCAAGAGGGATTGTTTATAGCTACATTGAACCTTTCTTATTATATTTTGCTATTTATTGTAACAGCAAAACAACTGATTTTTCATTACAAGAGCAATATAATGCTTTGATTTGTGGGTGTTTTTTTGGCACATAATGCACAATTTAATGTATAATGTATATCTAAATAATTCTTCCTGTGATTCAGTATGTTTGATTGTGTTCGATGTCAAAAATCTGAGGTGAATGACTCCAATAAATTAATTAAACTTACATTGTCTGCACCTTGACAATGTTTTATCTACCTTCTCCGCATCTAAACTAAAAAATTTTCCGCTTAGAACTAAAGCTACTCTTGAGCAAGATGAACATTTAATGCAATCATCATTTAAAGTGTGCCATCTTGCATCATCCAGTTGCGTTTCAGCAGCTTACATACGATAAATAATTTGATTTCATTATTTTTCCACCAGATGTCACTCTTAATATGTATTGTGAATCACAGCATTTCTTAAAGACATCCTTTGTCTTACAACGAAAAACAGACCTGCCTCTAAATATGAAGATTTTATCGCTCTTTGGGAGATTAGAAAATGTGTATGCTCAATAAATATGATTATCTTTCTTCAGAAAAGCTTAATCTCATCTTGAGCAACACTTGAAGAAGCGAAATTAACTCCGTGTTGTTTTTTGCAATCTTCACTTGAAAATACATATTGAAAATGTCCTATCAAGAAATTCCATCAGTTGGTTTTGTTTGATCGACCATTCAGTAGCAAAATTACATATGCGATTCCCTTTAGAAAAGTGTGTTTTATTTCAATGTGCGTGAATACGGTTTTTTCCTTTAAACAAATACCTTTCAATGGAAAGACTGCCCTCTGTTTAGAGTATGAAGATGATTGACTAAGGGGTACGCTTTGTAAGTGAATGGCAGACTGGCAGCTGTTATAAGTCTTGATTATAAAATCAGTCAGTAGAAACCATAGCAATAGTTTCTTTGGTAACAACAGTCAATAGTAGCTGACTTTATTTTATAGTATATTTGGTCTCTTTTAGTGTAGCGAAGAGAATATGAAAAGTATTTTAGCATCAAATCTGTATGAAGTTTTCTTCAAGGTGTACATATGAACGTCCAATAAGGTACACATCTTCACCAATCGAGGATGCAATGCATTGTTTTGGTTGTCTGATTTAGAGCCTGTATTACAAATAATTTGCTCCTTGTTTTTTAAAAGTTTTTTTGCGTTCTGGTACAATCACTGCCAAAAGTCTTGGAACACTAACGTAGGTTTTCAAAGGCATATTCAGCCATCCCCCTCTCCCCCTAGGAACAATGTTGATTTACTATATAAAAAAGAAAGGGGTTACGGAGTACGCTTTTTCTTGTGGATTGTTTGATATTTTTCTATACTTTCAACATTGTTTTGGGGGGAAAGGGGGGCGGAAGTGGTAGTATTCAAGAAAACAAATGAAAAATAGAAAGCACAGCGCAAAGTGTTAGGTGTTCCAAGTAATTTTGGCAGTGATTGTAGCTGTTCTTTTCAATTTTGTTGTATCTTGACCACTTTTCAATTAAATTGCCAAAAAATTATGGCTTCAGAAGTTTTATAACCGTTATCAAGATCAGCATCTAAAGGCAAGATCGTTTTGCCTTTTAAAAAGCGTCAGATGTTTTTCAACTAGATTTTTTTGCGATAAAGATTAACCCGCTGCTTCTTCTTCGATCCTGCCACCAAACGGAAATTTTGTTGGATGGTTCCGCGGAGGCGTATGACAGCTTTCTGGCTAGTTTCTGCTGGGCTGGAATGGAAGCAGCGCAGCAGGTAGTTCATCGCACCCGATAGGTCAAGTGGTACCTATGCTACAGCTGTAACATGGGTCTATAACTGGGCAACTGTGATAAATCTGTAACTAGGATTCTAAGAGTGTTCTAGTCTCGTTGAAGCAATGCTGTGTTTCTTTAAGAACTATTTGTAACTAAGACAGGTTGCTCAGTGTCTCAGGTCTACAAGAACTGTAAACAAACTAATTATAATGTTTTCTAAAGGTTCCTTAATGATGTATGAAAATATACTGCAACATTCTCATGAGAAAATCTCTAAGTCTCGTAAAAGCACAAGCATTTACAACATTGCGCCGTTTGCATAACAGACACGTAATATTGAAAGTTAGATGCCAGGAATCAATTAAATAGATCTCTATCAAGTATGCTGCTCGTGAGAGTTAGACATAGACACTAATTACGCTACATGTGTTTGTTTTGTTAACAAGTATCTAGAACCACTAAGACAGGGTCAACAATTGACAAATAAAATTTTTGGAAGGATATTGGCCACATTGTTTCTAAAAAAGTCTGATGGAACAACATCAAAGTGGGATGCCAGCCTACTTTCATAGTCATAGACTAAGGTAACAACAGCTGGGAGTGACTAGTCACAACAGCTGGGAGTGGCGGAAGAGGTTCTTTGTACCTCAATTTGATTCTAGGGGCCAATATCTTGCTTATTGCAAGTGATGGAGAAACTGATATTTCACAAATTGATTGTTTTTCCTCGGCTTGTTAGTGTACTGTAGCTGTTCAAAGTATGGTGTTAGCTAGTATCTCTGTAAGACGTGTTTAGAGGCTGCAAATTGCTAATTTTGCAATCCCCGAACTAAGGATTTCTGAAATGTGTCTGTCAAAGACATTCAGACAGACTGTTCCATTGAAATCGTTCTAATAATGACGCAGCCATTCTTATGATTAAACATTAAACATTAAGATTAAAGAGCAAAGGATTCGAAATGGCTCCTTGAAGAACAACACAACCTGGCAGGACTGTTGTGTTGAAAGCGAGATTCATAACTGACACTTAACTGTTTTAAAGCTGAGAGTTCGAAGATAAACAACTTCATAGATCTGATGGTATGGATATTTCTTATTTTATCTCACTCATGATATCACTTTATTTGGGTTTTGGATTTTTCTCTTGACCAAAACATTTCTTCGTTGTTTTATCATAACATGAAACCGCTTACATGCAAAACCAGTATTATGAATTGCGTTCGTGGCAGCCTTTGGTTTCCAATAAATGTAAGCATTCCTATGGCGAATCGTCGTATATTTCTATAAATCATGAATTTTCATAGTATACAGGACTTAGCTTAGAAAAATATGGCTCTTTGGATATTTTATTTATAAATTTTATGTTATTGTTAATGGCAAACATTGACAGCCACTCATGGTGTAATGGGAGGGGACTACAAGATGGCATTTACTGTTTCTAGCTTGGTTGCTTGTTGTTTTTTCAAAACAAAATCCGCTTTTTATATCAATACGCAGAGCAAGCTAATTCTGAGCTTCCATTGCTCAGTTAAATAAGATTTTTACCTTTCATTTCATTCATTAATTCAACTAGCTGCGAAAAATCAGTAGGGCATCGCAAAGAATTGTCGTCACCAACGAAAACAGACAGAAAGGCGATGATTCTATCAACAACAGCAACAACAGGTACTTGCAAAAAGTTATTTAATGGAATGTTTCTCCCCATCGAACCGAGCGTACCACTAAAACAAAACAGAGAAAGACAATGCAAAAGTACAGAGCTTCATTTTCAGATAAAAATGTACAAGCCTTTTTAATTAAAAACTACACCCAGTTTATTCAGATGCAGACGAGGTCAGTTTTTCGGTATTCTGTAAAAGAATCTTAGAATATCTCATTTTTCGGCAGGTAGAAGATCAGAAATGATCGAGAAAATTCAAAGAAGTTTCTGAAGTCATTTTGTACATGTTCTGCCAGCAATCGTAAGTGTTTATAAGTATTTTGTTTCCCATTTATTCTAAATGGATTATTTAGATATAACAAACTTGTTGTGTAATTCTACACCTCTCCTTCTTTAAAACAAGGGCATAACAAACTATAAGATTTCGTGCCATAATGCAGAGTTCCAGGCATACTTCATATCCAAACCATGTAAAGTACACATCTAAGCTGTTGAGAGCCATTGCATAATAAGCTGCGACATAAATTATAATATATTTCAATGATCAATGGTTAAATTCTCTAAAACATTTGGAGGGGGGCCAAACATGCTAAAAACCAAAAGCAAGGCAATTTTTTATATGGTTATTAGTACATTTTGAAAATTATTGGAGGGGGGCTAAAGCCCCCTCATCCCCCCTCCCTGCTAGCGCGTTCCCTGATTTGTAGCCATGACACTTTGCAAAAGTCAAGCTGAAAAAAATATCAACATTCATTGAGTTTTTTTTCTTTAAATGCAAACAGTCCTTGAACAACAAATAAAAGATCAAAGACAAATGCGATTTTCTTTCTGGCAACTAAGTCAATATTAGCATAAACAGGTTTAACAGCTGACTGTTAGAATCTCCTTTGAAACGCTTGTAGGCTGAGGTTTAAGACTTTCAAGAAAATTATTTTCATCATGGTAAATATTTTACTTAATTGTGTTGTTAATTTTCTCTTTTGTAAGAAAAATGTTATCTTATTTCAAATGATTTAGGAAAACCTTTTCGAGCGTTTACATTGCCAAACATAAATTTTTAGAAACCAGAACCTAACGGTGAGAAAGCTTTACAGATTTTTATTCAAAAAATTTCGAAGAGGCTTGTCCCATTATGTTTTCCTTGGAGGAGAGCCTTTGTTTACGTCGATTAACAACGAGGAACATTATAGGGCCTAAGAAGTTACAAATTCGATTGCATATTGGAATCTGAATGAGAAATGACCAAATTTCGAACAAATTGATCTCAAAACATTTGGCCAATAGCTTCTCCGTAAACTTATTGCTCTTGGGTGGGCTGAGGAGGAGAGGATATCGCGAAGGAAGTATGATTTGAAACTCATTTACTCACCCTTGATATGTTTTAATAATATGCTACAAGCGTGATGAGAGCGGACAAGATGGTCAAGTGCTCAGCTAGGATCAACCTATCCTAAATTTTTTCCTTTTTTACGTGAATCACAAATTACTTGCATGCTTTTAGAGAAAGATTTCCATTTACCAGAAAGAGGATAACGGACTCAAATTTATTGAAAAATTTGATTAGCCATACCCAATAATTGCACGCCTGTTGATCGGGAAAGAAGTTAAGTCCCCTCCCTGTACGAAATTATTACCAAGACTGTTCTGGTACATGCTAGAGTGCAATAGGAATTCTTTCGTGACCTGATGATCATAATGTTGTGTCGTCTATGCTTGTCCACTCCACCCACTTAATTTTCTTCAAAATTTCGATTGGCTTTGTAGTCATAATTCTCTTAGAGGGTTCATTTCTGTAAAGAAAACGTTTTTGTTATTTTCCGCGTTTTAACGCCGATGAACAAAGGAGTCAAAGACTAACTTTGATCTTATGGATTAAAGTTAATTTCGAAAGTCATAACAATCTAATGGAAAGCATAGGAAACATACAGGGCATTCGTGTTGGTCGTAGCAACACTTGTTTTGTTGCTGCGATGATAGATGCTCGCATTTAAAATAGCTGAATTCTATCAGATTAGAAACGATCAACTAAATTTTGAAATTTAATTCTGAAACACTTTCACCCGCAACAAGAACAAAAGAGATTTTGTGAATATGTGATGTTATTTTTCAGTCTTTTCATTATCAAACTAATGCCATAAATAAATCATGATGCATTCATAAGATAGAAAAGATAAATATTCAATGAGAAAATATATTTGTGTTGGTACAAGAAGATGGAAACAGGTCTATGAATAAAACTTATAGTATCTAATGGTATGTTATCACTAGCAAGAAGCCCACATAATAAACCTCACACCAAGAGGTTTAGCGTAAGCAACTTGGTAGGGTAGAAAAGGGATAAAACAAAAATTGAGCTGACTAGGTATTGCAATGCTACTAAACTCATGCTCTAAGGGAGGGCTGTATTCCTGATACCTAGACCGGAAGCGAACTGAGAAAGAAGCCCTTTTCCTCCTTCTGCCTTTGAAACGCATAAACATATGAAAAAGTATATCGAATAAAAGGCTAGCCTTGTCATCAATGCTCAGCAATATGAAATAAAAGAATAAGATAATATTTCCTATTATTCTATCTTGCTCTTAGAAATTTAGTTTATCTCGACAAACATTACATCTACAATTACACATTATATGATTCTATGACCGTGGATGTAGCAACCATTGATTAGCTTAATTTCAAGGGTCCTGAGGCACTGCACTGTTAGTCGTGCTGATTAATTAACTTTTCTTTATGTTGTGAATTTCTTTTGTCTAGCTGTTTGAAGATTAAATTTTGTTTTCTAAATCTGCAAACATATTCATTTCTTTTTATTGGAACAAAAATTGCTAGTTGGGACATCACTGAATACCAATTTCACGGATGAAATTTCACGCATATGACGTCATCAAACTGACAAACATACCAACACATGTGGTCACAGTAAGCACTTATAAGATGTGTAATCGTTGCTTGTCAGATATACCTGCAGCTTCTGTCTTTTCTAGGTTTCTTTGCTTAACAATGCTACGTCCAAATTCATGTTAAGATAGCGTTCAGCTGCTCTGCCCGTTGTTTCGCTACACAAAGAATCAATTACGTTTGGTATATCCCATTTGTTCGCGTCCTTTTCGCTGCATTGAATAGAGGCCCTATAAAAACTATATCAAGTAAACTGCCTTGTCCAGTATCAAGACTAGAGAACACATACGAGACTGGAGAAGTTTTTGGGATATAAAAAATTCGCACAGTCTTCTCATCTTTCAAGGATTTTTACCAAACTGGCTGCATTCGAATGGATCAACTTCGTCAGGCCTAGTAAGTGAATTTTACTTTTGCTCCATATACACTTAATAAACAGGAAATTTTCCCACTAATGGTAACAGTTTTTGCGGGGAAAATTTTTTCCCAGAATAATCTGAAAAATTAAGGCGATTTTGCCCATAATTAACGCTTGAGTAAATTGTTTTGCATTTCATGTATTGAAACCATTATGATTTCGACAAAAATTCTCACAACAGTCGATTTGTCAACGCTTTTGAGTCATTGCTTTTCAGTAAAACTTACTGCAAAACATTTATCTACAGGTACATTTATGGCGCGCTACACGCCCTTTAACTATGCGAAGATATATACTTGATTGCTCTTTATTATGCAACTCATTTCAAAGATATCTTTGCCGACTGTGTTGAGACTTAATTGATACTGTGTTATTTTTTAAAGTTTTCTATCGAGATCCAAAAGCAACGTTCTGAGCAATGTTAAAAGGATATTTCGTCTGACGTATCCTTTCGACGCACATCCACCTGCATGGTGTATCTTTCTTCTGCTTGTGGTGGAATTCAGCTTTTGTCCCTTTTAGCAAAAACCGAGCAGAGCAGATCACATGCTATGGGATTGTCGCTTACTATCTACCACCAAGCGACAACCATTCTTAGAAATCATAGAATTGCGACATAGAATTCCAAGAAGTTTTATTTTCTTTCTTAAGTCAGTGAAGATCGTTACCTCCCCATCTGTTCTTTAGTTAGCATGATTTAATAGACAAGTATTTCTCTTCACCCTCATTAAAATCTTTGATTAACTTAGTAAGCTCAAGCAAGAACTCTTTTAGCAAATCCTCCTAAACAAATAGTTTTGTCTTGCTCAACCGGTTAGTTAAGCTCTTTTTCGATTGCGTCTTTGGTAAACAAGCGAACGGATTTCTAGCAAAACCAAAGAAAATATCAATGGATTGCGCTGAAATAGTCGGCTTTTCCGAATATCTGTTTAGTGATTATCTCAAATTCAATTATGAACAGACACCTAGAAAAAATTAGTACTTAACAATTTGGGAATATTCCTTGCTTCAAATTTCCTAAAAGATCGACAACCAGAAAACTGTTCCACTGTTTTGTTGGGAACTTTTCGTAAAAATATTATTTGCTATTATGAAGATATTATGATGACGATTTTGTAAATTTGATATCTTGCTTGTACCTCATAAGCAATTTGCCAATGGCGAATCAATCTATATGAAAAATACAGCAGCCAATTTTGAACTAAAAATGTGCTCATTGAGATCTTATCAACGTTTCGTCTTTGAGAAACAGCAGACCTGTTCTGTGCGTTTATCTTCAGTAAGCAGAAGTTTCAATTAAATGAAATTACTTTATTCTGAAACGAAATTCAATTATTCTTGCTTTAACTGTATAGCAAGAAAGAAAGAAAAGATATGAAAATAGCTTTAATTTTGTTTGTAATATCTGAATTCTCACTTCAAGACATAATCCTTTGTCTTGTTAGTTGATACGCGTTTATTGTCATAAAGCTTGCGCCACTGTGAGGCTTATCTTTGCACTGTTTTTGGCAGATACAGGCAAGTCTTCCTTGGTTTGAATTTCAAGCAAATAGCTCGTATTTATAATAACAGGATATTCCTTAAAGTTTAGCCTAACCATTCTCAATCTTCTTCATTAAATATTTGCTGCTTTTAAAGCCACCAGATAAATTGTCAATAGATTGATGTAGGTTTTCTCTTCAGGTAAGACAGAAGTTCTTCCAACGAGCAAAGAACATGTCAGATGTCATGAAAGAGGAGGAAGAGACGATCGAACTTTTGTCACCATCCAGTGGCACTGTGCATAAAAAACCTGAAGACTTGAATCAGAAGCTGGCAAACGGTAAAGAGGACCAAATAATTACTATCAACGTAAGTGGTCGAATATTTCAGACACTCGAGAGCACGCTATCAAGATTTCCTTCGTCCCTTCTGGGCAGTAAAGAATCGAGAAAACAACTAAGAACTGACGAAAATGGACATGTATTCCTAAACAGAAATCAGCGAGCTTTTGAGATTTTGTTGACATTTTACCAAACGGGTATCTTTGAGGAACCAACTGGTGTTAACCTGAATGTATTCAAGCACGAAATTCGTTACTTTGGTTTAGTGGATGAAGCGATCGAGTGTGGAGTCAAAGATCTCATTGTTAGACCGGCGATTTTCCCTAAAAGAAAATGGCAAGCAGCTCTTTGGAACGTTCTGGAAGAGCCACAGTCATCGATAGCTGCCAGGGTTGTTGCTGTTGTTTCGCTGGTGGTTATTGTCATATCCGTAATCGTATTCTGCATGGAGACGGAACCAGAAATACGTCAACAAACCCCAAAGTACAAGGTTACGAATGCCGTTATTCAGTACTTGGAGATCATTTGTGTAGTATACTTCTCTGGGGAGTTCATTCTCCGATTGATCGCCTCCCCTAACAAGATACGCTTTTTCGTTGATTTTCTCAACATTATTGATCTGCTCGCGATTGTGCCATTTTATATTACCCTCGCTACGAAATCTGAAGGGCGTGTCTCGATTTATTTCTTAAGAACTATTCGTCTTGTTCGTGTTTTTCGCATCTTCAAACTGTCTCGATATTCCGGTGAGATGAAGATCCTTGGCAAAGCACTAATAGACAGCGCAAGGGAACTCTGCGTTCTTCTCTTCTTTATTGTTCTTGGAGTTATACTTTTTTCGAGTGCTGCCTTCTACGCGGAGGATGGAACCAGCGATACAATGTTCAAAAGCATCCCAGGGGCATTTTGGTGGTCAATCGTTACCATGACGACTGTTGGTTATGGAGATGAGGTACCAAAAACTACCGGTAAGAATACTAGATCTGAAATGTTGTTTTTGACTCTCTTCCTTTTTATACGGTTTCAGTAATGAAGGTTTATCACCACTAGCGTTAGACTCCTCGCCATTATGAACTAGCCTCCCAACAGTTTATAGCTCGACCCTGTGTATAAGCCTACTCTTATACCTTGTTTCAGTTAGTATTCAATTGCAAAAAGTTATCAAAATCTGGAATAGAAAAGGCTGCCCTTCTTCGTACGCTCTCTTCCGCCTCTTTTTAAGAGACTTTCCCCAAAATTCATTGTATCAACAATTTTTTCAAGTATTAATATCTTTCTTGATGTGCTTTAAGCGTTACTGACGCAGGGAAAAAAATTTCTAGGCGCACCTCGTCAACTAAAATTTAGATACTTGATATAACAGTATCCTAAGGGTTCCTAAACCTCATTCAGGATACCTACGTTTTTAGATGCTCTACTTTCCGTACATATAGGTGCTCTTCTCTACAGTCTTTTTGGTAGTATTGCAGCATTGCTTAAGGACCTTTATATTGCAGAAACATATCTCGTTGAAGCAATACTTTCTGGCAAGATCCATATTAAGCCCCCCTCCCTTTAGTAGCATCCGCCACGCCCATGCACCAGAGATAAGCAAAAACTAATACATTTTGTAATTGGATTTCTTGATCATAAAAAACAGCAACGTAAAGATAACTGTCTTCTTTTTTTCTGTAATCAAATTAACTTGAGTAATTGATAATTTTTATTGAACAATCATTTGAACATAAGAACAGTTTAACGAAAGCCTATTTGTTTTTCATTAAGATTTTACTCTCATTACGAGTATGAATAGCATTTGTGCTAAGATCATTCTTTTAATTCACTTTTTTTGCAGTTGGCAGACTGGTGGGAGCTGTTTGTGCCATGTGTGGAATTCTGGTCATAGCAATGCCCATTCCTATTATCGTTAATAATTTTACGAGGCAGTACTTGAGGCTGGAGCCGGTTTCAAAATACTGGGTACAGATCAAGGCCGAAGAACAGTTACAAGGAAGAAAGAAACTGTTCAGTGGAATACCATTACCCCAGATTTACCTTGAGCAAAAGAATAGGAACTTAGAGGAGGTGAAAACCGGAACGAACCCCTCTTAACACAAATTTTATCAAGTTTTAATATAATGAAACAGCACAGGGTCCGTAGCCATAGTTGCTTGGGAGGAGAGTTACGTGAGAGTTTTAGGAGGATGTTAAGAGGGGAAAAGGTGGATGTACTAGCGCTTTGGAGGTTTCAAGAAGGGTGCAATGAAGGTTGAAAGAGGTTGCGAGGGTTAAAAGGGTGCAAAGAGAGTGTAAGAAGGGGCAGGGGAAGTTTTAGAGGTTTAAGGGAAAATCTAGGGAGTGTATGGCATCGCAAGGCCAGCTTCATTATAGATAATTTAAGCAGTATTTGAATTATGTTGAATATAACCTTCTACCCGTACTTGGTTTATATTGTCGTCCTTTTCAGCCAGCGCAGTAACCGATGAGTATAGTCTCGTGATAGCAAAATTCTTGCAAATTATTTAGTGAGTTGATAAACAGCAGCACCCATTTCCACACCATTTGGCTCTATCCCAAAAAGGTTCTTCTGAACAGGAGGCGCCTGTAGTCACAGATTGTACATAAGATACCGTTTCTTCACATGTGTATATTAACTGTTCAATTTTACTCGTTCCCACAGGCCAATCATACTCGTTATTGCATTACTTGACTTCTACTTTACTAAGCAATTCGTTGTTTTTTAATGTGGCCTGAGATTACTCTTATCAAAATTGATGCAGGGACTTTATAGACAAATGAATAATGGACCAGAATATTTTAAATATCTCTTAGGGTCAAGTTATGATAGGACTTAATATCTGAACAAAAAACATGTATTGGCTCCCTGTTAGTTTCTTTTTTTGTGGAGTGAATCTTTGGTTGGGGCAAGGAGCGATAGGTTCAGAGCATATAATTATTCTCACAGTTAGTAGGCTATATATTTCTATCACTTCCTTATTAGATATGAACAGCCCACTTTATCTTAACATCTTATAGATACAGCTGTGAAGTAATTGCTATAGCTTCTTTGTACATGTTGAAGAGCAGTAAATTTTGAATGTTGTTTCTTTTGAAGCCAATAGATGTACATATGAGTTTCTAATTATATTACAGGCAGGGTCCTGTGCCAGGAAAAGCTCATGTTGATAAATAGAGTTGTGTCGTATCAATAGAAAATTGTATGCTCAAAATTATAGATTGTATAAGAAAATAACAATTTACCACTTTAAGATGTGCCTTTTATTGAATACCGTGTTTCAAGTCTGTTTTTACTTCCAATGAACGACAAAAGCACGCACTTTTTATAAAAGCACTTCCGTTTTAATTAACTTATTTACAGTTATGCAAAAGCTATTAGACATAGAGAACATAGAGTCAAGGAAAATTTTCATTCTTCAACAAGTGCAAGGGCCAAATAGGTTTCAAAATAAAAGGCTTTGATCTCCGTCATTATATAGAACATAGAGACTTTCAAAGTTACCTTTTGAAAATGAATGTGTCTTTGAAAATTTGTTAGGGAGGGGGCTCGAGCCCCTTAGCCCCCTACTTTTACAGCCTTTGAGCAAGTGAAAATTTTAACTCGTCATCCCCTTTCCTGCTCTAAGCTAAATTATTTCTAGAACATTTACCAGAATACTTTTGAAAGTCAGTTGTACAGTATGAAAGCCAAGCTTAGATTTTTAAGTTGGCGTACTTAGCATACAAATTTTTATTTTATACAGTGCTTATAAATTGTTTCTCCTTCATTTTTCTTATTGTGAGATTTCCAGGCGATAGAATTATTAATGGCATTGAATAAATAAAAAATGAAGTTTCGAAACAAAATAAGACTTTTACTGTTTCCCTCACGACTGTGTCATAGTATCAGACGAGGGAATTGAACATAAGAACCTCAATTTTATGTCCGTTATGGATTCGGTCATATAAGGTGTCACTTTAACCAGTTCTAGAGTTGAAAGTTAAAGTTAAGTTAAAGCCAAAGATTCATAGTCTAAATAGAAAGGTACACCCAATAATCTACTATGACAACACAGTTTTATATCTTACCATGATTATTTTAGCTCATGTTGCCTAATATTAGTATATATGCCAAATCATTCAAATTAAATGAGTAATCCTCTTTAGGGCAGAATTAACGTGGCAGTCGGGAATCAGGGATTTGCAAGTTTTTCGAGCGGGGATTTTCAGCGCTGCCGGAATAAGGGGGCAGCTGTCCCCCTGTGCCCTTGACTAGACGGGACAGGAGAGGAAGCAGGAGAGGGGGCAGCAGAGGGAGCAGGAGAGGGGGCAGAAAGTGCCTTTTTGTTCGAAGGTCTGGCAAGTAGAGTATGTTTCATGCCCACCCTTCACATAGCTTTCCTACATCTCATTCATGCCTATCAGAGCTTTAGATACCATTACATTGATACTTGACGAAAAATCTTCCTCACAAGAAGGTGGGTCGGTTAAATGTGGTAACAACATATAAAGTCCAGTCTTAATGAGGAAAACAAAATTTCACGCTTGGCGCCAAGGGAGATTTAAACAATCATAGAGAAAGTTTTTATGATTGTTTCCACTCCCCCCCCCCCTTCGTCGGAGGCCCTGGATAACACTGGGATTCGGAAATTGATTGTGGGAAGTCGGGAATCGAACTATAAATGTAATGGGATTTAGAGAATCAGGGGACCTTTTGAGTACCCTCCTTAAAGGCAAGTGACAGATACCTAAATAAACTATTGACCAATCAACAAACGTGTGAGTGGTATTTATGTAACAAAAGATGCAAAAACGGCAAAAAATAGAAGTCACTCATGAACTGTTTTTACAGGTTTCTTATGTCGCTTGTGGATGCCTTTTTGCTTACCTTTTTTGTTGTTGCCTGTGGTAATGTGATTGGAAATATCTTTGAAAGCTACGATAAAGTGGATCTGATAGGGATCTTGTTCAAACGATCAACTAAAAGCGAAATTCTACATTTCATCTTAAACTCCTCATTACATAGTTTGCCATGTCAGGGCCGTCGCTAGCGTGGAAGGGGGTACGGGGGATGCAGGAAGCCCTGTGAGCAGGGCAGCCGAGAGGGGACAAGGAGGCAAATTGCCCCAGGGCCTCGAGGTCTAGGGGGCCTCATAAAGTTATGAAGTGCATTTTAAGAATGGAATTAATGAAACGTAGTCTTTCGGTTGTGCCCCAAGGCCTCAGAAACCTTATGGCGGCCCTGCCTGTAAGATCTGCTCATACAAACTAAGATTGTATTTAAACGTGCTGAACTGTTTGAATAAATGAGAGTATCTCATTGCTCAAAACTTGACTTCTAGAGTAAAATCAAAGAAAGTACCCTCAGGTACGCAGGTAAAGAAAATTCCAAGGCGAAAATCGAAGCGATAATTGACTGACGAAAACTTACTCATTGATAGAAAAAATCAACTACGTCAAAATGCCACACCCAAAAAATGATATAAACGCCCTACTTTGTCGACAAATTGGTGACTGGCACCCCCCCCCCCCCTAAGTGAAAGTGTTTAGCGACGGCCCTGTGTAGTGTATCGTAGGTACAATTACACAGTTTATGTTAGTAACTTGAAACAGTATGGGGGTAAATATTTGTTATTTATGATTTAGAGTCAATAGATTCAGGAAGTAATTAGATTCAGAGATGAATGAGTGGGTGCTAGTTTGGCTTGAAAAACAGCTGATCAGATGCCAAAGTTAATTCCGAATAGAGAAAGTTTAGATGTGTGGCGACTAATTGTTAAAGAAGGACGACGAAAAATAATTGAAAAACAATATTTTAGGAGATGTTTTGCTACTAGGTTACAAGTTTTTCTCGTTGCTTTATCTTTTTCTGACAGATATGAGATGACCATACTGAAAACCGATATTCGTATATTCCATAAATACAATTCAAAACCTCATAAATTTTTATTAACAGCTATGAAATTTTCTGCCCGAAACTCTGTTCTTTAATTGAAGACAATTAAAGGTTTTATTCTAATGTACAATGACAGTCACAAATGTTTCTTGTAGTTTTTAACTCGTCAAAGACATTTGCAGTTTTTATGCTAGCTGGGAAATACTAGCTTTTTACAGATTTTTTTTCAAAGAAGTCTTTGTTGCAATGCAAAAACTCAAAATAGTACAAAAAGGTGAAAAGAAAGCCAGAGACAGTCTTGCGTTATAATTGCAGGGTGGCAAAGCCAAATGGGCCCGGTTCAGGGTGTAGCAAATAAACGTTTTGAGCCACACCCACTAATGAAAGCCTTACCTTAAATCATTGACTATGCTTAAATGTGCTCAGTTAAAATCAGTTATTGATAAAGGTTGCCAGATACTTGGAATGGTTGGTGGCCAAATATTTTACGCTTGACGGCCAAATCTGGCGAGCCAAACAAAATATACAAAAAGCTACATTCTGGATAAATCTTTACAGTAATAGTGTAATCAAAATTGGCTTTGGTTTGTTACAAAAGCTCCAACTTGCTTTCAATTTCAATTTTCTGTTATTTTTGCAATTTTGAGATTGTTTTAACAAAAGGTTGAATATTTTGAATGCAAAAATTGTCGTTTTCTTGTATTTTTGTGGCTTTCAACATGCGGCCAAAATTCGGCCAACTTTTGCTTTTTTGGCCAAATCAATTTTGGATGGCCAATAGCTTTGAAAGACGGCCAGAATAGAGGAAATTGGCCGTCAGAACGGCCAAATGGCAACCTTCTTATTGATACGCTGAAGATCAACAATGCTTGCACCTCATTTCGAGAAAGAATTTGGCACGTTATGTACTGTATTTAAATCAAATATTCTTTAAAGGTAAACTTTGCACAACCAAAGAAAAACTATAGTTCTATTTGCTATACTAAAAAATCCAATAAGGGTTCAAAAATAATGTTCCTAGTTCAACATATCGAGAGAGCCCACTATGTATGCAAAATTCTGAAATTAAGCCATCAAGGTTATAAATTCAAGAATTTAAACAAGTTTGTTTATTCAATATATGTCACATTTTCACTGTCTAGATTATATTTTGGCTAAAATTTGAAATTTAGCAACATATTAAAAGTTGTCCACACTTGGACTTAATTGACGAAGCTCAGACTGATACCAGATCTGTAGTCTGTACCAAACTTTGTAATTCTAAGCATGTTTCAAATATGCGAATTACTAAGCAATCAACAAGGTGGAACTCAACATATACTTAAAATTAGACTACCATCTACCATTTTTGAAGTTAGAAAAGTAATAATTAAGACGATAATATACATTATTGTTTAAATGTCTAAAGTCTGAGTTGTTTTTGCCAAGATCCAGATGTATCAGGTCAATAAGTTGATCATAATCAAGTAGAAAGTTCTTCCCTGAAATGGTCAGAAGTAATTCAAGGTTCGGTTGGCTGATAGTAGTTGAGCGCACAGTGCAGACTGTTTTTGACGATACTCGAATTACTTTTCGCAAGAAACTTGTGTCATTGTTGTCTTAATATTCATCTTTGCTGAAAAGCTTCTTCAGTGCAACCATCTGCATGTTGATATGATCTTACAATTGTTCCGGATGTTCCTTTTATTGGCTTGATATCTTACTAACAATTAAAATATGCCAGCAGTTCTTCCCAAAGTGTTTCCAAGTTCACATTTGTCAAAAAAGAGATCTTGGAAAAAGCTTTTATCTTTCTCCAGCATCATCTTTGTATCAGCAAATCGTCCTGGCTCTAGTATTTCAAAATCTTGGAAGAGACCTATGTTCTTCGAGATCCTTTAGTTAATCTCTGCACTCGCTACATCTACTGTAACCTTGCAGGTTTTGATCTGAAATTTTCTCAGATTTGAACGGGGTGCCTTCACATCATCGTTGCTTTCCTCTGTGGAAAATCTCATTTTCTTCTCTATCTGTGTGTAGTGCAGCTCATGAGCAACAACTACTCCTTGATGAGCCACATCGTTTGCAAACTTGGTTTCCTTTTGATAAATTCCAGAGAATTGGCCTCAAATTGCAGCGAAGGTTTTTCCTAGATTGTCTGCGATTGCACAAGCTGTGATGACACCAAGATCTCTGGTTTGAAGATATTTGAATACATGTGTTGAGTACTGGAATATGTCTAGCAAAGGGACACAAATGCACTTTCGATCGTTTCGAACTTTACTCGGCTCTGTCGCAGCGCTGATGGTTCGAAGGTGGTTTTTTGAGCAAATGCCTCAGATGATCCAAAAAAATTTATATGATTATCCAATTTTTTGCAACTTCCAAAGTATACCAGGGCACAGAATAAGAATTGTCTCCTGTCTTGTGACCAGGGATTGTCTCCTTCCGAATGCCCATCCTTTTATGGGATTGTCTGGTGTATTAGGACATAACAAAAATTTTGTACACGACTATAGCAATAAGAGTATACTGACTTTAAGAATCTCAACTTGCAACCCATAATGCACCCATGACATGTTTGATGCTTCATCGAATGAATCGCTTATCAGATTTCGCATATCCATCCAGGTCATCTCTTTCGAATCTGCTTTAAAGCCTTGTGCCGTTTTAATGCAGTTGCAGAACCCTACACAGTGGTAGCCTTATACAGGTGCTCATGGACAATACCAGTTTTCACATATCGCAGTAGGATGGCTAATTTCTCAGTGACGGACACCGTCTGGTCATATCCATGAACTTTCAAGCCTCAAAAATATCTTATTGAGGCTTAACAGATTTTCAGCAATTTTGCAAAAGTTTTCTTTGAAAAAAAGGTGACCAAAGATCCTCGACCTTTTCTGATGGACTCAAGAAGCATCCTTTGGTGATTGCTTTTATTGATAATTTTATCTACAAGGCGTTGCAAAACTTCGTCATACTTGCTCAACAAAAGAAGTATGCAATATTTTGCATTGCCAAAATTAGTATCATGTCGATTATCCTTGACGGCAGATAAAGCTGCGTTGGATTCCTCAAGTTTACAACTTTTCGTATACGTGCTTCACATTGACATCATAACCAAAGATGTGAAAGGACTCTTCGAGTTGGATTTGTCATAGCACATGCATACTGAACAATAAATTTTAGATCTTATTGCTATCAAATCATATTTTTACGATAAAGTCCAGCTTCGCCTTTGCAGTAGATGACACATTTTGTCTTAAAAACATTCTCGCAGCGAAAGAATTGGATACATAAACCACATCTTGGCTTCTCGTTATTTCTTGACCATCATCGTTTTCTTGAGGAGGCCTTGATTTCTTTTCTTCGTGTAGAGACAGTTCTACGTGACTTCCCTAGCTGTGCAGAATATGTTACTCAGGTCACTAGATGCTGCGTCATAATCCACACAGCGGCGGCGCCAGCTACTGCAGAGTGGGAGGATAATGGGCGTGGCCAGTAAGACCAGTAACTACTTCCTCATATCCCTTTGGCGCCGCCACTCAATCTACAGGTATTGCAATTGCTTCGTCCAAACTTTGCTGCTCTTCAAGGCTCCTTTGATCGTGAAATCATCAGCTCGATGTTTATGGTAGAACTTCTAGACGAGTCCCACAACTTGGTACTGATTGCGCAAGATAATCTATGTTTGTCGTCGGACGTCCCAATTATACCATCACACTTGACAACACTAGAAAAAATGAAAAGATTTATGCTCACTTGAATATTGCAGCTTGCGCTTCTTAAATAGTTAACTGGGAATCGACAATAAAGTGGAAAGTTATGACATCATATTTTATTACATTTTTGTCAATATCTAACTTTGACCTCCTGGATTCTTCTGCAACTTCGATAAATATGTCTCAGGCTATGTTCACATTGATCCGTATTCGTTTTTATCCGTTTTCATACCGATCCGTTTTACCTGTTCACACTGCTCCGGATACATTTGATAACGGTGTGAAAACGATGAAGCGTTCACATTGCTCCGCTCTGGATAAAAAGGAAAACGCCACGAACTGGTTTACAGACCTTGCGACTGCTAACAAACTTTTCAAACAACTCACTGCCACTAATATTGGAGGATCAAGTGACTGATCCTGCGCTGTATTAACCTTTTGTTCCTCAATAGAGGCGAAACTCCAGAAAGGCTCCTGGTTCTTGATTAAAAAAATAATAAAAGATAGCTGAAAAATACAACGAGTGTTCCATTTTATTTACATGCAGAAAGAGTCATTTTATTTGCATTCGATGCGGTGAAATTTACATTGAACATATTCTATTAGGGAATTTATTACGAGCGTTAAGCGTCCTCCTTGAGTCGGGTGTCGACTTCTGAAAAATCTTTCCTCCGATGCGTTGAATTGGATGTCACCAATCACTTGACATAATCGATTTCCTTCAGACTCTAGAGACTAAGAGCCTCATTAAAACCTTTTTTGCTTGTTCTAGCTATATATATTTAAGTACATTACTGATTGTTTTTACCTTATTGCTTTGTATTCCTTGATTAAAGCCCATTTATAGAGGCACAGTTTCCTTGAATTTCGATGAAAACCCCATAAGGCCACATAAGGACAGGCTCTTGCCTCATCAAACCTCTGTAATTTGGTCTTGGTTCATAGCATCATGAGCCAGGCCAGAATAACAGCAATCCGTTAGCAAACTTCGAATTTTCTATTGGCCATATCTCGCCCAATTTGGAACACATCTAGCTAATTTTGCACATTAAGAGGTATTTTAAGCCGTTCTTTCAGATTATGTGGCCAAATTCAAGAAATTCAAGAGACAAAAAGGGAAAATTTGCTGCAATTGTTTCCTTAATTTTATTTGAGCAACAAACAAAGTGTTTATTGCTAAAATAATATATTTTTGAAGACGTCACACTTCGGTACTCTATTGTTCGTTGAGTGTTGGTGTGAGCAGCGAGAGCAGTCAGTAATATTCGTTAATGTTATATGAAATTAGACAAACAACGTGAAGTTATATAGAAAACCAAACCAAACCTATGTCTCTATAACCTACTTTCCACAACATCCACGCAAAGTCACACGGAAAGATGAGACCATGAGAATGCCCGAATGAAAAATTCCATGATTTACAACCATTTTTTTCATTTGTTAGTTATAAAAGTTTCCAAAAATTTCCAATAATTTTAGGATGTCCCCTCCCTGCCCCTCAATCAATGTCACATTTTATGGGGTCATTTCATCGTTTATTACGCCACGCCATGTGATTGAGAGGAAATTGGTAACCTCGGATTGCCTCTACGAGAAGGAGGTAAAGAATTAGCATACTTGCATTGCACAGGACACATGTAGGAGTAGGTTTGCACAGCAAAAGTTGTGTAAGCGTCAAAGAATCAAACTGTTAATGCAGAAAGCCTTGTGAGGCGATGCCTGAGCTATGGAGGTAGCTAAAGATATCGGTGCTGATAAAATTCAAGACAATATAGCATCAAGGCTACGAGGACGTCTACAAGACGACACAGGCCACATCAGTGAGGCATTCCCTCCTGACACTGCCAACAGCCACAAAATGACAGCTAACACCGGCTCAAGTGTTAAATTCAGGACTTTTGTAATGGCTGGGGCTGCTGCAGGAATTATGGAGCACTGTGTTATGTACCCCGTTGACTGTGTAAAGGTAGGCCATGCTTTCGGTCAATTTTGCCTGTTTCCGTCGGCAATCTTTTGCCATCCAACATCATACACAGAATGGCTATTAAGAGAGTCGTCAGCGTTTTATTGATAGCCAGTACAGTCGATTCAACGTTGTTAATTAGAATCAACAAATTTTAAAACGTATTTATTAGTGTTAAATTGTTTCTTAGTAGTCTACGATAGTGGCAAAGTGGTGATGATAGATTAACAAACTGCACCATTTTTACCCAGTAATCACCTACGTCATCCAGATATCACAGGGTACGAGGTGTGCAGAGGTTTTGCTTCCAAGAACTCCTGCCCATAGGAAGTTGCATTTCGCCGTTTTTCGCAAGGTTTTTGCATGCTAGCAATAGTGTAGTGCTATCAAAAAAGCAAGGGGGGCTCTTGCACAAAATGTTGCGGAAAACAATAGCAAAAGTAGGAATTTGTCAATTTTCGGCATTAATAACAAGGATGGCTCATCACTACACCCCCACATGCTAGTAATATTAGCCATGACATAATGGTTCTCATATCTATGCATATATTTGCCCAATGAAATAGGCATTCTTTTTATTAAAACAGATAACTCAGTTCTTTTGACAACCAGTTGCCATTAACAAAAATTCACTTCTTATTCTTTTTTTGAATTCATTTTCAACAAATTATTCAAAACCAAAACACTTGTTCAAGTTTGCTACTTCGAAACAGTCCCTCTATCAGTTTTTGATTAAGTTTGTTCATTAAACATTAAAAAAAGCTTTGAAGCTTTAGAAGTTTTAAACTGTGTATTGCATATCACAGTGATTTTTTGTTACAATATTATTTTTTTACACAATTTTTGCAATTTTTTTCTTCTCTGGGTTTTGACGTATATCTTCATCACATAGTTTGTTCAAAGTATCAGTGGATAAAAGGACATCATATGATCAATCTTTTTAAGCTCCTTATTTAATGTTGTTTATTTTAATGCCTGCCCCCATCACCTAAAGATAACAGCTACCCCAATTTGATCCCCATTTGTACTGTTCCACTTTCTTTGTTTATCTTCTCATTCTTGCAAGGAATTTATGCATGATTTTTTGTCTGGTTGCAAGAAGGAAACATTTTTATGCCCTGACTTACAGGTCTAGGAAGTGGATCAAATTTGTTGCTTTGTTTTTCTTATGAATTTTGAATTTATTGTCTTAAATTTTAACTGCAAATATTGCTTGATATATTGTTTTATCATGACAATGTGATCATTTATGGTATTAGTTAGGTTGTCTTCCGAACAGACCTCCCTAAGAATTTGTTGTGCCTGCAAGTACAAACTGTTTTGGAAAAAGTGCTTGCAAGGTTTTTTTCATATGTAATGCTTAGGATAGTTTAAACAAACTTTAGCTTACGACAAAAAGGAAAAATTTGCAGCAATTGTTTCCACAATTTTATTTGAGCAACAAACAAAGTGGCAGTTGGTTTTATTGCTTGATATTGTTTGATACTATAACCAAAGATACTTTCAGCTTTTTTAATATTTGGTCCATTAACAGCAATCAAAATTTCCATCTCTTGCATGCTCCACCCAGATTGGTAGTTTGTCCTGAATTTTTTTCTACATGGAAGCCTTCAATCAATGACTCAATCAATAGCTTGCTGCAGCAACACAACCAGGATAAATAATCATAGCAAGATATTTAGACATCTTGTTCTTGCTGTTAGGAAAATATGTTATTCTCTTTTTGCTACATAAATCACTTACACAAAGCTGTAGAGCTTAATATAAACATGGTGAAACTTGTATTTCTCTAAATTCTTGAACAATTGAAAACTTTGAAAAATATCACTTTCTCAGATGTACATGCAGATGTAATTTGGTTGGCATGGTTTGCCTCTGAGCACCGCTAATGCACTTGCACACTTGTGCACTTCAGCGAGGCCTGGTTCCAAGTTTTATTCAAGGCTCACATACATTGTTAAAAGCCTTTAGCCTTAAGAAAATTTTTTTCTTGTTTCACATTGCTAAGTAATAAATCATTGAAAGTGGACAGAAACCTACAAAGAGATGTATTTTATGTTTCAAGCGTATTCTGGAACTGGCATAAATATTCTAAGAAATGAAAAAATATTGGCTAATATAAAACTATTTCCTTAGGTAATGAAACTAACTTTTTTGGTTTTCTTTTTCCTTTCATTTACTGTTTGCAGACACGAATGCAATGTCTCAGACCTAGCCCAGGAGCAATATATGATGGGATAATGGATGCATTTAGAAAGATGGTCCGGACTGAAGGTGCCCTTTCTCCATTCAGAGGAATGAATATTGTGGCATTAGGTGCAGGACCAGCCCATGCACTTTATTTCTCAAGCTATGAAGTCACAAAGAATTTTATTGGCAAACTTGGTCATGGCAATCATTCATCTGCATTGGCCTTTGGTAGGATGATTCTTTGATTTTACAATTATAAAATCTGATTATTATTTTGTGTCCTCTTTTTCGTATTGTCCACTAAGGGGGAGAGGGTGAGGGGGATTTGAATGTATACTTAAATACTGGCCAGAAGTCTATAAGGCTGACTGTAACTAGGTTGGATAGGAAGCAGAGCTGATTTTGTATAACTAGGGTTTGGGCTAGTATTATCATCCTGGTGCAACCATTCGCTCGTCTGTCAGCTGTACTTGATAAAGAGGGTGAGGTGGCACACCAGGGGCAGTTGTGTGGCATGGATGTTATCCAGGACTTCACCATCTCTTCATGTAGAACTAAACACAGTTTTATTGGATAAATGCAAAGACCAAGCTAAATCTAATTTGAGAAACAAACAATTTACTAAACAAAAAAATCAAATATGGTTGCCTAATGAAAGCAAATTTCCCTAAAGCTCTTCAATTTCAAGAAAGTAATGAAAAGGTAGATTTTTTGAAAAAGAGAGGTTCTGTAGGATGTGAGAAAATTTGAAAGAGGCCTTTCCAATTGGTTTAAAGTATGCAATAACTCACTGAATAAGGCCTGATAAATGATTTATTGGTTTTCTAAGAAGTAAACATTGTTTGCTTTTACATCTTGGTGCCTTTTACATCCACACAAACTCTTGCTTGGAGACCCTTTTTGTATCTTCAGTTTGTTGAAGGTCTGCTAAAAGCTATTTTTTGGTATTATTAATCAGGCTCTTTTGTAAGAAATAGCCCAAGTGAGTGGCAGACAATCGCTTGGTTGGTTTTGCACAGATGCTGACAAAATCACAATTGATCGCTCACCTCAGATCAAAAGGCCTGATAAATCATGTTTACCTATTTGCATTTTTATTGATTATATTATCTTTTTACTCTAGGTGGGGCTGGTGTTGTTGCAACAATGTTTCATGATGGTGCAATGAATCCAATCGATTGTAAGTCATTACTGTGTTCTATTTCTGAACCTTGATTTGTAAAATTATCTTGTATCCTTTTTCTTGTTCCATGTTTTTTTCTATATTTTGAGTTCTTCACTTTTGTTATTAGTAACAAATCCAAAGGCATGCATATTTTGTTCCGCTGAAAATGATATAATTGCTTTCAGTTGTAAAGCAAAGGCTACAGATGTATGGGAGCCCATATCGTGGAGTCTTTCATTGTCTTCGAACTGTAATAAAGGAGGAAGGCATACAGGCATTTTACCGGAGCTATACAACCCAGTTGTCAATGAATATTCCATTTCAGTGTGTACATTTTATAACATATGAAACATTCAGAAAAAAATTCAATCCTGGTGGTGCTTATAATCCATGGACTCATGTAATAGCTGGAGGTATAGCTGGTGCAACAGCAGCCGCAATAACCACACCGTTGGATGTAGCAAAAACATTGTTGAATACACAGGAGAAGTGTGCTGTTTGTGAAGTAATGCATTCAGACACCAGGGTCTTTATAACTGGAATGTTTAATGCAATGAAGTTAGTTTACAAACTTGAAGGAATGAAGGGATATTTCAGAGGCATCCAAGCAAGAATTATTTACCAAATGCCATCTTGTGCCATTAGTTGGTCTGTTTATGAGTTTTTTAAGCATCGGTTAACAATGACTCCAGAGGAACAAATTGAATGGATGGAAAGTGCCATATAGTGAATTTGATAGAGTTTGTAACAGTTTTTGCAGTTAGGGGTTATAAAAATAAACAAAATTTTGTAGCTTTTCTGTTTAGATTCCCATAGAAATACCAATCTCTTATTTGCAATATCATGAAGAAAAATTGTCTTCTGTATGTATGACCAGTAAAATATATGTTATTTTATTTTTAATTGGCAAGCATTTTAGACCAAGTAAATTTAAGAACCATTTTAAACTTAAGTGGGTATTATCAATCATATTATAGAGGCCAGTTTTACCTGATTCATGAACACAGCTGAAAGTAGTTAAATGCAACTATCAAATTTAGATGGTTTCTACATTCAGGCTTGTCAGCCAGCCTATTTTATGTTTTCATAAACATCTTGGCCATGCTAAAATTTATTTTTGTACATGGCTGATGAAAATATTATTGCTGGTGTTAGCGGCCATTTAAACTTTTTTAAACTTGAAATTAAAACCTTTAAAGCAAAAGAGTCTAAATTTGCACAGGATTGTAAGAAAAAGGCTAATGTCTTAACTTAGAATTAAATTAAAGAAATGGAACAGCCATACTGAAGTCAGTGGATTTAACTTTTTTGCAAATACTTCTTCATGTTTAGAACAATTTTCATAAGACTCAAAGATATTGCACAATTATTGTCTTGGTAAAGATGATTTAATAAGATCATGATAGTTAGATATGAAATTGGATTAAATAGCGCCAAGAAGGTTTTTTCTTTGAACAGCATGAAGGAAATTTAAACCTTTTGTCAACAAATCCTTGCCCCTTCCCCCCTAGAACTGCCAAGTTCCAACAGCTGAAAAGAACAGTTTGAAAACATAATAAATTTGTCAAGGAAATAGGAGTATGTTGGTTGTTTCTCTCAGCATGTTCAATGAGTTTTTATCCAGCCATCGACTATATTTTGAAATAGCACTTTTGTTTCTGTCTGCAAATATGTGACATCTTAGTACTTTTTCACATATACCTTCTATTAAATCAAGCATAATTGAGTATCTTTGAATAGGCATAATGTTTATGCGTGATATGATTCAACTATATGTTAGGTGAACTTAGTTGCATCTGTCTACTCTTCTCTCTTTCTAATAAATTATTAACGATCCCCATTTCTTATGTCGAATCGATATTTAATCAAGAAAGCGCATTTGCCAACTATATAAGAACAACAGTATATTGTTACTGTTCGCTAATCTCTTCATTGCTACCTCTTCTGATGAAAAATAAAGGCGCCTACTTTACTTTGATTTGAACAGAAAAATAAGTTTTATCTGCGATTTTATTTCGCTCGTGTCGCCAGAGTTCAGTTTTCTTTATCTTTTTACTGTGTGATATTTGGTAGAGCATTATGTATAGTCAAAAAAGCTATTTTCATATTTCTTTTTTGAAACTTTCACTGGTATGGGTTGTCCGATATGAAACAACAACAACAGAGCCACTTTTTTAAAAGCCCTCGTCCCTCATCTTGCTAGCATTTTTATGATACTAGTAATTGCTTTTGTCAGTTATTGCTTTGAACCAAATATGATCGTAGATTCCAAGTCAAAAATCGAAGCTAGGTTAAAGTATTCAAGCCATTTTTCAAGTGTTGGACCTATTTGCCTCTTTTTGTTAGATCTAAAAAGAATGGTTTATGCAATCTTTTATCGTAAGTCTTTTTATTCTGTATACAGAAATAACAAGGGAGCAATGAATATAAGAGCTAAGTGAATGATAATGCTTTCATGCTTATTGTACTATACAAGTTGTGGGAAGTAGGTGCTTTTAGAATTGCTATCCAATTACGTACTTGATCTAGTGATGTTTTTTTTATCGAACAGTTTTGAGTGCACTTATCTGTCATAACTTTGCATGCAGATTTTGTCGGTCGCAAGTTGTTATTCTGTTTTTTATCCCAAATCTTATCAGACAGCCAAGCTCAAGAATTATCAAGTAATTATCTCGGTAGAAACATTTTCAAGTACTTCCTTGTCCATTTCCTAGAATTACATTAAAACATTTTTATACGGCTAAAACTTTGTTCTTGCTTTATTATAAAGAACCTTTATTTAGTAATGAAAGCCATCGACTGTCTCCTTCAGATTACATGACATTTATTTAAGGATATGTTTTGTAATGTATTTCCAGTCAGATAGGTTGTTCCACAAAGCTGCGGTGTAGGTCCATTGCTTTTCATTGCCAAAAGCTTATGTTACTTATTTAGAATATAACATTTCTCACTTCTTACACGACTTCTGGTTCTTTAGTAACGTTTAAAGTTTTTAAGCTGACCAATCTCGTTGACGGTACCTCTTTAGCAATTTTGCTGTTAACGCCAACAATTCAGAAGTAAAATTTAAACTTCTAAAGGCCAATTTTGACGATTTTTTTAGTATTGAAAAACCAATCTTCTCTTTGTTAATGCCAAGAGTTTCCATATTTATAAGCTTCTCGTTAGTGACGGATATCTCATTTCTGAATCAATTGCGCTCTGTTTCTGAAAACAGGTTATATAAAAAATGAGTCTCGTGATTGCAGGGTTGGCACATTATTTTGTGACTTCCCTTGATACTATCGAAGCGTTTACTTTAAGTATCGTGCAAATTTAATTTTTCATCAATTTTTATCCCAAAGCCTGATTTTTGATACGTGCTCTCTCAAAATAAACAGCAAAGTTAAGTTACCTGTCAGTCAGCCGATGTTTGTTCTCGAGCTGTTCCTGAGGATCCTCGCTTACATTTCCTTTTAGGTAGCCAAGTTTAACCACGCCTGCAACAAATACTGTTAAGGGTAATTGAGAAACACATAGGTTTCTAGAGTTCAGTTTTTAAAGTTCAGATTTGCAGAATCGATATGAATTCTAAACAGTGCGGCTGCACTTGAAGAAATGGTCAACGATTTCTTTCGTTACATCTGCATAGTTTTCTGCATATGTTAAGTCATCTTCATAAAAGCTTATACAGTAGATATTTCTAACAAATCTAGCACAGTAGATATTTCAATTTAAGTTGAAATTGACAAAAATGGGGGACCTCTTTTAAGTGCTCCAACCTGAAGTCGAGTTTACAGTTTATATATGACATGTTGTATATGATATCTGGGTAATACGAGAAATGGGTCTCTATACCTGGCTCTAGCGAATCTGCTTGTATATTAGTCATTTAAGATTGCGAGGAAAAAGAAGAGAAAAAAGTAATTATATGTAAATAATAAGGAAGTAAATCATGGACATTTGCAGTTGCAACTTCAATATTATGCAACTGGGGTAACGCCATTTAAAGAGGAGAGATTGGATTTATCGGCGAAAAATCACGAAGGTTTTGACATGGATGCAAGAAGATTCCACCACTAGCATTTCATCCTTTTTAATGTTTAATTCAGAATTGGCCAATACCGCAAACTGGGCATTGAATTCACTAAAAACCACTCATCGCCCATTTTTCAATCACCGAAATACCGCCCAATTTGAGAAAGTTTACCGAATTGCCGACAGAGGAAAAGACAATACCGCAATACCGTCAACCCAAAAGAGCCCCCCCCCTAAAATACATGAAATTGCATCGGTTTTTCTGGTCACCAAAAACGCTGCTAAAATTTAAACAAACAAAGGGGGAGAGTCCATGGTCTGGCTGAAGGAAGCCAATCGTACTTAACCCATAAAAATGCTTCTACCATAGCTTTAATCTCCAAATTTAATCCTTCAAGAATCAAAGATAATTAAATTATCACGTTGCACAGGGCCGTAAACACCAAAACACATTTTGGGCATGTACATGGAACCTTGAAGGCAATTGTAGAAAATTGGACCAAACAGTATCGTCAATCCTAGCAAATTATTAAGAGGAGCCCAATTCCCCCACTGTCAATGGGCCTCAGTCATATACCAAGGAAGTCAGATACGAGGGACAAAGTTAGAGAGGCCCACCATTTCATAGAAAAGAGTTCATTTTTTGAAGGACCTTACTTCTTAAAAAAGGGGATTTTACCCAAGAAATTGGGGGCATCTCCCATAAACCAGATAACTATTGAGGTGACAAGATCTTTTTCAAGCATCTTGTCCCTAAATGCTAAAACTTTGCTTGCCTAATCCATCTTGCTTACTCTTGTTCATAGCTGCTCCCCTAGATAATGCCTATTTGTATACAAACTAAAAAAACCATGGAAATACGTAATTTACAAAGTATGCGGAAACAACCTAAAGCACTACGTAATACTTGGGTGGGGTGATACGTCATATCCTCACACACTAAATCCCATTGTTAAATTCCCACCAATTGACGCAAGAATTGCCTGGCCTCTAGGCCCCAGCCTAGAGTAATGATGATAAATAATGTCAATAAACGAACTATTAATTTTTGGCGCTACAAACTTTCGGACAAAGACTTGTCCAAAATGTTATTTGTACGAGGTTTTAGTTGTCCGAAAGTTTGTGATGCCGAATATTTTGTTAAAAAGCCGTCTTGAAAGCAAATAAAGTCATTCCTAATAAATAACATCATCTTTCTCATTGCATATCAACAATAACATCACCATTCGGTACTGAAGGTTTCTTACCGTTATCACATTTTCAGTACATACGGTTTCTTAGAAATTTCTCAAAAGTTCAATAACAATCTAAAAATTTTGTGAATTAATCAACATTTAGGCGAAAATTGATTTGTCCAAAATGCCAAATATTTTCGGCCAAGTTTATTATCCGAAATTTTATCCACTGAAATTGTATCCACCACCGGGGGGGGGGCGGTGACCCTGGCTCCCCACATTTTTCGAAGCAAGTTGTTTTATAACTGCAGTAAAAGGGGTGAGAAGCCTTGGCCCTTACTTTTCTAGCCTTGTCCCCCCACCCCCCACTTTCAAATTCGTGGAGTGGGCCCTGTATTGTAAGCTACGGGGAGATTAACAAATGAATGAGGGAGGAGGGAACTAGCTTTACGACATCCATGTTTTATCTTGCACCCCTCTGCGGAGGAAAGTTCCCCGCAGTCTAGTAAACAGAAGATCAATTTCAGTAATGGAGGCAGGTGTTGCAGAAATGCCTGCTGAACTCGGAGTAATATCTCTGATAGTGACTCGATGATGTGAAGTTCACAAAGGGAAATGGATAAGAGAATAATACATGTATTGAAAATGCGAGTTTTGAAATGCAAAGCTCATGGGTTCAGACAGGTTATATCCTGGGCTATATCTGCCTAATGCGCATTTGTATGTTCTTTAAACGGACCTTAATTTTCATTTGCAAAACGCCGGCGAATCAGTGTGCAAGAGATCCTGTTATTTCCAAGGGTTATCTGGTACAAAGAAGTTCGTGTTTTACTGGCTGCAGCAAGTCCTAAGTATTTAAGAATTTTCCATAACGACCTAGAGACCAGCATGACTTATATTAAAATGGGTTCAAAACGGACTGTGCAAAAGCTAAATACCTCTGCAGCGAGGCCGGCCCGGGAGTAGCCTAGTTGTTTGACATAACTTGAAGGATGGAATTCTTTTCGACAGTTGATAAGTTCATAATCCACAACAGAGAGAAAAACCAGAGTTTATGGTGCTGCAAGTTAGATGGCTCCATTCTTCCAAGGCCAGGTAAGGAACCGAAACTATCTGTCCCGTGTCCTCCATGTAATTTGCAACAACCCTAGTCCAGGTCCTACTGAATAAAACATCTTGAAATTATGTAAAGTCAAGTTACACATATGGCGAATTTTATTCAATTGACATGTGCTACATGTACAAGTATACAAGAAAGGGACTATCAATTGCATCGTTTATCATGTCACATGATGGCAATTACTGTAATTTGATAGCCAAGAATTGATTTTGAGTGACCTGATGTGAAGATGACCTCTCCCAGCTGCTTAATTTTGAAATTTTGGCGGGATAGTTAAACTTTTAATTGTTTTTTATTCTTTAAGGAGACAGTTTAAGCTTTGCATGGAATCCAATTTGTCATGGGATGGTACATGGGATTGTTGGAAAAATTCAGCTTATTCCTGGTAAGCCCTTTGATTGTGGGACAGTGCTTAAGAAGTAACCAACTGTGTTGGGGTGCACAACTTTGGGGGTGTGGGGGCAAGTTGTCACACCCCCAATTCTCACTCAGACTTGGACCTTGTTCTAAAGATTATGTTTAATGGAGTAGATTCTTGATCCAAACTGTAATGTTTGCAAAAATATTGTTGAAAGATGGAAGGCCAAAGATATTGTATTCAACTGTGTCACCCAGCAGCAAAATTTGGAAGGCGAATCTGCTTCAATTTGTTTTCAATGGGTTGTTCTAATCTTGATTTGCTCGCAAAAAAGCTCCATGGTATCAATTTTAAAAGGCTATCGAAATCTGGTCAGGAAATGTAGGACCTCAAAGTTAGCAAAAAATTTGTTTCCATCTCCCAGAATTCCTCATCAGAGCCAAAGTGGGAGACTTATGGATGGTATAAGATAATCTTGATAGTACCTAGAAAATTGAAGGTGCTCAGTTTATCAAGTGCCTTCTTTTTGCCCCTCACAAGGCCTGTTCACAACCCTGAGGCAATGAGTGAGGGTCAAATTGAAATGAAAATGAGAGCAATCAAGTATAAGAGGGACTATCCTTGATTTCTTAATTTATGCAAATCCATGAGTGAAGATCCATTCCATATTCTTTGGGGGGTGTCACCCCAATGCCAGCCTCATCTCCCCAACTCCCCAGCATTAAATGTATTCTAATGTTTTATTTTTCTTCTTCAGGTGCTGAACAAAGACTTTTATTGATTTCTGAAAAGAAGTCTGTTGGCTATCTTCCAGGTGGCCATGAAGTATTTAAAATAAATAAAGTTGTATGTGTTACTTTGGCTCTTGATTCAGAGCAAGAAATAGATATTACAGTAAGTATACAAATGATCATGACTACATAAGCTAGTTCATCACCTCTTCATTAAAAGATGTCACAACAACTTTTGATACATATATCTTCTATTTTTGCATGTAATTTACAGTTTGTATAAAACTTTTATCTTCAATTTGAGCCTCAAGATCACAATGAAAAAGTTCTACAATGGAAACCATGACTAGAGTTGTTGAGTTATTTAAAGGTGGAAATTGATTAGCTCCCCAACATTCTACAGTGGCTAGGGTCCTTATATCTTGACGGTAGTAGTAAGTGTCCCAGAACAGCTGACAAATTTAATAGCTTAGTTGCACAAGTTGTAAGAATTCCATTGGTCATCAATTGGTCAAAATGGGCTACACCATGAGGTGAAAATACTAATTCATGAATCATGCTTATAACACATTGCTGGGTCATTCCATGCAAAGTGGACTAGGAGTTCCACATGCACCACCTCAGATTTGCATGAAAATTTGTGTCAATGTCCATATATGTAAGATAGGAGCATCCTGAAGACTTCAGCTTGATATTTTATACCATCCAAAAGATATCGATCTTCAAAGTCTTCAGCTTTGGCTCTGATGCGGGATTCTGGGAGATGGAAACAAACTTTTTGCAATCTTTGAGGTCCTATATTTCCTGACCAGATTTTGATAGCCTCTGCAAAATTTATACCCTGGAGCTTTTTTGCGAGCAGTGTCAGAAAAAAATTACCAAAAAAATCATTCTTCAATAGTTGGCCCATCATGGCAGCCTAAAATTGCTATAAATTTACTTCTGGAAGTAAAAAGTTCAAATTTTGAAGGGCCAGAGCTTAAATTCAGAATCAAAATCCAACTATATCAGTGTTAAGAGGTCACATTATAATAAGGATGTCCATTTGGGAAATAAACCTCTCAAAAATTGATTATTTGTCTCCTACAAGGACGGCATTTTCTAACTAATTGGCACTTTCCTCTAAGTGTTTCTAAAAGCTTTCAATGTCAATCAAGACTTGATAATTTTTATTGAATTTCTGCTTTCAAAATAAGACGATATTTTTCTTCAAGGCATGTCCCAACCATAGTTCTATGAAGAACCAACGTATGGATGGACAGCAGCAAAAAGCTTTTCAACAAACATGGAACTCTCTAAAGAGTACTGCTACCAACCAGCTTAAAGGAATGAAGGTTCTCCACAGTTTTTTCATCTGTTTTTCCCATTATTGATATGTTTTGAATAATGATAATCAAGAATAAGGCTAAGAATAATGCACCAACTGTAGAGAAAAGCTCTACTGTTGGTGCGTTTTTATGCCAGTGCAAAATGTTATTGTTTTAAAATATCAAAAAAAGTTTTGTTTCTGTATAAAGAGCTCTGTAACTAGTATGAGGAGAGATTCTTTGTTGAAAGATTAAAGAAAGATAAAAGTCTTACAGAAATATCATTTAAATAAAAAATTACGAAGCCTCATTTTTACCTAAAGCAAATGTTAACTATTTGAACTACTACATACAATCGTGCTACTCTCAATCTCTTAATTATTTCGTATATACATAATTATTCAATTTATTTCCTCTCAATGTAAGCTTCATGTGTGTTGACATTTAAGTCCCTACTTTTGAAAAGCGTCCCTTTTTGCTGGTAAACACAAAACTTGCGAAAAATACTTTCGTTTGGTGTTGCTAATGAAGAGCACTTGGACATAATCAAAACGCGAAGTCCAGACTTGTGATATATTGTATTTGGTTTCTTTGCAGACGTCTTCCAAGGATGTGAAAGACAAGGAAAAATTAGACAAGCGATTAACTGAGGTGAATCTTGTTCAAATCTTAATGAAGTAATCTTACCGGAGGATTTTGTTAATGATTTATTTTTTAACAAAGAAGACAGGCGTTTTTTACGAATTTTGCATTTCGTTTAATTTATTATTAATGCCGTTGTTGGAATAGAAGCGAAATGCGTGGATTTTTGCTGACAATTCCATGTAAGTAGGGAATTTTACAAAGTGCTTGGTATTGAATAGCCATTTTATTGTTATCACTTTTTTTGTTTCTAGAACACTCTTTTGCTAGCCAACATCTACTGTGGTTAACAGTACAATATTTCCAATGCAGATTTAATAACTTTCTGGTATTTTGTCACTGCCCACTTTATAAGGCTGTATATTCTAGATGCTATGCAAGAAGTGTTATTCTAAGTTGCAATCCATATAATTTTTCAAGCGTTTTTTCCCCAAGATAACATAATATGCTGAGAACATAACTTTCCTGATATCTGTATTCGATAATTTAGCAACTAATACGAAAGCAAATAAATTGAAGGTGCCACTTACCAACATACCCAGACTACATAGCCAAACTTGGTATTTCTATAAGAAAGTTTGTACTCGTTGCGGTTTTTGTACCCCCCATTTCTTTTTAGAATTTCATCACCTCAAAGTCTAGAACGAAGAAGCAAAAGAATTGCGTTTCGTTCTAGCCCCGATGTACTGTTAAATGAATGAATGATATGGCGGAGGGGAGAAGGGGTGTCATATGGTTTGGTTTTAGCATCCCACCTGTAGGCTATGTGTCGTACTGGAGGTTGTGTATTGGCTTGTTATTGCTGTTATACATTTGTTATACATTGCCAGAAGCATTGAAGTTTCTGCTGTGGGAACCATGTAGATTTACAAGTAACACCGCATCTGCCTTTGCTTTTTCGCCCCTCTTCTCTAGAAATTACAGTAGTTTTTTTCGTTTAACCACTTTTGAATTGTGCAATTCTTACGCCAAGGTTTTTATTAGCAGCTGGGTATTTAGGAGGTCAGTTTTCTTCGTTTCTTGATTGATTGAAGTCTGGGAGTTAGGCGACAGCTTTCCCAGCTGCAGAGACATCATGGCTTTAGTTTTTAGGGTGGACAGACATCTTTGAGACACAGATAAGCTTCCAGTTTATGAATGGCTAATCAAGGTTTTCTAGTTAGGATTGCTTAGCCTGCGCGCAGACTCGACTGGTTTTCCAAGAGATGAATTTAGTTTAATTTGAACTTAGCATTTCTCTTCCAGTAGCTATTTGAATTTAGCATTTCTCTACTGGGAGAGAAACGCACTAAATTCATCTCTGGGAAAACCAGTCGAGTCTGCACGCAGGCTAGGATTGCCATGAATTGAATGGCTGCACTTGTCACACTATTCAATTTATCGCAGTCCTGACCTGCCATCTGATGTGAGACAGAAGAACCTTTGAAAGTATCCATTCCTATTTAATCGTTCGTTGTGTACTGTATGCAGCTCACCGTTTCGTGTCCTTGTGTACTGTATGGGGTATTCGTTGTCTTTCGCTCCTAATGGTATCCTACCTGTAGTGTTGTATAGTAATCAGACAGTAGTTTGTAAGACATATTGTATTTGAGTAAAAAAAGGATTTAGAAAAGAATATTTTTTTGCTTACATAAAACACAAAGCTGCTTTCTTTGTCTGAAGAATCTGAATCTGTTTTTCGATCTACTGTAAATGAAAAAGTTTTCATACACAGTCTAAAAAAGTACATTTTACAAGAACAAGATAACAAAGACGATGCCAATAGAAGCATGTTAGACAAGGCTAACTATTGACCTTAACAAATAGAATTAGAGTGGTACTAAGGCTATACAAAAATCCTGTTTAGATCGTTAGAAATGAAAACTTCCTCATTTACAAGCATACCCTTTAATTCACGTGACAGAAATTGATAAAGCTAGATGGACACCCCCTCCGCTTTGCACGGCCCCGCTGTCTAGTTATCCCTTAACCACTGTGTTCCTGTTTAGTGGCTTTTCATTGTATTCTATTCATGTGTTTAAGTCCGAACCTTGTCATTCATGTAATGCCTAATATATTTTTGGGGATTTTAGGAGCTGCTGAAAATGTTTAATGAATCTGGATCTTTCTACTACTCGCCAACTGGTGATCTGAGTAACACAATGCAAAGGCTATTTGATGGAAGTATTGACAAGCACCAACCAATCTGGAACCAGGTATTTGTTTTCTTACATTATATTTTCTTTATAAGTAAGCTTTGCAATACAGTTAGACACTAAAGCTCTTTAATCAGTTAGGCACGATAGTTAGATCACAAAGACACTAAAGCTCTTTAATAGTTTTATATCTTCGTCTGATAGTTGGTTGATCTAGATTGTCGCTGTATTCAGTTCATGAAGCAGATGTATTCCTACAGTCTCTCTAAGCTGGCGCAACAAGCTTCCATATTGTGTTTTTCCCGAGGACATATAAGTAGTGTAAGATATATGGTGAAAACATTGACGATGGAGAAACATGGCCAAAACTTGATGCTGCTAATTGGCGAGGGCACAGATTGGTCACAACGTAGCCAATTAAGCTCACTTTTTACATCTTTTAATTCACTCGATCCTTGACTGGACATTGAAATGTTCACTTCCATTATTTCCTGCTCTGGGAATTAGACCGGCAGATTTCTATCACTATATTTTCAACTGCACTACATCACATGGTCTGAATTCACTTTTTTTTGTATGAATTTTTGCCAAGTTTAGCTGCCGAAGAATGTCAAAAGAAAGCAAGAGACATGGGAGGGTTAGCTACTGCAGAAAACTGCCCAAAGTTTCAAAATAAGCATCACACAAGGCCTGTTTTTTTACGACCAAATTTTGAATTTACCTGCAGCTTTTTTCCCGAACTTTAAAAACTAAGATTACATCATAGAATTCTACTCGATTGGTCGATTTTGCATTTTTGCATCGAATAGACTTGCCGCTTTAGAATTAAGGTGATGCTGTTTTGATTACGAGCTGGCCATCTGCGTTCGCCTGATTTTCGCTCTTGCAGTGTTTTGAAATTGTCAAAATAGATTTATTGTTAATGAACAGAAACATTAGCAAGAGTAAACCCAAACTAATTTCAGAGTTAAAAAAAGAGTTAAAAAAAACTTTGATTAAAATCTAATCAGCATCAATAAGATTTCAAATTTAGATTTGTGTAATTTAAGGCAGAAAATAGGTGTTATATGAAATAACAAAGGCAAAAACAAATGAAACAGCCACGCTTTGGTGACATAGAATTATGACAGAATTTTATTTTACAATTTGTCGCTTTGTACTTTGGGTTGAAACAAACAGTGTTTCTCCATTATTCTTGCGTGAATCTGATTTATCGTAAATGCAAAATTTAATTTTTAACACTGTCTCCTAGGTTGATGACAGATTCTTCTGGAATAAACACATGATCAGTGATTTGATTGACAGCAAGGTTAGATTGATTATGTTAACATGTAACCAATATAAATTACGTTGTTTGCTGCGCAAGAAACTCAAAGCGTAGACACGTAGTGATTCTAGTCCAAGCAGCCCCTCCTGTTGTATACTGACCGATTGAGCAACCTTTACAGTCATATGCTCACGTTTCTGATTGGCTAATTTCCAAACAAAACTAGGTACATATTTTTTCTAGCTTAGAGTTTTCGATCAATTTTCTGACGTTTTATACTCTTAACAAAGTCAGTCGAAAACTTAAGCATGTTTTAAAATGCTTGCTTTTTCAAAGCCAGTTTCAAATTCTGTTCCGTCAAAAAGGTTTTTTGCAAACTTAGACTTAGGTCTTTTTTTAAATTTGTTGCAACTTTTGACGCTGGCAATAATAAAAGTCTCTTTAGCTAAGCTACCTTAAGACAAATAAGCCCAGAGAAGTAAGACTAGAATGAAATTCAAGTCACATATTTTTAGTTCTGTAAGCACAAATGCTATTCTTAGTAAAAATGTCTTGCTATCTTATTTTGCTAATAGGCATGACGTAACATTGTTTATTTTTTTAGAAAGTTTTGTGGATTAATGTGCAAGTTTGAAATTTTCCATTTGCTAGTCTACTTAGCTTCTTGAAAAACAATGAACCTTGCAGTAACGAGCTGCTGGCTAAATGATGTTTTAAGTCACTTTCTTTACCAAGTTGAGATATTGAAATCTTCACGGCAACTACTGACATTTTTACGGCTACTACTCTTTTATATATCTAGGACATTAATGTTATTTTAGTGCTCTAAACGAGAGACATCGAATAGAATGAAGCGTTGAAAAGAGGTGTTTAGATTAAATTTGTGGCTCAGACAATGACTGCGCTGACTTATTGGTACTCATAATTATTTATAAGAAGTTGGTATCGGAAATTTCCAATATTTTATGGAAACAATTTCAAATGAATGAAGAAAAGGCTCGACATATCTTGACTTTGTATTCTGCTTATCATCTTGTGAAGAAATATGGAATAACTTCATGTTTTCACCGAAAGCCCCCTCCCTAAATCTCTGGACTGTCTAGCAGGAGGCGGCTTTAAAGGAAGGCTACGTTTATTGAACTTTGTTGTGTTAGTCTGGGGCGTTTAAAAGAGCATAGATTTTATATAGAGGAGGCTGCTTTGTGACACGTTTACTAGCTTTCCAACATGAACCAGTTCTGGAAAACAGGTTCTTCCTGGCGTGACGATATTCTCTTTACGATAGTACAACAGTCTATACAACAAGCTGTTTTATAAGACTTGATAAATGTAGATTAGACTCTACTTTTGAAAATTTATGCAAAATGCAGATTCAGATCTTTCCATATCAGTCCTTACCATAAAATTAAAATCGTATTTGTTCACAGTATGATGTTTCTTATTTAATGGGGACGTTAACAAAGACCTTTATTTAATCACTGTTTCTTTTTCAAGGAACCGTTAGCAAAACACTGGATCCTGCCAATAATTCAAGGATATTTTGAAGTAGAACGGTGTTCGATTGATATAATGGATGGTTTGCCGTTCCCTGCTCTTAATAAAGAGGAAGATCCAGATTCTTCTAGTGGGGACGAGGAAGATGGCTATATAGAAGTAAAAGATTTCAAGACAGGAGAAAACTTGCTGGAAAATGAATATGATATTTTATTGATATCAAGAAGGAGTAGATATAGAGCTGGTATGAAAGTCTTTCTTACAATTGATTTGCAGATATTTATTTATTTATTTGTCAAATTGTTTGATGGTCGTGTCATCTGTAAGTAAGACCCAATAAAAAAGTAAGCATTCTTAATTTTTTAGGTTTTAGGATTTTTTTAGATTTTTTAGTTCAAATTTGGCAGTTATTGCTCTTATTTCAAAGACGTCATATTTATCTAGTTTTTACCCAACTTTTCCTTTTTCGTGGTCTCTCGCGCTCTGATTTACCTTACGCTCAACTTCTGAGTTTAACAAATAAGCATAGCAACTGAATTTTGATAGAATGCAATTGGTTTTAACGAACTTTAATAGTTTCACAAGTATAGCATTTTTCTATAATTATAAACACCTCCACTGGTTTGGCAAAAGGCAAGATTTAGCAAGATTGGAATCGAAGAAGATTCTTGAAAACATGAAAAATAGTTTGCACCAGATTGAAAATATTTCTTTTTATACCGTTGAAAACTATTTAGTGTTATAATTTTGCAGTCAAGAAAAAAACCCCTTATTCGAGCTTTAGGGGCTGGGCTAAAAACTGTTTAAGAAAGTTTAAACTTCAGTTTCGAATACATGTATAAATAGTTAAAGGGTCCTTATTCAAAGGGGCCTTTATTACTATTTTTCTTCAAAATGGGCGTTCATTCCAAAAGGGGGATGGCACTTCACCAAAGATTAACGGTATCAAAAAACAGCTCTTTTTACTAGTTTATCCTCATTGCTTAAAGAAAATTATAGTCCTTACCATTTGGTTATCTTGAACTCATTATTTATATCTTAAACCCCCCCCCCATTTATCTTCGAAATTCCAAGTGATCACAAATTTTGTAACATCTTGTAGAATTAACTGTTTCTTATACTCTTTTTTGTGATTATTTTGAGTACCCTAGTGACTCGTTACATTTATTGTCGCCCTTCACTTTCTTATGCTGCTATTTATCATATAGTTGATTCATGATCGAGTTTTTTGCAATTTCCCCTGAATATTGCCCTACGGGTTGAAGCTAATTCTCAAAATTTCTCAAAACCATTTGTTCATCAATAGGTACACGCTATAAACGACGTGGCGTAGACGAAGATGGAGACTGTGCAAATTATGTTGAAACAGAACAGGTCAGAAAATTCAATATATAAGGGAAAAAACGCAGGAGCGGCTGTGTGCCGGATTCTGTGAATCTTGCAATGGCAGGACCCACACCACCGGGGGGGGGGGAGAGGCAGGGGTTGTCATACCCCCGAATTATTTTGCGAAGCAAGTAGTTTTAAAGCTCTAATAACAAGGGAAAGACGCCTTGGCCATGGCCCCCTACTTTTGCTTGCCTTGACCCCCACTTTTAAATTTGTGGTGTAGGCCCTGAATGAGTAAAAATATGACACAAGGAGCGGCTGTGTGCCGGATTCTGTGAATCTTGCAATGGCAGGACCCACACCACCGGGGGGGGGGGGGGAGAGGCAGGGGTTGTCATACCCCCCCCCCCACTATTTTGCGAAGCAAGTAGTTTTAAAGCTGTAATAACGAGGGAAAGACGCCTTGGCCATGGCCCCTTCTTTTGCTAGCCTTGACCCCCACTTTTAAATTTGTGGTGTGGGCCCTGAATGAGTAATAATATGACACAAGGAGCGGCTGTATGCCGGATTCTGTGAATCTTGCAATGAGTAGTGATATGATACAAGGAAATAGTCAGGAACAATGCAAAGCGACGACAAGGATCTAGTGTTGTAAAATAGAGCTTCATCCCGACATAGAACGCTTCATGAGAGTTAATATTAGTCTTTATCAAATCTATCTTAAAATTCAATTTTACAACATTGGATCCTCGTCGTCGTCAATTGCCCCAAAAGGTTTTAACGGGCATCTGCAATGCCTGCAAAAAGTCTTGGAACATTAGCAGACTTTTTGTCATTCACAATACCAGTTTCTACTTTCAAAAAGCGTTGGATTATTCTCCATAGGGATGCACTATTCGAACGAAACATGTAATTTAAACCTACGATGGCTGAGGATGTCTGCATATACTTAAGTTTATTTGTTGTTTCACCTTGCCCTTTTTATAACTGTCGGAGGATAGTTAGACCCTGAAGTGATAAGAGTATCTATCATAGAAATTCGATTATAGTGTTCTTAATGTAAATGCGAATTTACTTTGTTGGGTAAAATGTTCTAAGCCCATACGGTTAGGGTGCTCCAAAATGAAAATTACTGTTTACCGGTTTATAGAATAGGACGGTTTTGAGAATAGGAAGAGTTTCAGGCTTAAAGCAATCATTAGGCAACTGTTGCTCTATACACTTAGTGAGCAAAATTATTGCACAGGCAGAAACAGAAATGGCGGCACTGAAGCAAATTTTTTAGCTAACTAAAATTCAAGTGGCCATAGCAAGTGTCATGAAAGTTATAAGATGACTTTTTAGTTGGAATATATTGAAAAATTTATTAATGTTTGATGCTGAAAATAGTAAATGCAAGAATATTCTACTTTAATAATAACAATATACAAAATATACAAAATATCAAAATAATAACAATGTATATTGTTAGGTTACAGCAGATAGACAATCCTTAGATTGAAACCCTGAAAAACCTCCCTATTTCTAGCTGGAAAAGGCCTAGAAAAGTGAAAAATATCGGGAAAAACATTTTTTTTTCTCTGCAAGACCCTTTTGCCTTCTCTTGCACTGATAAATGGGTTTTGCTATTAGAGTGAAGTTACTTTCGTTTTGATATTTCTAAGCCTTTGATTTCGTCAATATTTTTCCTGTCGCACAAATTTTGCTTAAATAGAGTTAATCTGCAGTTTACGACGCTTAAGTACTATTTTGAATTTCTTTGTACGTTTTTAAACGCGCCAATATCGTTATTAGGTTGTATGTGTCATGAATCACTTTGTGTCCTTTGTCCAAGTTCGTGGATCTGTTCCAGTTTTCTGGAGTCAGCCGGGGTACAAATATCGGCCTCCTCCTCGTCTTGACAAAGGTATTTGCTCTAACTTTTTTCAGAATGTGAATTCTGTAACTCAAAGTTTTAATTTGGTTTATAATATCGAAACATTTTTTTGCATTCACATCATTGCCTTTTTACATGAAAATTTCCAGCAGATATGTTATGCCAAGTAGCAAAAGCTCGAGTCCCGACTTGTGTCTGAAATTTGATAAGAAATGTAACTTGCTGTAATTTTATGGTCACCCAACGGTACAGGCTAGTATGATAGTATGATGAAAACTGTTGAATGTATTCCTTTCCTTCATGCTGGGTTAGACTACATATGACTGTCCATACTCACTTTTTAATTCACAGATTTTCTTTTTAACTAGATGGAGCTTTTAGTGCCTATTTTTTCTATCTTTTCTTCAAGATGAAGCCAGTACAAAGAAAGCATTTGTCCAGCATTTTGACCGCGAGCTTGCGAGGTACAAGCGAGAGGTAAATACTAAATCAACAGTTATGTTTAATGATTAATGATAATTAGAATTGATTAAGCCAGAGGAAAATGTATTATTTTGTAGGACAGAGTAGCCGTATCAAGTATTCACTATTTAATTAAATACTATATGGTACAAGGATTTTACTCCTTATATCTGTCCCTTTCTTAATGTAATTGGGTTTTAAAATTTTATTCTATAAAGTTTAGAAGACCCCAGCTGGACATTATTTTTGCTACTAATGACAGGCCTCTCACAACCTCACAACGAAATACTTAAGAAAAAATAATTTCTTAAAGAATTAATTTTATTTTATTTCTCCAATTCTTTGGTGCTTGCGATTGTTTCTCGTGTTAACCTTAAGCTCCTTAGCTCATCTTGCCATGTGACAAGCTTTAATTGTGACACAGCTTCTGTGTGTCTGCAATAACTCCCAACTTACCTCCAAAAAGAATTTCATTAAGTTGACTCTACACAACTGGCGCCCAAGATCGTTGGAAATTGGAATGGACCGAGAGAAGATCCTAGTTGTAAACCCAACTTGAAACCGAATGATTGAGTGCAGCTTTCCTCCGGTAAAACACCGCACTTAAATAAACATAGGCAATCATTTTTGCCAACTCCAGGCTTTGCTTGCCTGTACTTCAAGATAAAGATGGGTTTTTTCCAGGCATAAAATCAAACTGCGTATTGTCTCTAATCACAATCTAATCTAAAAACAACAAAACCCTTTATCTCTAATCACGGACATTTTCCAGAATCTTCACACAGTTTTTCAGTAATTTGATGACTCTGCTCATGTGTTGAGGAATAGCACAGAATACTGTCACATCTAAGGTAGAAGCTCGAAAGCTAACTTACAACTTTAGGTTGCTCAATATCAGTTTCTGAGCATTCCTTCTTCTTGCCAACACTGTCCTGTAATATATGTCAAGCCTGACCTTACGTGCCCAGACCTTAATCTCCAGTTGCTTTGTCATCTTTGTAATCAAACCTGAAGGTCCTCTCACGTTGCCAAGTTTCATGCTCTCATAGACTAAAAATCTTCAACTGGGCCATATGAAGGATGCAACACAAACAGCTTATATGTGTCACTCTCCTCATTCTAGGTATCGTTAAAGTCCTTTTTCCATCTCTTTATACCTGAGTTTCTTACTGCCTCTCTGTTATTTGTCTCTGGCTTAGGCTATCCTTACCCTTTCAGCCGTGTCAAGTATGTCATACCGTTTATCATACAGTTTCTTTACCGCCCAAATCGCGCTATTGTTTTGCTCGGTTTTTCTTTTGTTTATTATCTTGTTTAGCAAATCTTTGACGTGCTACTTCAATTTGATTTCTTCTTCAATGACACTTCCTTTATTTTTTCAATCTGTCATTCTGATTCTTGTAGGGACTCAAACTACTTTTCATCTACGCTACTTTCTTTTCTAACATTTCTCTTTCTCTCCCTCTTTGCTTCCATAGCTGCAGCCTTAGCTCTTGCGTTTTGCTCATTATTCTTCCATAACTACCAGCTATCATTATTCTGTTTTTCAAGCTTCTCTTCGGATGTTTATTAGCACTTGGCATCATAACTTCAAAGTAGTACGTAGTTTCGCTTACTGGCGCATTCCCTACTTTTATGGCCCAAAACAACTTTGCTTTTCGAACTTGTTGTAATTAGGAGACATGTCATGGCATTCCGCTAGTTTTAAAACTCATTTTACTTCCTTATTTCTAATCACACACGGATGAACCCCAGGCCTTTTGTCCAGACCGTGCACATCTTTTGCAACATATGCATTGAAGCCTGCTCTCATAATCGCCCTTTTTCAGAGGTTTTTGAGTAGTCATGGGATCTCAAATGTGCATGCTTCTCCAACTGTTTTTCTTGTTCGTTTTTCATAGTGGTCAGGGGGGATACCAATGGGTATCACGTGATCAGGGGGATACCAATGTGTATCACGTACATAGAATGCCCTTACATTTTCTGGAAAGAAAATATCAATGGTGCAAAAGAAATAAGGGCAAAAGGAAATCTAATCGTATGTTCAGGCCGAAACAAGGCGCTATGATCCTGCAAAGACATATTGTGTAAACTTTGCATCAATCCTCTCAAATGTTCAATGCAGATGCTATGAAAATGCCGCAGCTTCAGAGGGGGTTGGGGTGAGAGGTTAAATCACATATGTATGCTACCCGTCCTGTATTTAGGTATTTATTTCAAGAGCTGTAGCCATAGCAATTTTCTCTCAGAAAAGCGCTTTGCCTTTCAAAGCTCTTGTATTCAAACCAGAAACCTAGAGTATATATGCATGTCTCATAAAAGCTATAAAAAATCAAGCATATTGCCTTGGTTTGAAATCACCTAGTCTTTTTCTGTAATATGGCAGCAAGGAAATTATATAGCATCTTCCCTTCTTATCTCGTGTACTTTTTATCCTCTTTTCAGGTCATAATAAACCTGGTTGAGCAATCTGGGAGGGAGAAGGTATGAAGACTCGATACTTTTAATGAGTAATTTTGGTTTAATTTGATCACTGAGAGCCCATGAATTTTTGCCGAGACACACCGTCATACCTCTTCATTTTGTCTAAAATCTTTCATTTCCAAAAATAGCTACATATTAATTAATCCACGTTTGAATTATCACGTTTTTGTTGTAGATTATTGGTGACGCATTCCTTGAAAATATTCTTCAGTACGACTCGCCGAATCTTACATTCGTCAATTTTGACTTCCACGAGTACTGGTAAGGAATATATTTATTTTTTCGAACCTCTGCTTCCACTTATCTAGCTTGAACTATTTAGTAACTGTTTGCTTATAGATAGCAATCCCTCTAAATTGAATTTTAGCTAAAGCCAGTTCCAGTCGAATGCAATGCAAGAGCTTGTAAACACACCTTCATATGTGAGAGCCTGTTTAAAGAAATCTTATGAAATATTTAAGAATATAATAAGTAGCTTTGTCATTTCCAGGAAACTTTTCATAATAACATTAAAGATAAAACTAAAAGAGATTTTGGAATCAGATAAGATATGGCATATGATTCGATTTTCATTAAAATTCCCATTACTGAAAACCCAATTAAATTACATAAAATACTTTGAGGTGCGGTTTGGATGAAGTTTAAAATGTATTCTTCGTCAAAATAATCTAAGTTTCGTTATTTTAGCCATAAAAATATTAAATACCTGAACTAAACATTTGAAAATCAGATCGAGTTCTGCATTCGTTTTTCTTTTCATTAAACATCCATGATGTACATGTCATTTTCTGTAAAATATAGTAAAAAATGGTTCCAGAAAAGTTTTACTGGACATAGCTGGCAGTTCTATTCAAGCTAGCCATCGTAGAAGTTTTGGAGATTTAAGAAATTTCTGAATTTATAAAAATTTGGAAAATCTTATCACTAGAGATAAGTTTACACATAATTTTTATGTAAAACTTTTTATTTAAAGATCATTTAGTATAAAAATACAGTTGAGACTAAGATAATCAAACCTCAGTTTTAAAAATTTGAAAATTATTTTTAATCATGTATATATTTATCATTAACCTAATAATATTTTGAATAAAAGCTTATGATTATAAATTTGACTGCGATAAATTTTCGCTTGTAGTTCACATGAATAAAATCCTTTATTTTAAAGATAATTTACTTTAAAGTATAAATGAGATGAAATTCTAATTATAGTTGTCCCTGAAACATTCTGAAATTTCATCCAAGCTAATAATCAGACAAATATTGAAAATTAAAATGGAAGAACTTTGAAATTTTTTAGTTATGACTTATATTATTAATTATCTTCATATTTCAAATTCTTTAACATCAACGTTGAATTATTTTCTGTTGTAATTTTATATTTTTACATGGATATAACTTTCGGTAAATGTTTATTTAAAACTTAATTTAATTTTCCATTTAATCTGTCTTCTCAAAAATGTCCCTATTGCAAAATTCTCTTTCTTTTTATTTAATAATCTAGCTACAAGTAAAACATATTTTTCAACGTATTTATCTCAACTTTTCATTATTAGCGCTGGAATGAAATTTCAAAACGTGACAGTATTGCTCGATAGCATTACGGATTGCCTGAAAGAGATGCGATATTGTTGGTAAGTTCGCTTTGTTTCTCGCAAATTATTCACATAAATGTAGTACAAAACATTACTCATATTTTCAAAACTTCAAAATCGCAGCCAAAAAGTTACTCTGATTGATAAAAGTTTATGAAAAATCTTTACATTATATCATTGTGACTCCTCCAATGAATTTTGGTAGTATATTGCCTACTTGAACAGTATGTCTCATTATTCTAAAATTGCTTATTATTCTCAGATAGATGAATGAAATGTTTTAATCTCAGCAATATTACATATAATTTAGATAAAGAGAAATGTGTGCTCAGACCCCCCTAAAGAATTTTTCTGCCTGCGAGCACAAACTGCTTTGCAAAAGGTGCCTGCAAGATTATTTTCAAATGTAATGCGTAGGATATATAATTGTTTAAAATAAGAGACATAAACTAAGGTTTAATGAAGCATTGTACATGAATGGAAAAAATAGTTCTTGTAGGCAAAATGATTTCTGTCTAGAGTTCTATTTGGGAAAGCCAGTAGTTTGTTTGCTCCGGGAAAAATGACAGCAATACAACATTCGGTTACATTTTTTTTTCATGAGTCATTTCTACTGTTCAAAGACCAGTAAATTTTTGCAAAGAATGACAATGGTTTTATCAACAAAAATAGCTTTATAGAGTTTAAACAAACTTTAGCTTACGACAAGAAGGGAAATCTGGCCATTATTCTTTCATTCGTTCCAAAACATTTGAAGCGATTGAGTCCTTAATTTTATTCGAGCAACGAACGAAATGGCAGTCGGTTTTATTGCTTGATATTCAATCACAATTTCCATCTTGCACACTCTACCCAGATTGGTAGTTTGTTTTGAGTTTTTTTACACGGAACCCGTCAATCAATGACCGATTCAAACGATAGCATGCTGCAGCAGCGCAAACAGAATAAATGATCATATCAAGATTTTTGGACATCTTGTTCTTGCTGTTAGGAAAATCTATTCTTCTCTCTTTGCTACATAAATCATTTTCACAAAGCGGTAAAGCCTACTTTTGCAGATGTCTCAAAATTCTCTGAATTTGAACCGAAGTTCATTGCCAGATACATTTGACATACATTTGATTAAAGTTTTTGACAAACGAATATCCTTCCAGGGCTGTAACTGCAACATGGGAAGAATGGCTTTCCTTAACTTTGAGTGCACCTGATTGTAAATCGACTAAAGGCCTTCAAAGTTTCCTTGTTGTCCTCACTGTACACCTTGTGTGATAAATCATCTCTAGGCTTTTTCATAATTTTTGTCAAAAAATGCATGGCTTTCGATACTTATTGTGTCTTCGTGTTCATAACTCGGATTCATTTCACCCTCTCTTTGTCTTGTTGCATTTCATTATCCTCAAGGTTTGATTGGTTTTACTACTGCCACGGTACATGCTACTGGGCTTCAAATTTCTGGTGTGATGGCCTTATTCATCTTTTTTCTGAGTATCTTAATCATTTCATTAAAAGGAAGAACAACATTTGATAATATTCACATGGTGAAACTTGTAGCTGAAATGTTTCTCTAAATTCTTAAACAATTGGAAACTTTGAAGAAGACTGCTTTTTCAGATTTGCCTGCAGACGTAATTTGATCGGCATGGTTTGCCTGCGAGCGCCGCTCACGCGCTCGTGTACTTTAGCAAAGCCTGTGTGTGCTGAATCTAATTTAAGTTTTTTCAAACATTCAACCTCTGATACGACATTTGCAAAAATAGCCGTACCAAATTTTGATATTTTTACGGGGTCGCTCATTTTAGGGGACGTTTTAACGAGGGAGTTTAAGGACTTTTGACAAGAAAAAATATTTTCCTACAGTAGAGCTCAAATAAAAAGAATTGTACTGAAGATTTTCTGTTCACAATAAACAGAATATTGACAGCAAGTGTGTCCTGTACGTTCTGCAAATTCTGGAAATATAGAATGCCCATTTCAGACAATAGTTCGTAAAAGCTACATGTGGTGCTCCTAAAGGGTCCTACCCAGGGCCGCTTCTATTCATCTTATACGTTAATGACCTTCCTTTGTCATTGAAAACTCGTGAATTAAAATGTGCGCTGATGACACCAGCATATCATTTTCCGCAAAATCCATCCATGTAGTTAATGAACTAATCAATCAGGGCCTTGACAGTCTCAAAACGTGGCTTTCTGCGAAAAGGTGTTACTTAATATAACCAAAACTCATTTCCTATTTATTGGTACCGGGCAACAATTGAAAAATTTTCAGCAAACTACCGCAGCGAAGCTATGTCTTGTAACAGGTTGGGAGACCCTGTCAATGACGAAGAAAACCTAATACTATGGAGAATATAGTGATCAAAATTTGAGCTAGGGCATACTGATAACTAATATGATTAAAAAGATCTCAAAGGCGTTAGGGATGCCGCGCTATTCTAAACATCACCTCACAATAAAGTGAGCGCAGACAATTTATTAACGTCTGGAAGCACCGATATTTAGGGGTAAGCGGAATAACGGTTAAAGACAAGCTAAAATAAATACAAAATCGTGCGGCCAAAATCATAACTTATTGCCCTTGAATGCTTCTGCTTTTCCAATTATAGAGCAACTGAGCTGGCAGACAATGAATGATTCGATTATAAAGGAAAAATTGAATACGATATAAAAGTATATAAATTCTGAGGCTATCTTGTACTTTGCATGCCTTCTCGACAGGTTGTCAAAAACCAGTTCTCTGGATCTTTCTACAAAAAGCATGAGGCAAAAGCTGCCTTTCTTATAGAGAGCCTGAATTATGGAATAGCCTTAACGAAAGCATTCAAACAATTTAAATCCTGTCTTTGGAAGTCGGTATAATAGTGGGACGATTATACCATCATGGCGGCCGCAGTATATTTTGCTGTTGTAATATTCATTCTATCCAACATCAGAAAAGAATCCTTTGCAAGTGCAAACTCAGTCTGCTTCTCTTTCTACGGTGAAGAGGCAAAGGATGTGCAAAACTCGAGAATATGTGCTTCTGTATGGGTCCACAAACAAGAAAAGGGAATTCATGTACTCCATAACACACGCACGCATGTGGGACTACAATTGTTACTACTTCTTGCTGGGGATGTCGAGATGTGTCCAGGCCCATGCCAGAAATGCATCACATGTAAAAGGCCGATGAGAAAGAATCAGAGCTCTGATAAGTGCTTCGCGTGTGGCCAAAAGCTCCACCTAAAATGCCTCGTTGATCAAATTGAAAACGGATGCGAGAGGGTTTATTGCCGTTCGTGCTTGGCAGATAAACAAGTCAATCCAGATATTCAAATGACAGAAAATATTTACAACGATATCACAACGTTTTTACAATCAAGAGGACTAAAATTATTCCACCAAAACATAAATGGTCTTGCAAAGAAAATCGAGGACTTAAAATTATTACTTCAAGAAACGAAACACAACATCGATTTTTTTGGCGTTACGGAGACCCACCTGCACAAGGATATTAGGGACGAAGAAAGCAAGATTGAAGGCTATGAATTTCTAAGAAACGATAGAAAAAATGGCTCAGGTGGCGGTGTTGGTTGTTTTATAAGAAATGATCTTGGCTGGCAAAGAAGAGAAGATCTAGAAAATGACAGTTTAGAAGCTATTTGGGTCGAAATCTTTGTGAAAAATTCACGTCCGTTACTGGTATGTGTCATATACAGGCCCCCGGACACTTCAAAGTATCTTGATCGAAATTTTGAAAGTGAATTCAGTGATATGATAAACACCAGTATCTCTGAAAACAAAGAACTAATCCTCATGGGTGATTTGAATGCTGACTATCTGAACACTTCGAAAAACAAGGAAGTAAAGCGAATCATCAAGGGGCATGGGCTCAAACAAATAATAACAAAGCCCACAAGAGTCACCAAAACACAAGCACACTCATAGATATTATTGCAACAACCCACGAACAGAATGTAAGAAAGCATATCACACGCCCTAATTCTCTCAGTGATCACGATCTGGTGGGAGCAGTTATAAAGAAAAATTGTCAAAAGTTTTTATCAAGGACAACATACAAAAGAAATTTTGCGAAGTATGATGAAAATAGTTTCAGAAGAGATCTCCGAAGTCAGCCCTGGGAAAACCTTGAAAAAGAACAAAATGTTGACAAAGCATGGACAATTTTCAAAGGGCTCTTGAAGTCAGTAATAGATAAGCATGCACCCCTAACAATGAAAAAGGTAAAAGGGCGTGATTGTCCATGGCTAACAAAAGAAATTAGATCCAAAATGAATGAGAGAGATTACTGGTTGAAAAAAGCAAGAAAGACAGGAAAAGAAAATGATTGGTCCACATATCGTCGCTTACGAAATGCAGCAACTCGAATCATCAGATACAGCAAGGCAACTTACACAAGATCTGTTTTTCAAGAAAACATTAACAGACCAAAGCAGTTTTGGGAGCAAATTAAAAAATGTTATCCAGCAAAATCCTCAAAAGATCGAAGCAGCAAGGTATTTGAAATAAATGGAGAAATTACTTCTGAAAAGAAAACTATATCAAACGAATTCTGCATGTTTTTCGCGACGATTGGCAGAAAATTGCAAAATACTTTACCAGCAATAGTGAATCAAAGTTTGAAATATCACAAACACTCAACATTGGATCATAGACAAAACCCCAAAAAGGTAACCTTTAATTTCAAAATGACAAACATCAAAGACATCAGAGACATTTTAACGAAACTAAAAAGAAAAAAGGCTGCTGGTTGTGATGATATACCAACAACGTTTATTGTTGATGGGGCAAACGAGATAGCTGGTCCTCTCTCAAATTTGATTAATCGATGTCTTGAAATGGCTATCTTCCCATGTGCTGAAAAATGCTCTAAAATTACACCAGTCTACAAGTCAGGTGAAAAGACGATCATGGATAACTATAGACCAATTTCTATACTCCCTGTTATTTCAAAAGTCTTTGAGCGGGTTGTGCACAATCAGCTCTATGACTATCTTGAGGCTAATAATATGCTTTCGGAGAGACAGTTTGGTTTTCGAAAGCGATCATCTACTCAACATGCAGTTACATTTTTCTCAGATTTTATCAGAACCAATATGGACAGGGGCCTTATGACTGGAGCTGTATTTATTGACCTTCGAAAGGCTTTTGACACAGTGGACCATGAGAGACTCCTATCTAAACTTCTTAATTATGGTATTGAAAACAAGGAGCTTTGCTGGTTCGAGAGCTATCTGTTTGGTAGAACGCAAATTGTATCATATGATGGAGCCTTGTCAGAAAGTCAAGGTATTTCCTGTGGAGTACCGCAGGGATCCATATTGGGTCCATTGCTTTTTACCTTACTAATAAACGATATCGATGAAAATTTAAGCCAATGTGAAATGACCCTCTATGCTGATGATTCTGTTTTGTACGTTGCTGGTAAAAATTGTGATATTATCGAAGAAAAGTTAAACAGTGATCTAAAACAGATTGCTTACTGGCTTCAGCAAAATAATCTCGTTATTAATCTTAAAAAGACCAAGACCGAGTGCGTCCTTTATGGTACACACCAGAGAACTTCGAAATTAAAACCTATGGAGATCAAGATCAATAACACAAAGATCACAGAATCTAAAGAATACGAATATCTAGGAGTAAAGATGGACAAGAACCTGACATTTTCTGATCATTTCGAAAAAAACAATTAAAAAAGCCACATCTAGAGTAAAGTTATTGTCGCGTATACGGCATAATATAAGTCCTTACACAGCGGAAACAATTTACAAAGTAACAATTTTACCAATTCTGCTTTATTGTAACAATGTGTTCCTTCACATGGCACCATCAAAAAATATGGTGTATGAGAACATTCAGAGACGGGCACTGAAAGTAATAAATGGCAACAGGGACAGTGTACAGCTGGAGAAAGTCAGTAGTATACGAAACAAGATGTGTGCTCTTGAAGTTTTTAAAAGTTTGAATAGCGTATCGCCACACGCCTTTCGAAACTACTTCACTAGAGTAAAACACAGGCAGTGTACTCGTGCCAATGCAAAAAATATTGTTTTGCCCAAAGTACAATCAGAAGCAGGCAAGAAGGCCTTTTACTTTCAAGGAGCAAAGATTTTCAATAAACTAACAGACGAAATGAAGTGTGAAACTTCAATTCTAAGATTTAAGACTTTTTGTAAAAATTTTAACTTCGATTTTTAAGATTTCATTTTCATCATGTATATAATTTTTATTTCGGTAATCCATGTATATTTTTAGACAGGTCCTTTATTGATAACAGCACGTTGTTGCTGACCAAAGTTAACCTGTATAAATATGATATTATTATTATTATTATTATTAACATGAAGGAACCATTTCTGTCTGCCAATCGCGAAACGATTTTGAACTAAATTTTTATTTTTTTAATTACTAATTGTATATTTGGATTGTAAACTTTAGGCTTTTTTTGTTCAGGGCTGTTGTGAAAGCAATTCTTGTATTCAATTGACAATTTTACTCTGTTTAAGTAATTGAATAATTAAAAATGAAATGAATATAAACATTTTTTCATTTATAAAAAAATTATTTTGTTTGCCTTTCGTCACATTATCAAGGGGCGCTCATATCAGGGGTAACTCAAAAGCAGGGGGCATTCACTCGAACAGGGCAGTGGCATGCTCCGACAGGACATGAATGGGGAATTAAAGCGTCCCTTCCCTCCACTAGCTTACAGGTCCAGCCTGACCCGACTGGTACCACCTGGCAGGGTTCCCTAGCTCAGGGCTACGAGCGATGGCCAACGGCTAACGCGGCGGGAGTCCGGCAAGGAAGGCAGATGAGCTACGACTCCAGGGGTCAACGGCTTCGAGCGGAAGACCTTCTGGAAAGAGGGATGGTGTCCCTTTAACAACACTGTAGAGGTGGTTCTGGGGGCCCATCTCTACTATGAGCCCCTTAGTTTTATTTATGACCATGACAACAAACCAAAACTCAGATTTTGGGATAGTTGGAGGGTCATGGTAGCCAATCTTCTGATAGAAGATGGTACCTGATAATGATTCACTCGAAGCATAGAGGTTAATACTGTATGTTTGATTGCTTCACTGTTGTTTTGATTCAATGCAGGGTTGATGATGGAGGTATGGTGACTGATCAGCAAAGTGTCTTTCGAGTGAATTGTATGGACTGCCTGGATAGAACGAACGTAATCCAAGCAACAATAGCAAGGGCTGTTCTTGAAAACTTGGTAAGTCAATACAAGAGCTTGAAGTCTTTCTTGAGGATTTGTTAATAACAACAGCTCACAAATTTGACTTTTCTTATTACTTAATGCAGAAAATGATAGCCAAGAATTAATTACAGCCAAAAATTAGCCAAAGATGCTTATGCTGTTTTTCCTGTGAGAATGGTCATATGCTATGTTGTATCAAAAACTACAATGCGTTTTTCTCATGCTAGATTAGGAATTCACCTGTGGCTGCAGAAAGTCTATTCTGGGAACTCTTGCAAGACTAAGGTTTTACGAAAGTTTTGGAGGGAAACGTGATCAATTCCTAGTCATTTGTTAAGCAGCTGGAAATAGTTATCTTCCCTTTTTGTCTTTAATCTTCCAAAAGCAAGGTTTTAGAGTGTGTTCTTGCTTTTTCCTTAATATCGTTTCCTACACGTACACTGGACAACTCTACCATTTTTCGCCCATAGAGCATTTTTTAGAATTAATGTCGAATTTCCTATGCAAAGAGGCGTGACCCTTTGGCCTTATTCTGTGCACCTAAACTTCACACCTACTTGAAATGTTTCCTTGAAATTTTGCCCAAAGCTAGAGTTGTTAATTATGACGACTTTGTTATCTGCTTATAGCTTCGGAAGCTTGGAAGAATGCTTCCAGAACATCTACTACCTCATGTATGCAGGCGGATCCATAATCACATGTGGGCAAACAACGGAGACGCCATTAGTAGGCAATATGCTGGAACTGCTGCGATGAAGGTAATTAATATTGGTTGTATTTTGTAATTACGAAAAAGCTTAATGGTAACAGGTAAGCAAAAGAAATCTCTAGAAACAAATAAGAACCTGCAATTTGGGAACCATGTTGCCTATTCGTCAGATAACTGAGAAAAGGTGATAGAATCTTTATTAAGTACACACGCAGAGAAAAAGTTAGTAGGGGGCCGAATTAACTGCCCGAAGAGAGAAATATACAAACAGAAAGATAAAAATTACAAAAAATTATCATGTTAGAAAGCACACATGATTTTTGCACATTTGTACCAAATCACAGCATTGTATGACTTTCAAGCCCAAGCAAATTCACCCTTAGTATTTTTCTGATTTGTCATATGCTTCCGACCGGTTTCCTGCAATGATTTGAAATTGTTCCGATATAACAAACAGAAAAAGGCAAGGCTTTTCAGTATCATCGATTGAAAGAGTTGCGAAGTTGAATTGAGTTGAATTGACCAGATGTGGTTGATTCAGATAGAGGAGATCAGATTATTGCCTCACTTCTTTGCTCATTACAAGGCCATACTTCTCTTCTATAGAACGGTTTCAAAAATTATTTTCCGTGCTATTTTCATGTTCTGCTTGTGAAATTCATGTTTTTTGCTTCTTGTTGTTCTCTTCTTTGTCATTTTTGAGGCACCACCATTTTGCATCATTTAAAGCTTGCAATTATACTTGTTTTTATAAAAAGCAGTCCTCAGTTCTGCTCTAAGGAATTTCTTTGCTAGGGAGTTTTCTCTCTCAAAGTTTTGGTTTAGCGATTCTTGATTTGCTATTTTCAACACACCATCCTCAATTTGTTGATAGCATAGCAAGACCTCTGTTTGATAATTTTTCGCCACTGCTTTCAATTAAAAAGAGGCTGTTTATGATTTTAAATCACAGTTAGATTGATATACAAAATGAGTAGAGTTTATTTTTGTGAGATTCTGTACGAATTTTGTTTTGTCTTTGTCTTCAGGGTGACTTTACCAGAACAGGTGAAAGAAAATTCACTGGAATGATGAAAGACGGATATAAATCAGCAAATAGGTAAGGCAGGAGAAGAGGAAAGGATGTGAAGCTGTAAATTTGGCTCAAAAAATCTGTTTTTTCTTTTATAAAACAGAGCTTTTGGTATTGCGTAAAATATTTCTAATGCATCAAAGAATCCCAGAGGGTAGCAATACGTTTAATGTTTTCTCATCAAGTGCAGAGACCAAATCATCTGTAGTCAACAATGTGAACTTTATCTTCCTGGCCTTTCAATTGCGCTAGAGGCTAGAGAAAATGGCTTACAGAACTAAGATCAAATAAGGCGTGCTTTCTTATAATACAGATTCTCTATTCAAATCTGCGTTCAAATGTTTCACCTTTTACTCATCATCGTAATTCTTTTCTTTTTCAAGACAATTTTACAATGCTGCATGTAAGATAGCATGAAACTTCATCACGTGTTCTTTCAGGTATTACATGAACAGATTTAGAGACACATACAGACAAGCAGTTATAGGTAAGCACTGTTCGAATTGCATGCTGGTATGTATCTGCTCCACCTTGATTTTTCTGCGTTTGGGTTTGGCCTGAATTATTTTTTACATTTTGGCCGCGCTATCTAAAAGAATAATCAAAGCTAGTAACACAGGTGATAAAAAAGTAAAATCCATAAACAATTCGATGAAATATAGCAAGAAGAGCTCACTCTTTTGTTAAACCAAATCAGAGTAATTTAGCATTGATTTGTAGTTTGTGAACCAAGCAGAAGGAAACGTCATTCTTTATCAAATTGCAAATCTTTCAGGCCCATATCTCAGCCTACATATAATAGATTATCAGAGAAAGGTTATCATCTCTGACACGTAGGGAATGTTGAAAGTTTTAGACGTAAAACCAGCTGAGTCATCATATACCCCGCCGACATCACATTATTGTTTAGCGTTCATTGCAAATATTTCCTACCCGCCAATGATGAAAAATTCATTAAACGCTTAAAATCTTATCTCGCGTGTTGGATGTGATAATGTCTTCTTTCACGTTTGATTGCTATACGTAATCGCAATTACTGTTGTGGATTTGAATATATTATGCATTGGGATGAGCGAAAAGCGAAAGATTACGTTGGCGAATTTCCTGTCACAAAGCTTCGGCTTCAGCTTCCGCTTCGCAAAACACGGTGGTCCACAAGAATCCTATGCTATTTAGCAATGATCTCATCATAGCTGCTTGTTTTAAATGAACTTAGGGGGAAGATTGGCCTTTCAAAATCAGCTGCTCGTGTTTTTTGAATAAAAATATATTTGTAAGGAATTGATTACAGATTGAGGAGATTCGTTAGGACATTCTGCATTTATTTTCAAGAGTAGAATTATCATTAATGGGATAAAAGGTTGAGGCAGAATACTGAAAATTTAGACAAAGTTGTTGTTCTCTTCTATGACTTCATATTATGTAGTTAAAAACTTACTTTGTTGAAGCATCTGTTAGATTATTCTTTCTCAATTTTCAATATGGATTCATTCATTTTTGTTAAATTACTTTTCGAGCTGATTTTGATTTTTCATTTCATTTGTACATTTATTTATTATCTCTTAACCTTGTTCTGGTTGCGGTTTATAGATATGAAAAATGTCACCAAAGACAGAGTAATATAATGCCAATAAAATGTTATTTTAAGAAACCAGTTCAAGGGATGTGTAAATTAGGATTAATAATTAGGGAAAATTATCCAGATGGTATTTCCTGAAATAGTAAAGGATTTTTTTCTAGGGGCTGTGAAATCGGCTCATATTTCTAGGGTCCAAAAGTTTTTTTGAATGTAGCTTGCACTTAATTTCGATATGCGTAAGATATTCTCATTTTGTATAGATTCAGACTTTGGGAAGTGAAGCCTGATAGTGAAACTTATAACCAGTGCCACGACAAAAAGTCATGGTAGTTCGTTTAGCTTGAATCCATTCGACAATTCCTTGTTACGTTTTAGTAGACGAAATTATTACATCGTAAAAATCCGATTTAATTAGACAATACAGAGGTTCCAATTCCGTAATTTTATATACTGAAGATGACTCTAGCTAGAGTCGAAGAATTTGAGAAGCATTCACTGCGCATGGCAAGTTAAGACAGAAGGCCATCACTTGTTCCAACTTTAGTTCATATAACTTGCCAAAGGAAATGAACACCGAGTTAGGGCCAGTTACGCCGTATGCCGGACTCTAGCGAGTTAGGCCGTATGCCGGACTTTAGCGAGTTAGGCCGTATGCCGGACTTTAGCGAGTTAGGCCGTATGCCGGACTCTAGCGACCACGTTCATTGTATAGAGGCTGTGAGCAGGAACATCACAATCGACGCAAAACAGCCTAACATGGTGGTTAGCGATTTTTCTGAAAGTGAACTTACAAATCAAATTATAATTATGATATGTAGTATGCTTGTTAAGAGCTAGCAGCAATTTTTGACAGTGGTATAAATATCAAAGAATCATCCAACTGCATCACTTGTATGTGAACTGTTTGATATGATGCATCAGACACTATATCATTGTCATCTTCAAGAAAAAGAGATGCTGGGGTTTGGACAAGAATCACTCTCTGTTTTTTCAGATATTTTTTAGAGTATCTTCAACGACAGTATTAAAATTAGCCAAAGCTTCGAGTTGAATTAAGACCAGACAGAGGGCTAAAGACAAAGGCACCCGCAAAATATACTGCTCGTAAATTGTATAAAACATTAATTTCCTCAAATCCTCGAATTAGCCCTGGGGGCTCATTTATTTTTGATATTTTTGGATAGGGGCTTATTCGTCAATGTACAGTATTATGGTGTATAGTACAGAGCTTAACGATTGTGTATGTATGAATGTCTATGAATATCGGCGAGACCTAAAAGCTTAAATTCCATTCAAAGAGGCAAAGTCCCGTCTACAGAAAGATTCTTATTTCCTGGATTTTTTTGTTTTTAGGCTAAATGTTTCACAAAAGTTTCTTAATTTCCAAAGGCCAGGTAGGCCTACCATTTTTTGTTAAAAATAGGTACTGTTCTGTATGATTTATTTGTAAATGTGAGTTGTTATATACTTAAAGCTTTATAGTATTCTGACACCAAAAGTAATTTTATTCTGTCATATAGAAATAAATGTCAAGAATATGTTAAGAATTTCAAATATTAAGAAGAAATTATTTTGGACCCATAAACAAGAAATTTCTTTATTCTCCTTTAGCCTTGAATTTTTCTTATAAACAGGAACCTTCCATAAAAAAAATTGAGCCTAAAGGTTTATTGAAAATGGTTTCTTATCGGCGGGACTTAACGGTATTCTATCAGTTTAACAGTAGGAGTGGGTCGTATTGCTTTCATTGCCACAACCAAAGAAGAAAGCTCAGATGCCATGTAACATTTATAAACTGCCAATTCCAAAAAACCTATTTTTCAATATTGTAGCAAACCCGATCTTCATTGAGAACATTTCAGTTTCATTTCATTTTCATTTTGGATTCCGCCCTACAAGTTTAACGTTATTATTCTTTATTATGAAACCAATTGAAGTTGTTTTTTATAGTTTGTTTAAATAAAACTTATTCAGACCAACAGCTAACAATAAATACACAAATATTAATGAAATGCTAACGAGTTGATAAAAAGGAAGAAAAATAATATTATACACGGAAAAGAATGTTTTTTTACAGCATCAAATTGACCCTGCAGAAGTCTTCTTGCAAAACTAGAATACAAATAATTCAGGAAAATGAAAATATATTCATATATATATTATTGTTGTCTAATGCGATGCAAGATATTTCGACAGTATTTTAACTTAATTTAAAGGGGTGGATCGATAGAGCCGATTTGTATCAAAACCAAATTTGTGGTCCAGCCCCACGGTATGCACTGAATTTTTGGTAAATACCTGGCCTAAATAGGGTATTGCAGGTTTGCAAATCGTTTTGGGATTTCTTTGTTATTGTGCATGAAGCCCCGGTAATCTAAGGAAAGATCACAGAGAAATTGAGGTGCAAAAAGATGAAGGTAAAATAAACGGTAGAAGATCTTTTTATCAGGTTTCGTACTTGCAGTGGAGATGAGTTTAGAATCCAATTGTTTTTGCTCTATCAATTTGCTCGAGCCAATGAGACAAGTGCGTCTCGTGGCGCTTCAAAGCATTTAACCAAACCTATTATATGTCATAGTTTTATGATATAAACCAGTTTCATTATCACTCTTCTCTAGCCTTAGTTACGGATTGTGCCGCACGTTTACTCTTCTCATGATCGTCTTTTCTCCAAGTTTTCTTCTTCTTTTGATTTCAGACTGACTTTTCCCATAAGTTCCACGAATGCTCTTATCTCAAAATATACTATGCGATATAAAAACAGCATAATCGATTTTAACTGCCCATGTGCATATGATGCAAATTTGTGAAAGCCAACAGATCTTTGAATAAATGCTGGTTCGTCTCCCTATCAAGTACAGAAAGCTAACCATGCGTATGGAGAAGAGAAGCTTCTGGTGCGTCAAAGGACGACTGTTTTTTATTTCTGGGGTTTTATTCTGTAAAATTTTTTGGAGCTTTTAACTTGTAGAACCACATCTGGCTTAAACTGACAAACTGTAACTGAAATGTGGCTCTTTCATGGTTCATATAGAACTGGCTAAGATGTCTGTTTGAACAAAATAACGCGCATATTGAAAAGGCCGATTGCACTCGGATCGCTATCTGTTTTACATGAACGACAAAAGCGTGAATTTTCATTGCGCGACATTAACATAGCAACGTGTTTGTTGTTATAATGTATGATGAAAATTTGTTGTGGCTTGTTTTGCAGACACCATGCTCGGGAATCCTGTTTCTGAAGACTTTGCTGCCATCGCTGCTATCAGTAAGGCTCCTGGTGAAGAAGATAACTGGACAAGCGATCGAGAAGAATTTCTCGCCCAACTTGTTCTACACAGCCAGAAAACGGTAGTCCCCCCAAACGAAGAGTGCCTTGGGGGATGGGCACTTGTTGATCCATTCACATTGTAAGTTCATTCTGATCATCTTTGCGGCCCCTTTTCGTCCATTTACGATCAAATTTCCCCTGTGTTTTGAAAAAAAATAAGAATTGTACTCGAGCCAACCTGCTTACATCCAATTTTTCTTATTTTCAGTTCAGAAACTGATGACCCTCAGGACGAGGATGTGGTTCTGTTGTTGACCCAAAGGGCCTATTACGTTGGAAGGTGAGCTGATAGATAACCGATTTTTACAATGCAGTTTAATCTAACAGTACAGTTCAAACTGAAGCAATTTATTTGGAGCAACTTTCAACTCAGGTGATACCCATGTATCGACGTTCCATTGTACATCTTTTATTGGGTATCTTTTGCAATCAGAAAGTCATTAGCACACACACGAGTCTCCTCTTTTTACAGTAAGGATATCTCGTGAAAATTTCTTTTACATGATTGATAATGTACATAAAATACAGTATACAGTATATAAAAATGGTGAGAAAGCCATAATAAAGTTTCTCGAATCCGAGGAATAAAAACGACGAATTTCCAAATTAATGGATTCTTCAGTAGGTGTTTTAAAACACGCCCTCGGTCACTTGATAATTCTAACCTGAGCATTATAAAGCCAATTTCTATCTAAGTGCTTGTAACCCAGCAGCCATACTGTCCTTCTTCATATATCTTTTTCATTATCTGCCTATTGATAGGAGTGCCAATTTCTATCATCACCATGCTGATTATATTGTGTCGATTTGCTCTGCTTCTAGATATGACGACCGACTCGAAGCACTAGTTTCGTACGAGCGTATTTCCCTTACAGACTTCGAGAAAATAGAAATTGGTAAGATGAATCTCCATTTTTAATTTAAGTGTCAACAATTCAATTAAAGTACCTTCAAAATTTATTGTCTGACAATTACAAGACTATCTATGATGTCCATGCATTTGTTCATGGTCGTATTCACTTTAACAATTTAACCAAAAACTCTACAAAATTGCTTGGTTTTTGTATGTACCACCTTCTTTCTTCTGTCACAGCCTGTGGTTGAAGATAAAATTTTACAAATATCCAACAATATAGCTTGGTTTTTATATATGTGCCTTCTTTACAGCTCCCACTGTCTGTCATTACAAGTAATCACAAATCAATCAAGTAATCATTCAAAATCACTTGCTTTTATATTTATTGAAGCAATAAATTTAAGTAAAGATGCATGTAAAAAACTTTGATCCTGAAATAAAAGCCTTGAAAATGCCATGCCATATTAATCAGCATTGAATCTTTCATTTTCATCGGAAATCTCCATGTAAAAAGTCACAAAAGCCACAAATCTGCACACCTAAAAAGTTACGGTTAAGATGCTGCTGCGCAGAAGCCCGATGTACACATGCAGTGAGATTGGGCAGTTAGTTATCCATAATTTTCTGTACTGCCAAAAATATTCAAACTATAGAATCTCAAAGTTAATATGATGTAATATCTCAATGATAATTTTTTTATAGTTTGCTACTTTATGTTAGCAATGAAATGATTTTCGATTTCACCACTTCGTTTATCAATACTGCAAATCGTTTTAGGTAGGGACTTCCTTTTAAAACGATTTCTTTTTGCTTCCTCAGAGATATTATTGCCTTGTTTTCTGTCTCGAAATGTTCAGCTATTTGTGTGAAAATTTGCTTCTAAATAACGGGGTTTTTTTGCTTCTTAACCAAGCAATCTTAGCCGAACTTGTAATTCATGTTTCAGTATATTTTAGATATTTAAAATGAAAAATGTCTTGTTTTTGGGCTTTGTCTGTTTCCAGCAGCGTTGGTCGGCCTGTAAGTTGACATTTTACGAGTTTCTCTCATAAATGTTTCGCCTTCATATTACGGTTTTATTGCCATGCTGATGATGTTATTTAGGAACCGAAACGCACTACTTTCGCGGTATGTACGTGTTCATGCGGTTGTACCATCGTTATCATCGGACAACCGGCTACTTCTATACTTTGCGGACTGTGCAGCACCGAACTCTAGATGAAGCAAAAGGTAGGCCATTTTAAATTCTGTTTTTGTTGTTGTTCCAGTTGTTGTAGTAGTAGTTGTTGTTGTTGTTGTTGATATATTGTCCTACTGTTGCTGTTGATCCAGGCTCAATGTCTGAAAGTTAAGCGCTCTTTCATATCAAAGACTTTGATTATATGAAAAAGAGCTGCTCCTTAGAAAGTAGCCACCCTTTTGTTTAGTAACCAAGGCGCTCAGAGACACTGAGCGGCAAATATCCTTGATGAAACTACAGCTGTTGGTTCCGAAATTCTTTTACTTGCTTTATTTCCCCGATGTTTGTCAAATAAACTATATTATGTCTGTAAATCGTTTACTATTCTCGATGTCAGTAACGAGGGATGCTTTATGAGGATCATATCAGCTTGCATGATTCCTCAAACGCCTTATCCTAAATTTCGGATCTAAGAACTGATTTACGAAGTGAGCATAAAACTTGAATCAAATTTCTAAATCTTTTGCCTTTAGCTAATAACACAAATACCTCTGACTAAAAATTTTGTAATTTGACAGAGAAATCACTTATAACATGACTCAACTTTACGCTATGCGTCTTTACGATCCAAAGTTTCTTTTTCAAGGAATTCTTCTATCAATTGGTGAAATATTCTCGTCAGCGTGTGAACCCTACGGATTTAAACTTCGAATTAACGAATGCAACCTAGACAAGTGAGTACGCATTTTATCCTCTTATTATTTCCTCTTCTTGACACTATATCTTTCCTATTCTTTATTTTTTGCTCCTTTTTATTCTAAAATCTCAATCACCAACAGACCAAATCAAACAAACATGAAGGCTTCTATCATAGAAAAGTTTGCATTTGATGTGAAAAGCATGCTAGAAAGCCTTCTTGCCTGGTAATAAAGTACGTCGAAATGATAATTAACAGCCACAGTATAAAGCGAACCGTATTAACTGTTAAATAGACGTTTTTTCTTGCAATCACGGGCTAAAAAACAATTTGAACTATCCTTTGGAAAAATTTTTTGCTGTCACCTGGAGAACTTTCATATGAAAAGAGGTTTATTGAGAAAGGTCTAATTCTATCCCAGTCCTCGAATATGAAATTTTAAAGTTGCCTGGAGTACAACAGCGATTCTGGAATAAAGCCAGCGATTGTTAATGTTTTGTGTAGCCAGAATAATCATGAATCAGTATTATGGCATGTTATGTCATATTCTTTTGGCTGTTGTAAAAACGCTTTGCAAGAAAGTTCATTAAAATAAGACCATTTGTATTATTAGCTTGCAATCGCGAGCTTGCAGCAAATTTGATTTCAATATTGATTAGCTAGGAAGTAGAGGAGATAGAAGTATTTGTAGTTTGTTTAATATATACTCCTCATATGATTTCTGGCGAGCAACGTGCATAAATCCTTCTTCCTCGGATCTATATCGGATTTTATTGTTCTTTTTATTATTATTATTCTTATTTCTACAATACGCTGCGAAATAGTAGCTCATTAACAGCTAGTTAAGGACTACTACAAAATTGAAGCTTTAATATAGATGATAAAATTAATGCTTTAATATATTCATGTTATTTTCTTTTTACGTTTGTACTCTTTAGTATTAAAAAGATTTAATAATATATAAAATTGGCAAAAATATTTATCGATATTCTTTTTGCAGTTATTTAACTCTATGTGATAGTTTCTAGATCATCTAATAAAGTCTTTAGCGAGCAAAACCTCTCCAACTTCCTGTGTTTCAACTATGATATATATGCAGGTCACTGGCAATACATTTCCAGGAATACTGAACAATGTTGTCCAATTATTACGTCAAGCGGAAAAATGACGTCAAGCGGAAAAGTTTTTCTCTGATTTTTATCTTCAACAAAGCATTATCTCCCAAAATATTAGTTTAAATTACTCTACATTTTGAAAGTCATTCGGAACGTTTTTTCCGCTAAATCTTTATGATTAAAGTTCAGATGTAAGTATGGTAATGGTAAAAGGAGAAATGTTAAAAATGCAGCTCGTGTTGGTAGCGTGAAAATCGACAGATATTCTTTGAAACTTTATCAAGGAAATTTTTGTTTACGCTTGAAAAGGGCAGGATTTGTTGTGATAAGGTACTTCAATAGAGCAATACTTCAATGTATATTCCTAAAGAGTTATAGATCGTCTAACTGAGCTGCACTGATTGCAGTCCTTGTGGTCATATAGTAGGATCAGCCTTCGTCATTATGTCTAAATCTAACGAAAGCAAAAACTAGATGATTAAAGGAGCTGAGTTTCCACATGTCTTGTTGCCGTTACGTAGCTCTGTCCTCATCCGCTAGTAAAGGTAGACGAAATCTTCAGAGAGATCCCGAACGCTCAAATAAATAAATAGCCATATTCCGACTCAGTATCGGCCTGTTTTGGACAAAACATGTAAATCCAAAGCAGATCTTCGTGATATGTTTTTGTCGTAGGTAGCGTCAAGTTCGTTTTCAATATCTTGAAGTAAAAATAATCAAAGGCTATTATAACAAATGCCTGCACAAATAAATTGATGTAAATAAAAATTATGATGTTCTTCAAAGTAAAAGTATTATTAACAATGGCTGGAGAAAAACAGCTATTTCTAAAATAAACGAAATTCAAAGCAATATTGCTTTTTGGTTGATGGATGGCTTCTGATCTTATAGTTTTTTTGTCAAACTCGTTCAAAGCGTTAATGACTGACATGTGTTCTTGTTTCGTTGTTTCAGTGATCTTCCGAGTTCCTCTTTATGGTTAGGTTGCAATCTTTTGACACTTGAAACTTGCTTTGTCGTCTAATTAAACAATTTTATACACACTTTGTCGTCAAAGTCAACCAGAATCTTTGTTTTAAAGATCTTCTCGTGTTCTTCTTTGTGATAAACTTAAAATCTTTTTGACACTTTACACGTGTTTTGTCGTCTAAGTAAACAAAAATATTTGTTTTAATTAACTTCCTGTGTTCTTTTTTGTGATAAAGTTAGAATCTTCTTGACATTTTTTCATGCTTTGTCGTCTGAGTTAACAATAATCTTTGTTTTGATGATTTTCCTATGTTCTTCTTTGCGATAAACTTAATATCTTCTTGACGCTGTTGTAATGAATTTCTTCTGTCACTTTTAATGATTAGCTCTGAGTTTTCTTGATACCTTTTACATATTTATTGTTATAGAGTAAAAGAATGATATTGTTAAGTCTGATTTAAGCACCATATGCATGCATCACTTTGTCATGTTCATGTTATGTTCTTTCCTAAAACCCAACAAGAATCTTAAAGCGCGCACTTTATCTCTTGTTTTGCAAGAGCCATTTTCATTGGACGAAATTAAATGCAGTTACGTGTTTACTTTACAGATTTCTGTGTAGAAATTTTTGTCTAATTTTCAGACGTAGAAGCAAAGGACCCTGCAAAGTCATCCAGCTTTCATCAAAGAGACGTCTAAGCAGTTTCAATGACATTTCACTCCCTGATATTGACGCCGAGAAAGGCAGCGAGAAAAGTGGAGAAGTTCGTTCGAAATTCTATGTTGCGAGTGCAGATGCGATGCTGCAGTCATTTGACAGTAGCGAGGCTTCGTCGCTGCCCGAGTATGAGACATGGATTGAGATGGGACCAGAGGGAGAAATTGTGGAACGGCGAAGGTTGGTGCCACTCCCAAAGTCTCATAGTGACAGTGCTTTGAACGAAAAAAACCAACAAGGTGAAAAAAGCTCACGGCTAGATTCCCTTCTTAGTCGTACAAAAAATATTTTCAGTGGTGATAAAGTAAAGAAGTCAGTAGATGCATTGTCCGGTCGGACATTTTCTTCTGGCGAAGAACGCAAACCTTCATGGAGCCCGGGTTCTGAGGAGTGCCAGAGTGGCCAAAGCAGATCGAGCAGCAATAAATTTCGAGCATTTAGCAACAGTAGCATAAAGGCACCTCTCAGAGAATTGCAAGAGAAAATAAAAGTGAAATTTAGCGAACGAGTATCGTCGCAAGACTCCGATCTAGAGGAGCGCTCTTCTTCAACAAGGACCGGGTTCCTTAATGACATCCGCAACCGGTTTGCCATGTCTCCAAAAGTAAAGAAAAAGACAACTACGCCGCTAACCAAAGAAGAAATAGAACGTAGAAAAAAGTGCAAAACATTGATAATAGAGTTATAAGAAACTATAGGATAGATATTTTTAAAAATTTCATTTTTGTCGAACCGTCATTTGAGCTCGGCGAACTGGGTCTTCAGGCTGTGAAGTGGCCCCATAACTTATAGCTGCATTAATATATTGTAAACAAAGAAAGAATTTCATTTAATTAATACATTGAAACAACTAAGAGCACCCCCTTCTAATTTGCGCATCTGAAATCACAGTTGAGAAACCACATCTGGTTATTGTGTGTTTAGTCGAACAGCTCGCTTATTTTTTTCGATTTCAAGCAAATCAGCCTAAGTCGCAAATATGGTTTGAAGAGGAAGAGCAATGAATGTAGACACGGAAATACTCAGAGTTTGCTGATGACTTCAGATCTTATATGTAACATCAACATACTTTTGCCACCGTCAGCCGAAAACGCATCAGTTAACAACGCACGATCTTATTCACTTCTGTATAGAAGCTGCGACTTCCCGTGCACTTTGCATAATCTTTTAGACTGGTGACAATTAATACTGAGATAAAGATGTCTTTCCCTTTGTAGGTTCCCAGTCTCTGATTAAACCATGACTCATCTTCTCTGATCTTTTCACCGTATTAACGTTGCTAAGCAGTTCCCTTCCACTAGTTGCTAATGAGTCTGTCCATTCAAAGTTAAAAAACCTTCTGTACACCAATTCGACCTACGGCCTCATTTTGAAAAATTCTTCAAATTCTTTTGTACAAAATTTTAGTCTACTTGTAAGTTTTTATTATGATATTGCTCACGATATTGATTTTATGACGACATAAAGATAAAAACTTTATAAGGGATTTGACCGTGATTGGCGACTAGGGGGGTAAAGTTTCCCCCGGAACGATTTTTGCGGTCAAATCCCTTACAAGTTTTCAAACTTCATTTCTCGGTTAAATCTAAAACACAAGCTCAAAGAATATGAAAAATGGTATCCCGCCTAAAATTATGACGATAAAACCAAATCTGAGCTTAAAAGAGTCGTATAATTAAGTTTGGACAATTTTCCAAAACGAGTTCGTAAGTCGAATTGGTGTATTCATGTTGGGTAGCAATTCCTTGCGAATTCACTTCTACCATTATGTTATCAATGCCTTACTTCAATCAGCTTGATTTCCAAAGATTCTTTGAGGATCAAGAATTGTTCCTGAGGGAAATTAGAGTAGGAACTTGCTCATGGAAATGTTTAATTTTTACTACGAAGCAGTTTTGTTTTATGGTACTTGTAGTGGCTTTTCACGAGAAATTGAGAATGTAGGCCACAATTTAACTCCCCAGTAGCTATTTTTTCGCAACAGCTGTGTTCCAGTCCATGTTGGAGGAAAAACCTTGTGAAATCACTTATCATCCGCCTAAATTTTTTTACTTTAGTATAATTAATATGAAGCGATTTTCTGGTTCTCTTTTCCCTTCTCATTGAATAAATCACCCATTGACGACGCGGTACTTTTGTGACTTGCAAAACACACTCTTTGACCGAACCCAATTCAGCATAATATTTATTTCGTTGAAACGAAATGTTTCGTGTTGCAAACTAAATCGATCTTTAATTTAAATTGTTTTTACTGTAGCTTTCAGTAAATATGTTTTGTAATTTTTTTTAACTCGAAGACAAGATTTAGTTCATTTGTTTCAAAGACATATTAATCAATATGCTCTTCTCTTAAAACATTCAGGAAGATTTCGGGTTTGTAAGCAAAGAGAGGATTCAGGGTTATACAGGTAGAAGATGGGGTTGTAGATGGAGGGTTGGGGTTTGGACAGTACGAGGAGTGGGAACGTGGTAAAAGGAACTTGTTAATCATCATGTCAAGCAGCCATAGTTTCAAGCTTCGGTTTGAAAAAATTGTTGTTTACTGCTGCTTAAAATTTTCCAGTTCAGAGGATGGAAAAATACAATACAATGAAGGTCTGAACCAAGGACCAAAAGATTTTCTGAATCTTGGAGTCTTATTATCCAAGGGATGAACATTTCTCGCATCTCTTGATCACCTCAAAGAAACTTGACTGAAACGAGACTTGACTCCATAGCTCCTGTTTATGAAGATAGTAGCTGCCCGCAAACGATGAGATTTGAGAATGTAATCGTTGTTTTTCATAAAACGCTGCAGGGAACAACTGATAAAAGTCTCGTATCTCTCTTTTTTTAATTGTAATAATATTCACAATACTACTTTTTTGCTAGTAGCCGGAAGTTGAAAGTATGAAAAACCTTTCTACATTTGCCGATATGCAAATTTTTCTGGAAACATGTAGATTAAGGCCTTAACAACTTTAGCAGTTTATTCAGCATTTTCTTTGTCAACGTCCCTCTTAGAGGTTGAGAACGGGCTATGCTCGAAACGTCGTTAATTATTTTAGAAAAAAATTTTCCTTATACAATTTACTTACATTGATCGTTATTTAAATTCATCATATTGTACCGCACGCATTTTAGAATATTTATGGTCTCTCTTAGAGTGTCTAGTTTCAGCAATGTCTAGACTAGACGAGAAACTGTGATTTTAGTATGGCACTAGAACTATAGTTTTATAAAAAGGTTTGCATCTAATCTCGATCTATGCCTCCATCAATTTCATCGTTTTAGATGACTTACAAAATTTCAAGTGCCTCAGTTGAAAATGCACTTGTCAAGGGAATCCTAAATCCTAACTATTCCCTGTTCTATTGAAAGTTAAAACCATTTAGTTTCAATAGTTTTACAGCAATCTATATTTATATTGGAGGCAATTTTGAATTTGAAAGCAATTGGTGTGATATTGAATGGAAAGAATAAACGACTGGGATGAATATTGCTATACACAGCTGCTAAATACCTTGTTTTATTATTTTCTGGTTACATGTCTTTATTTTGTTATTTAGGGCTGATACCAATTTGCCCTTACTTTTTTAGATTTCTGACGTATATGTGAAATTCATTAAGGCCACTCTCTTATTAAGTCCCTTGAATTTTCTCGTAAACTTCTGCCAAGGCAACCTGTTTACTATTGAATCGCATCAGTTTTGATCCTTGTTAGATTAAACGAGAAATGTGATAACCAAAGGGTTTAACTCAAACTTCAAAGGCTGAAAGCAACAGCTTGCTTCTATTGTGCTTTGAATGGCCAAAAAGTTAAGCAATGTGTAATTGATTTTACCGATACCTGTTAAAAAGGTTACCAAGGTATTATTAAATATGAAAATTCCATTAATTTAGTTGAAAAATGAGGGTAAAAGCTATATAGAATATTTGTGTTATGAATAATAGCCGTTGTTATAGTTGTTAAAACTCTCTTTGAAGTATCCAAAAGTTATTCGAGGAGATACAGTGTAGAACTTTAGTCCCCAAAGAATTATGGGAAAAATTGCTTCGAGGGAACGGATTTCTTGAAAATGAACCCTTTTGAGCAGTAAGCTCTTGTTTTGTCACAAACAACCTGGTACCTAATGCGTATCAAACGAGAATAGAGGATACTTAAACTGCAACTTAAGCAAATTGATAAAATATTAGGCCCGCAAACTAATTCTTCAAAGTCTGAAAGATTCTTCTTCCTTGATAATGATATAGCACCAATGATAATGATTATAATGATGATTCCCTTTTCACTTCTTATATTAAATGTTAGATATTCTTGTAATCAATCTATTTGACATTTCATCATGCACCTTTTTTAATTCGGCATTCATGTACACGGGACAACCACATATCCTATATCATAACATGAAGGCACGGTGAAGTTTTCAAACACGCATTAACAACGACCTCTTTATATAAGCATACCCTCTTGGCATTAAATATCCTATTGATTTTTAATTGGCTTTTCTTAAAATATAACCCTAAATTCTTTTTAAGCCAATCAACATGACAATGATTGTCCTTATGCAACTAAAGACATCCCGCCCAATGCACACAGCACCAAAATGTCATTGTGAGCAGCCAGCAGGATTCCGATGAGGTATCTGCTAAGTGGAGTAACGGTTCAAAAGGGAATCAAATCAAATGAGAATACCTCGGCAAAAAATGGAAAGAAACAGCTTGATGTTTATTTTACATCAAAGAATGCACCATGCCAGGGCGTTATTGAAACGACATTATAACAAGATTTTACCTGCCATAAAACACGAGTATCGTTATAAAATGCTTCCATTTTCATCTTCATAAGTAGTGTCGTGTATGAAGATTCTTGACATCAATGAGAAATCTTTCCGTGGTTATTAAGAAAAGAAGGCGTATAGAACATTTGTTACAGTGTAAGTGCTTTTGATCATTTCTGTTTAAAATAACTGTTTGAGGCAGAGAAGGCAAGTCCTTGAAGATTTTCACTGTTTTTGCCATTTATTAAGAGAATTTTTTTACTGTCTCTCCTAAACATAAAGTACAAAGTTAAACTTAGACAACAGTGTCATTTTGAATCGTCAATGACAGGTTTGCTAGGTAGCTTTGACAATATTTTTTGAAAAATTAACTTTATTTTCACCAAGTCTTGAGATTGAAGGTTGAAAGGCGGTCCTGACTAGACGCCATCTGCCATGTTCACTATGGAATGCTCTGCGTCATAGTAGCATATCATTATAAATAGATTTCATCCTCTACAAGAACTTTGGATTTAGATTTTCAAAAGCCACAATCATGGATAGCTTAGCAGACTCGCACCCCATTTCTTTTGTCGGAAAACTTTTGATATCTCCAAGTGAACAGTTGAATTTATCAGCGTTTGTCTTTTTCGGTCGAAGTAGTCTATTGTATGATTTATCCCAGATGAAAATGCTGGCTTGAAAACTTGAATATTGCACAAATCTAATATCTTTTCACTGATACCCGAATCCTTTGAGAACTTAGTACCTGAGTTGACGAGTAAAATATTCTTATCAACATGACTAAGAGCGGTTGTCGCTCATTTTGCAGTTGCTATAGAACATACTAGGACATGAAAAGCAAAATGGTTCAAATTAATTCAACTCTGGAGTTTGATAACGAGACTGCGAGGTTGCTGAATAAACAAGGCTTTGACGACTATGAAAAAGGCCTAATAACCTTTTCCCTCATCCTCCTGGTTTTGGCCGTATTATTTGGAAATAGCCTTGTCATTGGAATATTTTGCAAATACAGACCAATACGTACAGTTACAAACTATTTCATAGTTTCCCTGGCAACTGCAGACATCCTAGTCGGACTTCTGTCGATTCCTATCTGGATAACGTATATTCATTATGACCTCTTTGCAGATGCACATGGAATGGAGGTTTGTATATTTTGGTTTTTTTTAAAAGAATCTTTATCTTTAGTGAAAAATGCTGCTAACTTTTCTTTCTGATGCTAGAAATCGAGAAACAAAAACTAGAACAGACACAGGTTGGAAAGTGAGGAGAGGAAGGATGGTTTGCCAAGAACAATTTTAAGACTCATTACAATAGATCTCGCACAAATTTAATTTCTTGTTAAAATATACGCGAAGCCGTCGTCGGAAACTGTTAGAGAAATATGTCAAAAGGCTGGAAAATTTAGAATATTTCTGCTTAATTCTTAACATTTATTTTCTGCATTTTATGCAGTAGAATCTTAGAAATCTATTGATCTTGCTTGCTATTAATTGAGACCTCGTAGTACATAATATATATTTATTTAATAGTTTTATTTAATCATTTTGTACCTGATATTCTTTTTTCAATTCAGGTTTATCGATTCTGGGTGTACATTGATATCCTGACTGGTGTAGCATCTGTGTTAAACTTGACCCTAGTCAGCATCGATCGATACGTGCGTATCACAATGGGCCTACAGTATTATTCTCTCTTTACGTCTTGGCGTGTCAAGTGCATGGTTGTTTGTAGCTGGATGTATGCAACGAGCATGGCTTTAATCAAAGCTGTTTTCTTTGAGTGGGAAAGGCCTAACTATGAAATCTTCATTTTCACCATGGGTTTTGGCCTACCGCTTTTTATTATGGGGATTTGTCACTTCAGAATATTCAAAGCAGCTCATTCTCAAGCAAAGAAAGTAAGGAGGCAAAGTATTGTGTCCATGGATGACCAGAGACACGAACTGAAAGCTATTGTTGTTCTTGTTATCGTTTTAGTATTCGTAATATCCTGGTCACCATTTTTTCTAGTTAATCTTTCATATGGCCTTTGTCAAACTTGCAAGATACCTGGTGGTCTGATCACAATTTCAAAATGGCTACACTATTCTAACTCAGTCTTCAACCCAATAATTTACGCTATGATGAACAGGGAGTTCCGTTCGGCTTTTTGTGCATTACTGTCGAGAAGAGCGTACCAGATTCGAGCACACAAATCAAGCATCGCTTATGACCCATATCTAACGCCTGGCTCCGGGTCGAAGGCAGTCGTCATTTCTCTCGCTTCTTTGCCAACAGAGCAAACCATTTCCCAACAAGGCCAGGACAGCCTGACGGAAATCCCAGAAACCTGCGTCTAGACACTTTGTTTGAGGGAGCAGCTCAACGACATTTTGGTCTTATTATTTTTAACTTTGTTGTAAATTATAAAGAAATGAGGTAATACTCCAATGCTTGAATTTTTGTTTTTTTCATTAACCTATATGTTAATTTGCTTTTGAAAACTTAAAAGCAACGAACAGAATAACAGCAACGAGAGAAATCAGCATTGTAATCATATAAAAAATTTCCGACATCTGCAATTTGTGATTTAATGTGCATCATTTTAAATGCTTTTTCGTGAGGTGTCCAATTATGTATAGCTTGGATTATTTTGATCTGACCCAATAAGAACGATTGTCAGGTGCAAATTTTGCAACAAACTTTCCGTTCAGCGCCCATCGAATATCAAAATGAACACCCTCTTATTTTGAACAAGAATCTTTTAAATGCCAAAATAACAAGGTCTTTCAAAATTTATCACAAAATGGAACTGTACAATTTTGACCCAACTAAGAAGTGAGACACATAGGAAGTCAAGCCCAGTATTCACAAGAATCCTTGGAAACTGCAAGAAAACAGAAACAGACTAAACAAGTCGTGGATAAAAGTCGTGCCCGCCAATAGAGTATCATTTTCTAGATTATACCTTTTTTCGATACAGATGTGCCTATTGAAGATGCTTTTACCATTACAGGGCAAATTTTTCAAGAAAATCATAGTGTTGTATTAACCAAAATGAATTCAAAAAAGTGTTGTCAGTAAAATTATGTGTAGGCACTCTATTAGTTTCCTTATCTTATTTAAAGATAGGCATCATGTTTTCAAAAGTTTATTCCAGGACAGAATTATAACTTTTTTTCTGCCAGGGACATCTCCATCATTGCTCAATTTGCTGTTGAGCCAAACTCGCTTGAATCGAGTGTTAGGGCCGAGACAGCGCGGAGGGCTAAGGGGCTTGAGCCCCCGCCCCACAAAGTTGTAACGATATACTAAGTTCCAAAGGGAAATTTGAGAACCTTTATGCTCTATATAATGGTGAAAATCGAAGACTACCCGTCCTAAATTTCGAAATCTATCACGGCCTTTGATCAAGTGAATATGGTGGAAAAAAGAGGTTTGGAATTAACTTGCTTTGCTGACGTAAGGAATTCTTCTGTTGCCTCGTTTGGGATTCGCGGTTCTAAGCATGCTAGTTTTTTACACACTAACCCACAGCAAATGAGGCGAGATAAGAAGGAAATATAATGCCTTGTCATCAGAACTTCAGCTTTGGCACTATTGGGCTCCTTTGGCTTGGCTCATGGCTTGCTGTAACGAAGGTACTTACTGTTTTCCATGTACTTTTGCCCTTTTGTGTTAGCTGTTTTATCAAGTTTTGAAAACGTGCGTTGTATTATGCATATTATGTAGAGAATGTAAAACAAGAAAATTCCACGTTTGTACCGAAAACCAATTGATAATGTCCATGATATTTTATAGGTATATAAGGAATTTAGGTAATACTAAGTAATAACAGTCTAGGTCGGAAAGTTTGAAGCTGGAAAAACCACCTGGCTCCATGCACAACAGGGCCTACGCCACGAATTCTAAAGTGGGGGGAGACAAGGCACCAAAAGTTGGGGGCCAAGGCTTTCTCTTCTTTTACTGTAGCTATAAAACTACTTGCTTCGCAAAAAGCTGGGTGGCAATGGCCCCCTCGGCTTCCCCGATGGCGTGGGCCCTGCACCAGGGGCGTAGCTAGAAGGGGTCTGGTTTGTTGTAGGGGTTGTGGTACCCCCAAGGTTTTTCACGAGTTAGTAGGTAAATCTTCAGTTGTTCCACGAAATCCTTAGTTTGATGTTGGTAAATTAGTCTGTCGGTAGGTGAAATACCCAAGGGGTTCATTTGAACTTTTTTATACAGAGGGGGCCCATCTGATAATTGTGGGTAAAATTTTTCCTCGTGATCTGATATTTCTGGGTGCCTGATTTAAAAAGATATCTTTCTGATACTTACTTATGGGTTCAACTAACACATAACAGGTGTGTTTCAACTGAGTATTATAGAGAACAGTCCAAATTTCTATGACTATGTGCTCAACAACAAGATTTTTTATTTTGATATTTTTGGACCCCATCAGCACTTTAGAGCTGATAATTTTGGGTCCGTTAGACCTGTTTTTGATACCTTTAGGTCCCTTTTGATAATGGTGGATGGACCTCCTATGTGTAAAATGTTTCAGTAAAATTACACCAAAAATTTGTTTAATCACTATGTCTGAAAGTTAAAGCTACGCCACTGGTCATGTATTCTGCTCTTTTTGGCATTGGCATAATGCCAAAATCATGCAAGGATTGGTCAAATAGATATTAAACTTTCCAGCCTAGATTTTATTTATCTATGTCTCTATTAAATTACATACTCCCTTCACAATTTCCCCTTACATGTTCACTACTACCAGAGCTGGACTAAGCTTGCACAAGATCACTGACTGAAGATGCACTTCAGGGTTCATGTTCAGGGTTCAGGGGCTTGCATTAAAAGTGAAAAGATTATTCAAAGTCAATATGACTGTCATTCAACCTATGCATAAGTTTGGTATAATTGTTTAAACTTTCTTATCAGCCTTTGAAACTAAACAGTTCTCTCCTCCTTATCTTGAGCTGTGTCATTTATCTTAATAGGACATTTTCATCATTGTCAGTTTTTAAAAAACTTTATCTTTGGGGCCTTTGGTATCAAGGTCCCAATATGCAGAAAATTCAGCTTGCTTAATCCAGTCCTGGATATTATTGACATAATATTGTAAATACACTTTAGTCATCTTCATATTTCTGTAATTACACAAATTTTTTTCTTACCCGTCTATCCTTATTAAAGCTTAGAAGACAAGGAACCTAATCCCAGCTAATTATTTACACAATTGACACCAGCTTTTAACATAATAAAGCAAACAGCCAACACCATTTGCAAAAGTGTCAGTAAAGAGGGTTAGCTAGCTTGTAGATCTCTTCCAAGGTACAAGGCTTTTATTTCTAAGTTCTAGGATTGGCTTTTAACCTGAGTAAGTTGTCTGAGTTAAGTCTGTTGCCCACTACAGGACCAAAGAAATAATTTCTCAACTTGGAAGGTCTTAATTATGATAATGTGGAGAAAAAAGTAGGAACAGGCACAAACCCTTTTCTTTATGATTTTAAAGAGACTAATTAATTTTTTTTTACTTTTTGGTTTAAATCTCACTGTTTTATTTAAAACTACTGCTAAATTTTTATTTGAAAACTGACAGGTTACCCGGCAGAAAGGAACCCAGTTTGAATCGGCCTCTGAAAAAAACCCAACATAGCAAACTTGTTCAGGTTGGAATGATAAACAAAGCTGTTTGACCCCATTGTGTCATGTGGGTCAAGTTTTAATCTCATGGAAATATTCCCTGATGGTGAATTCTGATTTCTTAACTGGGAGAAGGGACATAGGGATTCTAGTCAAATAAAAAAAATCAATTTTTGAATTCATGGAAACCTCCAAGTCAACCAATTCACATTGAGCAATTGGTCAACAATGTCACTGTAATTTGAAAGCTGCTCCCTCCATAATATAAATATTGGAATGCTAGTAGGGGTCCTTTATAATTTTGCAATGAGACACAGACTTGGCCTAGATTTGTGTGTGGTTAACAGTAAATGGCATCCATGCGATAATGGACATTGAAGAAATTATCACAGTCAATAAAATATCTGAGCAAAAATGTTGAAGTGAATATTGGACCAACTTTAACTGTGATGATGCTGATTTGATTTGCTTCTTAATAAATTTTCCATTCTTATTGTGAAATGTTTGCTTGTGGTTCTCTAAGCCATTTTGCTTCAGATGCAAAGTGAGCTTCATTGAATATTGGTTTTTCAAAAATGAAGACTCCCCAAAAGTTTTGGGACAATTGTTTACAAAATATCCAGTTGCTTAAGAATTGTTTGAAATCTTGTCCCTATTTTGACAACCCTAGAGTCCCCCTTTGAAAGTCTCCCTTGGAATTTCCTTTAATGCCTTATCTTTCAGATCAGATTTTGCTGATCCCCTGTCAGTCTAACACAATTTTCTTTCTCCTATGCCATATTTTCCTGCTAAACCCCATATTAACAAAAACTTGCCAGGCTTGTTACATAGAATTGTGTTTAGTGCTATCCAACCTTATACCAAGCCTAACAGATTAATAAATGAAAGCAACTTGAGCTTACCACAACTACGTTAACCCTTCACCAAATACACATTTTATATCCCCATTGTTTTGCCATAATTGTTAGTCACTAGCTATTGGAATATTAAAGAGAAGACTCACATAAATTCTCACAAAGTTTAAATTTTGTTTTGCTTTCCTGCAACTTATCAAGAAGGCCATTGGTAGATTCCTCCTCTCGCTTTGTTCCTTTTCTTGGCATGGAAAACTTCTCAGCAGTGTGGAAATTGCCATTTTGGTAGAATTTTCTTGTGAGAAGTGCTCTAAATGCTGAGCGATATTCTTGATTAAAGCAAGCATAGATAATGGGATTGAGCGCTGAATTGGTGTAGTGCAGCCACTTCGAAACAGTGATCAAAACTCTAGGTATTTTCCAATTTGGGCAGAGACCGTAGATCAGGTTAAGGGCAAAGAACGGACACCAACAGATGAAAAAAGCCAAAATAACAGCAGCAATGGTTTTTGCAGCCTTGAATTGCTTGTTACGATCTCTACTGCGTGCGGTATCCATGTTGCTCAATGCCTTTTCGTGGATTCTTGCTTCACCAAAAATCTTGTAGTAGCACCATCCCATCACTAGTAGTGGCAGGATGAAACCAAGAATGAAGACGAGAATCTCGTAATTTGGCTTCTCCCAGTTGAAAGCTATTCCTTTTATCATTGCCAAGCCAATAGCGTATAGCCATATGCAGAAAATGATAACTTTTGCTCTTGACGATGTCATGATTCCATAGTAGTGCAATGGCATGACGATGTGAATGTATCGGTCGACGCTGACAAAGGACAAATTGAGGACAGAAGCAACACCTGATGTAATGTCGATGCAAATCCACAACCGATAAATCTGAAAAAAAATTATGTAGAGTATATTAGTGATTTTGAATTTATCAATTATTTGGCAAAAGTAGTTGTTTCAATATAAAAGAACAAACTAGCTTGACATCTTTAAGTAGGGACGAAATGAAACTGGCATGGGTAGGAGATACTATGTTTCAAAGGCTCATCACGAAAATAAACGACGAGCACCTTGCGAATTATCAAATACCTCATCTACCTGATTTCAGGTTGTTTCTAATCTATTTTTATACTTATGGGCATCAAAAATACATCAAAAGTAGGGAGTGAAATAAAAAATAGCACTTGGATACACATTTTTTAAACGCCACCCCAATACACAGCCGAAGATCGCTTGAAAATCGGAATAACATTCTTTCAACATAGCTGATATCTTTGCAATTTGATTTGTTAGTCCTAGAAAGCTCGCTTGCTGCTGAATGGCAAAACAAAGAGAAGGTTAAGTTGCAAATTAAAGCATACCCCTTCGCCGTATTGGAACTGAGCCAAATCAACTTGCAGGTAAGCAATCCAAATTGGTATTGAGAGCACAGCAACGAGAAGATCAGCATTTGCAAGGGAAACGATAAAATAATTTGTAACTGTCCGTAGTGGCGTGTACTGGTAGAAGATTCCAAGAACCAAACCGTTTCCAAACATAGTAATGATCATAAGAATCACCATAGCTGCTGTCATAGAGATAGTCTGTGTGAGAGACACCCTGCCAGCGCGAGGGTCCGTACTGAGGGTTGCATTGCTTGTGCTGTTAAGTATTTCTAGAACATATGATGTTCCTGTGTACATTGGGTCGCTGGTCGCCCAAATGTGTGTTTCATTCATTGCTTTTACTTGTTCCTAGAGAAGAATAAATGCCTTAGATCCAAATTACAGTGGCTGCTTCATATCGTGTAGCAGCAAAGCAACTAATCTAACCTATGTAAACACCTGACCACTACAAGCAAGTTAAAGTTACCAAAAGGCAAGACTTTTGAAAGATTTGCCTCATATCTGTTCAAGAGAGATCTTGGTGATAATTTGCATCGGAAACTGTTTTGCTTTGTTCAGAGGAAATATTAATTCTTCACGTTAAGTTATACAGCAAATTCGTAATTACAATCTCTTTGTACAGTGTTTGCCGCCTTGCCTGAATCTCATCAAACCTCTTGCATGCAGACTCGCTCGATAAAAAATCATAGCTCTGGATCTTTAATCACAGAACTTCACGGCTGTATTTAAGTGTTTGCCTTGAGCATCAGTTATAGCCTGCTTTTTGTCGCTATTTAAGTGTTGGTTAGAAGATATTGTTTTTTGAATTTAATCAAGCTCATACAGATATCCGACCATTGATGAATAATTTACGACATTTGCTTGAACGGCATGGATGGATTAGAGCGACAAGGATTGGGGGGAAACTGACAATTTGCTTGTCAGTTTCATATGAATAGCAGAGCTAGAGGATGTTTCCAAGTTTGATATTTATTCAACAAATAAAAGCTGGAAGCTCGACACCAGTTAAACTTCTTTTGTTGTAGATATCTGCAACCTCGAGCAGTTTTTTGTTGTTCAAATTTGTTCTCAAGATTTTAGTTGGTGCAACTTGAGCTTTCCAAAACTACGTTAACACCAAATACACATTTTATATCCCCATTGTTTCGCCATAATTGTTAGTCACTAGCTATTGGAATATTAAAGAGAAGACTCACATAAATTCTCAAAAAGTTTAAATTTTGTTTTGCTTTCCTGCAACTTATCAAGCAAGGGGCAAATCACTCTAAGAAAATCTCGTACACCATTTTTGAAAATCCTATTGTTTTGTCTGAAAGTCTCCAAAAATCCTTTTGTTTTAGGAAAAATCTCGTACGCTATTTGCAAGAGTGAATCGCCCCTCGTTATCAAGAAGGCCATTGGTACACTCGAGACACTCGAGAGCTCATTTTGCTCACTTGCTGTTACTAGGCAGTGCATGTCTTTGCCTTTATACATTTAAATTAATTTGCATCTATTTTCAAATGAATAAAAATTACTCTTTCCTAGGCAACTCGTATCATGAAAGTGTAACACCATAACCAAGCGAATCATGAAGCTCGAAATTAAGGTACCTTGAATCGCTTTCAATTCAAAATCAACGCCATATTGAAGACATTTGGTGATAACAGAGCATTTTTCTATCTTTCAAAGGAGGTTCCTGCCAATGTTTCCTTGTTGTTCATATATCTAAAGAAGCTATTTCTTGTGACAGTGAATGCTGGAGATCATTGCTTTAACTTTCTGTTAAAGCATATCTTAGCAATGTATTGTAGCATGAACAACATTTTGAAAATAGATAAAATGTTGGTTATGTTGAATTTCAAACCTTTTTAAAACAGATTCGCATCAAAACTAAAATTAATAGGAGTCTTTTACAATTTAGATTCTGGTTAGCTCTAGAGCTTTCAAAGCAAAAGTACCGTATTTCCTTTAAAGGTGAACTGACACGCAAAACTATTTTTTGATATAATGCAGAAAACGATGCATGGAATCTTAATTTCAAGTTTTCGGTTAAGTATTATTGTCTGTTTTGACGCAATTCCGCTCTAAATGTCATGAAATTATCGTTGAGTGTTCGACCATTGTCGGCATTTCATGTGACCCAGTGTGTGTGACGTCACAAACACCATGTTTTGATTCCTTGAATGTAAATCACGCATGGACTGGACAGTTCAGTTCATCTTGTTCAGTTACAATTCGAGGAGATATACGTAGCCTTTGATCCAAGATACATGAAAATTCGAGGCTAATGAAATGTACGAAGGATATGTGCTGGCTGGTACTGCGTTATATTAGGAGGGAATTTATGTTTGTAAGGAATAGGCACTTTTAGCTGCTCGATAAAAATTCTCAATTCTGAAGTCAATCATGCGGACGAATGTAAGAATCTTTTCATTTTATCATGAATCTAGCTTCTTTTTCGAATAAATTCAATATATCATTACTTCGATATGCATCCATATTAATCATGAACGTTATTTTTTTATGGGTTTGCAAACTCATCGGTGAGTTACAGGAGGGCAGCGGCCTGGGAGTTGAAAATTTTACTAAGTTGTTATCCTGCAAATAGCGAAGCGATCGTACCAGGTGCTTAACCCCTGAAAATCTTTCATGTGATTGAATAAAAAAAACCGAAAATGAGTGACTTTAATTCAAAATCTTTACTGCGTATATTGAAGTTAACGTTTCAACGCGTTTTAGGCCCTTCCTCCGTCTTGCAGGACCCAGTGTGTGGCGGGCCAACATATCGAATAATGGTAGCGATAAAAATATTGGCAGGATTTTTTATTTTCTGGAAACCTAAGTAAAATACTTATATTTTGTTAAATACGGCTGCTGTTTGACTTATTTATCAGGGCTTCCCCCCTCCCCCCCAAAAGTTAATCTCGGTCTTTGATCCTGGTTAACTTCAATATACGCAGTAAAGATTTCGAATTAAAGTCACTCATTTTCGGCATATTTTTTATTCAATCACATGAAAGATTTTCAGGGGTTAAGCACCTGGTACGATCGCTTCGCTATTTGCAGGATAACAACTTAGTAAAATGTTCAACTCCCAGGCCGCTGCCCTCCTGTAACTCACCGATGAGTTTGCAAACCCATAAAAAAATAACGTTCATGATTAATATGGATGCATATCGAAGTAATGATATATTGAATTTATTCGAAAAAGAAGCTAGATTCATGATAAAATGAAAAGATTCTTACATTCGTCCGCATGATTGACTTCAGAATTGAGAATTTTTATCGAGCAGCTAAAAGTGCCTATTCCTTCCAAACTTAAATTCCCTCCTAACATAACGCAGTACCAGCCAGCACATATCCTTCGTACATTTCATTAGCCTCGAATTTTCATGTATCTTGGATCAAAGGCTACGTATATCTCCTCGAATAGTAACTGAACAAGATGAACTGAACTGTCCAGTCCATGCGTGATTTCCATTCAAGGAAACAAAACATGGTGTTTGTGACGTCACACGCACTGGGTCACATGAAATGCCGAAAATGGTCGAGCACTCGACGATAATTTCATGACATTTAGAGCGGAATTGCATCAAAACGGACAATAATAATTAACCGAAAACTTGAAATTAAGATTTCATGCATCGTTTTCTGCATTATATCAAAAAATAGTTTTGCGTGTCAGTTCATCTTTAAGCGGAGCAGCGCTTCCAGTAGCGCTCATTGTTTTCTGCGTTATAAATATGCAGCGAAATACATAAATGAAAGTTTCGCTTAAGAAACACCCATGGTAAAAATAATCCAATTGACGAGAAGCTGGGGTGTCTCAGACTGACTCGATGCGAGAAAAACGTTTCTAGAAGTTCTTGGTCGATATTCAAACAGACACGCAACAGATTCACAAGTGTCTGAAATCATCAAAGTGTATCTGTATGAATTTTGTCTATAGAGAGCGGGGAAAACAGAAAAATGCTAACGCACTGGAAGAACTTGCTTTTGAAACTCTGCCTGCTTTTTCACTCTATTTTTATATAAGAACAATTTTATAAGAATACTAGCTTCAAAATTTGTCAAAGTGAGAACAATTTCAGAACGATCTGAGGGTAAAATGCAATTTTGAAGAACGTTTTATCTCAAAAACAAGGATTTTTAGCCATGTTTGGATGCTTTTTAGGTGAATATTCAAATTTGTCAGCAAATTAAGGTCGTCTCACTCATTTTGTTGGCAAATGAGGTCTGAATACCTTCCTGGAGCGAAAGAGCTAGCACTCGCACTGCTTACATCCTATTAGATTAAGAAAAAATCTGGAACAACAGTCAGACTGAACTTAAATTTACTGGTTCTTATAAAAAAGACAATCTCAATACAATTTAATTCTCACAGATCACTGTGAAAATAAAGCTGCCGCCATTAAGGTTTTCTGAGTAAATGTAGATGAGTAAATGGTTGAGAAAATTTTAATAGAGATTACCGTGCCTACCAATATTGATAATCTCATTTCTATTTCATACCACATGTTAAAATGTACGTCTTTAGAAATCTAATTAAATAGTTGTCTAACTATGTTGGATTCCGACTGAACAACTATGTAATATTTGGAAAAATTAGTGAACAAGCTTAATATGATTAATAAGCACACAGAATTCTGTAAATAGAAGAGGTATTTCCTTTGGTAAGGTTGTCACTTACAATTTTGTAGTTCCTTCTTTAGTGATGGGACCAGTAGCATGCTTTGTCTCAACTGGACCTTCGTTTTATGGACGGCTTTTTATGAGGATACGAAACACAAGGTGACCTGAAATTGGTTTGAGAATCATCAATGAAATAAGCTGACCGTTACTTGAAGGAAATACACGATATTAAACTGTTTTAGTGTTAGATCTGAGCATATCCTATAGCAGAGTGCGCAGAATAAGTTTCTTAATCATTAGGAACAGCGACTAAATAAGCTTGTTAACTAATAGATCCGAGGAGTATGACATAAAACACAAACTTCTGATTGCTAGAGATGAGGCTGTAAAACCCTAAATTGTAATGGTCTTGCAAGTCAGTCGGCAGCTGGATATTTTTATATGCGAGACTTCTATGAAATAAGATGTAGCTGAGCCTCAGATTGAACGTGATAATTAGAGCTCTTTACAAATGCTCTTGATAAACCCTTATAAGTAATCCATTACAGCAAACAAGTGCACATTCCACATGGGGAAATTCATCGAATAGTGGAGTTTTTTTAGCATTTAATATAATTATACCAGGTGCTGAATTAAAGATGTCTTGAATTGGATCACAAAATAGCTTTAATTGAACGATTTTCTTGTAGCTCTATAGCGATTTGTACGCTCCACGTGTTATTATGCCATGCGGGTTAAAACCAACTGCTTAGCGCACCTTAGGGAGGTTTTATGAGATAAAAGCTTCTCCAGGACCATGCTTCAACTAGGAGCTTAAAATGAAGGCTATCAACATGGAGCGTCACAGATGTCTTACTACTGCAATCATAAATGTTAATAACCTCATTTTACATTTCTAAGGCGTGTTGATGAAATCAGAAAACGGGCTAGAATGCCAAAGGCTAGTTTATCCTTCTCAATTTCTTTCTTCAAGGCCATTGAATCTTGAAACTATACAAAAACGTTTCATTGTAAAGTAAGAATAGCGACTTTGGAGAAATCATCGCAATTTTTAAGCGGCTATTTCAAAATGAAAACAACTGTTAGCCACAAAAATATCGTGGTGGTCACATTCTTGCGGGATGGGAGAGGGTATCAAGGGAAAGGATTTCCAATACCTTTCAAGATTAAAGTACGAGAAACAATAAAAGTGTCGTTTCTAACCTATTAGTACAAAAAATGTTCCGAAAACAGAGGTGTACCGAAGACAAACTTCCGTATATGGGCCGAATGGCACCCTGTCTTCCATGGCCACGGCACCACTGCACAAAGCGCAAGCGGTAATGAATTTGCACATTAAACAGGTGTTCAGAGCCAAGGCCATCCTTGATCAAACATTCTTAGGACAGGTGTTTTTGAACCCAGCTCAAATGAGATGCACAACGAGTCGATGAATGGATTTCAAGCTGCCAAAATTACCTAGGTTTGTCGCAAGACCAAAAAGACAATGCAGGGTGTTATTTTTTCAAAGTCTCCTTGTGATCGCAATTTTCGGGAAAACATTTTTTGTCAAAATCATTAGGAATTTTTTGGTTGAAATATCTCAAAAAGCCAATGATTATTATGCTGTTTAAATCAAGTAGGAGGCACAGAAAAGGAATGAAGCGATTTGACGAATGGTTCATTCCAAAAACTACAGTTATGTATAGAAGAGATGAATCTGTGCTGTTGTGATTGCGTCAAAAGACAACTCAGTGAAAGACAAGACATGTTTGTCACATGGCAAAACAATTGAATAAAAGCTGCCCATTTAGTGAGATGGATAAAACAACACGTAGCAAACCACGATTGCTCTCGTATGGATGATAGGACTGTGGGTCGAACTGATGGAGAAAAGTGCAGAAGGAAAATCTACACTTTAGATTACAGAGGAGTGTATAATATCTCCTTTATGCTGTTGAGAGAAGAGGGCAACTTAGCTAGGAATATGGAGTAGTGATAGAAATTGTTTTACAAAGTGACAGTCGCTGATTTGTTTTCTAGTTAAGGGTCTAAATAGTATTTCATAAAAAGGAAACAAATTGGGAAATATTGTGCATCATTTATGAAAAGTGGAAAATGAAAATATTTTTGTTAACCCTGGGATGTAAAGCAACAAAAAGAATAGGGCCAGAGGTGCACGCGAAAGTACTTCAAATACCCATACCAATATGAAGAAATTTGTTACTTTTTGTAACGGAAGCTTGTCCCTTTCTGTCCCCCTAGCATAATTAAAATGTGCTAAAAATAGTTTTGTTCTTTTTCAATGTAATGATATTATTTTTCTTTTGGGCATTTATATTCCTTCCAAACTATCTAACTTTTTGTGAAGTGTATAGAACTGTTTAATTGCTTGTTCATAGTTGAAACTTTCCTGTGGGAAAAATATTTTGCCTATGATTTCCTATGACCAATGGTCACACGGTCATGGGAAAAATAACGCCCTGAGACAATGTCTAATTGATTCTTACAAATAGCCTTGAAAAAAATTGCTATTTGCTCCATTTCTCAATATCGTGAAAGTGTAGTATATGATTCTACTTGAAAATATGTGGAAAACTAGTGAATAGGGAATCACATCTTGCGGACTAAAAGAATTCGGCACCAAAAAAGGAACAGCTTGCACGGGGCCTGGGCTGGATCTAGCAAAAATAGAAAATTTGATTGTAAAGATGAAACTCGGACGAATAATTATATAGGAAAAACACTAAAACGGCATTGTAGTTGCTAATCGTGCTGATTGCATATTTAAGCAAAGAATTTTAAAAGCAACCTTAATCGTCATGATAATTTCTCAGCCTCGATATTTTCAATAGCTTTTTTAAACATATTCTTAAATTATTCTTAAGATTGTGTTTCACTGTTGCAATATTGAAAATTATTAGAATTGATATTTTACTGTTGGATTATAAGTAGTTTAGATATTATTGCGGTTCAATTATATTGTGAAAAACTTTTATTTTTATTTTTGATGAATTATCTTTAAAATTTTATTTTTGATGAAGTTTTATTGTAACTATCATCTTTTTAAATTCAATTTTAATTTAAAATTCACAATTTATTTTTAAATTCTAACAGTTTTGAGCCTTGATAAAACGATGATCTAAATTTGAGAAAGTTTTGCATGCTATGTATATTTGGTTATTATTCAATGGATTAAAACAAGAGAACATCCAAAACATTTGCAATGCGCGTTTTTTGCAAAAAATTCAGTGAATGAAATTCCAAGCTCAACCTACCGAATTTCTATCCTGCTGAAACATTAATGCCTGTAAAAGTTTTATCTATCAATTCATCAATTTTCCCCAAGATTATATCAGCGTTTCTTTGTCAATTTAAGTTAGAATAATTAAATTACAGAATAAATGAACTGTTTCAGAAGAATGGAACGTACCAGATTTGCAAGTTCAATTTGGCAAAAAGACTGCATTTGATAGAATGTCGATGCTCTAATGCCTGAAGATGCGGCTGGCCAACGTACAGTGCTTGCAAAAATTAATAACAGGTCAGTTGCTTTTGAAATTTTATCGGTTTGCTCATGGTATCAAAGAAAAGCTCATCAGACATCCGAAATCTCATCTTTTATAGATGCTTGAGACAAACCCGTTGAATTTAATGACTCAAAACTGCCGCAGATTTGTTTACCAACATATTTTACCGCCACACCTAGAAATTGACAAGGAAATTGAAACAAAAACATCGACTTACGATTAATAAGTAACAAAACCTAATGCCCATACATTGAGACGAATTCCTCATCAAAAAGTAAGTAAGTTTCAACCCCTGTAGAGATAGCGGGTAGAGGTTTTCTCGTGTAAACTATCGCACCCAATTCAGAGAATAGTCAAGTGTACGGAAACTGCGAAGGCGCATTATCTATTTGCCTACAGGTACAAGCAATAAATTCGTTTCCAGTAATAATTTCTTTACGTATTGTTTTAAAAATGTTTGCTTGATTATTTTACTAACTAATTATATTCTTTCTTTTGTTTATGTAAAAATTTCTTGTTCTGTTACCTTAATTTGATTGGTCGGATTTGTAAGAAGCTTAGTTGAATAGTGTTAGAACAAAAAAGGGTGTAACTTAATATCGTGGAAAACTGGTATTCTTGTATATATGAACATAGCGAAATATTGGTATTCTTGAGTTGAATCTTAGATAAACTTTCGACCTTTTGAACTAGCGAGTGTGGGAAATGATTTCCCCAACATCAAGCTGCCGAAAGAATTCTAAACCGGGTCGACTTTGTTCATGTTTTAAAGTCTAGGCCGGTGAACAGAGAGAAATCAACTTGTTAGATTTATAATTTTCAATTCATATTCGTATTTGTGCGTATCCTAGTATACAACTTAGCCACTTCTCTAAGCAATCAACGCAGTGGTTGACGGGAGAAAGGACTGGACACCACCCTATTCAAAGGATTCGATCGTTTAACCAGTTCATTCCAAGTGTCAGTGCGCCACGCTACGCAGTTCAGTTTTCATGTTTTGTTCGCATTTAACTGTCTGTCAGTTCTAATGATTTAAATATCTACCCCTTACATAGGTGGGTTGCCATGATGTAGGTCATAGGGTAACAGTTCCGGTTAACAGCCGGACAGCTTCATGAAGACGAGATCCTTAATTGTCACAAAATGGAAGAAACTCATCCAAATTTGCAGTAACTGTCACTAATAAACACGTTTAATGCGCTACACGTAAAGAAGTTTTATCTTGAACCTTTTTATGAGAGATGTTAAGCCTGGTTTCCATATAACTTTTATGCATCGCCGACAAGTCGCCGGCGAGTGAAAGTTCAATGAAAACACTCTCACAAGGTTGTCGCCGACGTGTCGGCGATGCCCTGCAAAAGTTGAATCTAGTTCAACTTTTTTTTCTGTCGGCGACGTCAGCGATGACTGAAAATTTTAACGTAAACATGCATCGCTGACTCTGTGTGAACACATGACCCACGCTAGCCAATCAAAACCATTCTAGAAGGCCTGGGTTAAGAGTGTCGTAAGAGCGATATGGAAACCAGGCTGAAGAGAATCATCGGCGATGCATCGCCGATGTATTGCCGACGCATAAAAGTTATATGGAAACCAGGCTTTAGTGCTTATCTGAGAATGCAGGATCTACTTGGGTCAATTGATCTTTTGTTTTG